ATGCCGTGGCTCTGGAGGTCGTAATGGCCAATGGGATGGAGCAGCTTCGGACTGATCGATTACGATGGTGCCAAGTTATGTACGGATACGGATAGGCATAGGCTTCCCTGTGGTTGCTTGGGATGTGTGATGTTAGCGGTGCCAGTAAAAGAAGAGGGAACCTACCTAACTTGCTGGCTGAAGTGCGTAGGAAGATACGTACCGCTCAACCGTTGCTTGTGCGTGCTTGTTCATTTCCAGCCCAGCGACAGAGGGAAAAAAGGGGGGCCGAAGGATTCGAGACGGGCGGACGGTATCCGTACGGATCCAGAGGGACGAGCACAGAGCAGAGACCATCCACGGGAGCAATACATAGTAAGGGAAAAGCAGAAAATACCCGGGCTACCAGGGGTGTGAGGCTTGTACGGATTGGGAAGAGTGAGAGAAGAATGGAGGACAGAAGAAACATGGATGGGCCCAGCGGCCTTGTGCCGTGCCACTCGACCCCGAAAAAGACTCTGCGGCCCACAGACTTTGCCAGTACGTACCTGTGCGAAGTGCCTTTGCACACCACGGCTAACGCCAAGGAGTCAGATCAGTCTCCCCGGCGGTACGTCAGGTTCGACAGGTTGGGCGGGAGGCACCAGATATGCACGTAGCCTCGATACGTACTGTATCTCCTGCCGCCGTGGAGCGCTAAGGTACCTTAGGCACCTTACGACTCTTTCTCGCTGTTTCTCCATCTGTGGCCGTTGCCTGTGTAAGGTACCTTCCAATGAACCAATCTATCGAGGCAGATAGATTGCGATGAACAAAACACCTCGAGACCTGTGCACTTTCTCTCCCCGACTCTTATTTTGCCACGATTCATTGTATGCGTGAATTCTTGACTACAACCACCAATATAATTGCACGGGACGCACTTTGGCAGCCCATCCCCCGGCACCTTATTCAGAGCTTATCCATCCTCATAATCCCGTACTTCCATCATACGGAGTACTTTACTATATCCTTCCCAGCCTTATTAGCCGCAAGGTTTCTAATCCTCGCCAACTAGGTCTTCGTACAGAGCACCTACCTCTTTCTCTCGCCCACCTCAGCACCAGATCACCGCCCTTCTCCCAAATCAATCCTCACGTCGCCCCGGTACCTCTACCACTGTGATACCGTCACCATCTCTTCCACACCACACACTCCCGCACGCGCGCACATACACACATCCGACGTACACACGCACACGCACATCGGCACAGCGTGTACGCCCACACATTACAGTATCTATCTTCCCCATCCCTTCCGCTTGACGCCGCTGTCAGTCGGGTACCCTCGCACTACTCCAAACGGCCTGCATATGCGAGAGATGGCTGCATCCTTCCTCCACCTACCTTGCACGTACATATTGCGGTACAGCCTGGCTTCGCACACAATCTCTCTCTCTCTCTCTCTCTCTGCCTGGTCCAAGCCAAGGGTTGGGGGAACGGCAGGCAACCTCATCCACACCCCCCTGTTACGGGCATAGAGACAGACGCAGACGCCCCCCTTCACTTGGTTGCTGTCGCAATTCGACTCTCACACCTTGACCCCTGACGGAACCCCCCTCCTCTCCTCTCCTCTCCGAGGACACCTCAGGTAAGCCTCCGGCCTTCCCTCCCCACTCTGCCTAATCTAGCCATGATCCCCCTCCAGCCTGGCGGCGATGGCGGCGGCGGCGACCGGATCCCATCGAGCTATTTGCAGGTCCCAAGCAGAGTCCACAGATGCACCCGCGTCATGTGTGTGTCCTGTGTCTGCGGCTTGGTCCACACGCGCACGAGAGCACTACCTACACAACTGCGTACACAATAGCGTACGACTACCTACGGATACGTCTACGAGTAGTCCGTCATTTCTGTCCGCTGGCTAGCGTCGTGTGGACCGCACCGCAGGAGAGAAACACAGCGTGCGTGCACCACCTGCTCAAACCGGTCCAACTGAAGAAGTGAGGGGGCCCAGCCACTGCGCCGCCAACTGACGATAGCCTCGTATCGAGAAGCTTTTTCTGCTGGACTCAACCACCGATCCACCATGATCTCTGCAGATTGCGGATATGAGCTTATTCAACGATTGCGAAGTCTGGTGCGACACGAAAACAAAGACAACACACCAAATACCTAGCTCGCCCACAGGCCCGTTCGGTACGGTGGTTTCGAAGCAGCCGACGAACCACCAAGCCCATCCCATCACGATCATCAGGCGCTGAAACAGAAGATCTCAGCCGGGGGGAGGGTGCCGAGGAATAAGGAATGCAAGTGTGGTGCCTGAAGTGTGACGGAGAAGACAGCATGCCAGCCAGAACGCCAGCGACAGGAACACTAGCCCGCGCAAGAGAAGGGTGCAGTGGGAAACTCTCGAGAAAGGTAAGGTAATTTACAACTGACTAGCGAGCAGTTGCGGCACGGATGAAGTCACATCGGCGTCCTGAGTGGATGGATGCAGCGGTTGCAGCGATGACATGAACCAAACTCAAAGTTCGTCTTTTCTTGTGTTGGTTTTGGCTTCTGGCATTTCTTCGACGGTGCGATCCACTCCCCCGATCAGGATCTTGGAGCTTGGAGAGGAGGGAGGGGGGTCGCCAGCCATGCACTCACCTGCCCTGGGCGCAGCCTAGCCCAGCTCAGTCAGCCAGCCAGCCCGGGCGGCCAGACACACCAGTGGCACCACAGAGCCGGACTCAGACTCGGAGTTTGATGGATGGGTGGATGGATGGTACCTCCCGTCTTCTCAGGGGGCGCTTCCCCGGAGAAGGGCTGGGAAGGGCTACCTATCCGTACCCTTCGGTGAATATTAACCTCCCTGGGTCTGACCTGAGGTGAAGGATGAGGTGACCTCCTGGAACTCCAGACACGTGGGACGTGCCGTAATGCAGTTTAGCGGCGGCGGCCTTCAACCGCAGCGTTTCCCCCTTTTCTGCTGGGGGCAATATTCCAATTATCATTATTATTTCGGTGCGTCGCTCTCTTTCTTTTATTGTTTTGTTTCTGATGATTTGCTCCCTTCTCTGACAGTCGTTTCGATTGATCTTCAGCGTACCCGTTGAAATCAGTATTTGCCAACCTGTATTACGCAGTACGGCCACAAGCTTGTTGGTCACGGTTCAAAATGGTCCGAACTGGACGACTGGGGAGCTGTCTGATTGATTACCCATGGCTATGTGCCATGTCACACGCTGGCAGCTGGCTTGAACACTTGCCTCAGGCAAACCCGTCAAGACCCATACCCTCGGTGTTCTTCCGCCACAGTGACTGGGAGAGATCAGAGAGGATGGCGCCGCGATGCGATGCGACATGGCTGTCCCTTGTTTCAAACTGGCTGCGAATGGCATGTCCAACTGGACGGTCGCTGACATTCCTTGTCCGTAGATCCTCGATTGGACATGCCTGAGGGGCCAGCTACAATAAGGTAAGGTAGGTAGTTGACTCGAAAGATGAGCGCCAAACGGAGGAAACCCGCGCACTTGTTCCGCCCGCTTCCTCTGTTTTTGAGATACCACAACATGCAATGCTGTCGGATCGCACCGTGACTCTTTTCTGGCATAGAGTGCAGAAACGTGATAGTGTAGCAAAGGCATCAAGCCTCGCGAAGCGTGGTCCAAGGCAGCATCACGTTACGCAGCAGTATGCGACACTCACATCTGAGTGCGTTTATATGATGGCAGACGGTCATAGTCGGTTTTGAGGCCTTGTCAGGCTTGTTGGAAGCTTGCCTCGGATTTTGTCGGATTATCAATGAGCTTGCAACACCATTGGGGAGTAAGGTTTGGCGATGCCTTGGCATCATGGCTGGCCTGGGCTCTTGTTGAGTTGACGCGTGAGTTGGGTGAGGGTCCCACTGAAAGCCGCCGCACCGCCAAGTTTGCGAGAGAGAGTGAGAGAGAGTCTGAACAACAGTTGACCACACGATGCTGTCCTGAAGGCGGCTCATCGGTGTCCTGTGCAATTAACCTCGGAAATGCCAGGTACCTTGGAGGTGGTCTACTTTGGTTATGGCACATGGCACATGGCTCAGGCTCTGGGTATTGGGCCATCTCACGTTTTGGTGCATCTGATGACAAACGAAGCAAAGCGCGTCGAGCTGCCGACTCGTACTTTGCAGGAGCAATGAGAAGAAAAAAAGGGGAGGGGTCGGGTCTGTCTGCAAGATGTGTTTCGCTAGACTCGCAGAGGAATCATCCGCACCCACATCTTTACAGATTTCCGCAGTGAGGTCGACGTCTCCATACGCCAAGGTACGTTATCCACCTCTCTGCTCCCCATTTCGGAGCTGCAGGAGCCAAGCACCAAGCAAGTAACCAAGAGGCCGATGGGTGGATGGATGGATGGATGATGGATGCCTTCAGTGTAAGGTAGCCATGACCCATGGCAACTTGGGAAGTATCCGTACGAATAGAGGAGGGGGAGAGAGGGAGGGATGAGGGGCGACATTGCGTTCAGTGGGAGTGCCCGCCGCCCGCCTCCATGAAATCTACTTGTATATGTATGGTACGAAGGTACTTTGAATTCGCACTCCGTACCTGGGCCTGGCAGATGGCGTGGACGTGGCCATGGTCGTGGTTGTGGACGACGGGGGGGAAGAACATGGGCATGGATGGATGGACTGGGCGGATGGGCGTGAGCGTGAGCGCCCACGGGTGGTGAAGCGTGAGAAAGATGGAAGAAGCGTGGGTGTGGCACCGTGGGTATCGGCTCCAGCTAAGGGGACGCTAGCCAAGTTGCTTTTTCAGATGAGATGGGCTGGCTTGTTCTCCATCCGTGCCCCGTCTTTCACCCCGGCAGCAGCATGCACCCTAATGAGACACCCATCCACACCCCTGGTCCCCATCGTCTCGTTTCGCTCGCTATGGATCAGCTCTGCCGCACCCCGTGCCGTCGCCAAAGTAAAAGAAAAGGAACGGAAGGGTAAAAGAGTACGTACCTTTCGAGGGTTAGGTGAGTTTGCGAGAGTGATGGAACCTATTCTCGCAGCCTCCCAACTTCCCTCTCACCTTCTTTTCCAATTCCCCAACTTCGCCCTGAGCTGCAACGGGGGCGCTTCGATCCATCGCTGTCGGGTCTCGCATCCCTTCTTTACTCACAAAACATCATCATTGTCTTGTCTTGAGCGCTTTCTGCGCCCTTTCCCCATCACCCTCATCATCATCCTCTTCTTGTTTGGCTTTTCTGTAGCTTTTTGGCGTGTCGCCGCTTCAGACTTTCTCCCCCAGCCTCCCGTTGACCGGTTGCACGTCGAACCTCAATCCGTTCGATTCGTCGCAACAACCGAGCCCGCGCCCTTGGAAGCCGCGAGCTGTTCCTCAACCACCACAGACAAGACCAAAGACTGTATGGCCTCGCGCCTCTAGTCTTTAAATCTTTCTCCAAGTAAAAACTACCTTTTATAATTGCGACGTCGTTGCTGGTAGAATCTAGCGCCTCTTTGCGCGATCGTCAAGACAATCCGTCGACGCATTCACAGGAGCACGCGCACACCTAGTACGCCTCGACTCCCAACACAATGGCGAACCATCACCCTTCGCCAACCATGGCCATGCAGGGGCAGCAGCACGGCGGCCCCCCTGGACCCCCTCCGCCGCCGGGCATGCAGCAAGGGCAGAACTATGCACCTTCGCGACAAATCCTCCTCATGAACGAAGCTGTCTGGATGCAGATTGGTAAGTACATCGCGATCAATGATGCGCGCAGCACATGCTAACAATTGATGCAGGCAGTTTTGCTGAGCTTCTTGGTAACCTCGAGGAGGCAATGAAGGCCTACGATCGCGCTCTCCAAGCAAACCCACAGTCGGTCGCGGCCATGAATGCCATCAGTCTGATCCTGCGAACGCGCGAAGAGTTTCACAAGGCAGTTGACTACCTGCAAGCAATACTCAAAATCGACAACACCAATGGCGAGGCCTGGGGCAGCCTGGGTGCGTAACAAGTCCCCGCCCCTAAGCTCAACCAACGCGACTCGTGCTAACTGCTCACAGGTCACTGCTACCTTATGATGGACGACTTGCAGCAAGCCTACGCCGCATATCAGTCCGCCTTGGTCAACTTGAGGAGCCCCAGGGTTAGTAGCGCTGCCTCCGGCTCTCTGGCTTCTTCAAATACTAATACAGCACAGGAGCCCAAGCTATGGTATGGCATTGGTATCCTTTACGACAGATACGGCTCTCTCGAGCATGCCGAAGAGGCCTTTTCTCAGGTTATGCAAATGCAGCCCGACTTCGAAAAGGCCAACGAAATTTACTTCCGTCTCGGAATAATATACAAGCAACAGCAGAAGTACGGCCAGAGTCTAGAGTGCTTCAAGTACATCGTCAACTCCCCACCCCCTCCTCTCACCGAGGAGGACATCTGGTTCCAAATTGGCCACGTTCACGAGCAGCAGAAGGATGTAAGTATCTACTCGTCGGCAATTGACAAATACCGCAACTAACGCCCGCATCAGTACGATAGTGCCAAGGCTGCGTACCAGAGAGTTCTGGAACGCGATCCTAGTCACGCAAAGGTCCTGCAACAGCTGGGCTGGCTTCATCATCAGCAGAGCAGCAGCTTCCAGAGCCAAGAGCGAGCTATCGAGTTCTTGGAGAAGTCCGTTGCCGCCGACCAAGGCGACGCGCAAAGCTGGTACCTTCTTGGTCGGTGCTACATGTCTCAACAAAAGTATCCCAAGGCATACGAAGCCTACCAACAGGCCGTCTACCGCGATGGAAGGAACCCGACTTTCTGGTGCTCTATCGGAGTACTGTACTACCAGATCAACCAATATCGCGATGCCCTTGACGCGTACTCTCGTGCCATCCGGCTCAACCCCTTCATTTCCGAGGTCTGGTATGACTTGGGCACATTGGTAAGTGCGAGCAAGACCTATCAAGATCGAACAGCTCTGGGGAAAAAAGGCAACGTTACTGACCGACTTAGTACGAATCTTGCAACAACCAGATTAGCGATGCGCTTGACGCCTACCAGCGCGCTGCAGAGCTTGACCCTCAGAACCCCCACATCAAGGCTCGTCTGCAGTTGCTGAGAAACGGTGGCGCCAATGGAGGACAGCCTCCCAGCGCTCCCCAGCCTGCCGATGTCCATCCCCAGGCTTACCAGGTCGGCCCCCCGGCTCCCCAGTGGGGAAGCTCTGCTCCTCAGTCGCAGCAGCAAGGACAGCAGCCTCCTCCGCCTCCGGGACCCGGCGGCCCTGGAAGCAACGGCTGGGGTCGGCTTGCGGACATCAACCCTCCTCCTCAGCCACCCAACCCGTATGAGCAGCGTGGCGAGTTCCGTGGCCCAGCTCCCCCCATGCCGCGACAGCCCAGCCCGAGACAGGAGCAGCAACAGCAGCAGCAACAGCAGCAGCAGCAGCAGCAACAACACGGTGGTCGCCCGCCGTATCCCGAGCCGCTTCGTCGGATGGCTAGCCCGCCATCTCACTACGCAGGACCGCCGCAGCCGCCTCAGCAGCAGCAGCAGCCTCAGGGTCCTCCCACATCTGCGCCGCGCACCATCAACCCCAACTACACTCAGCCGTCTTCTGCTCAGATGCCTCCTATGAACGTTGGCCCCAATGGCCCTCCTAGCCAGCCGCCTCACTTCCGCGGCACCAACAGTCCCCGGCCTGGCGAGAGGCCCATGCATGACAACCGCATGCCCTCCCCCAAGTCGGCGTATCCCCAACACCAGCCTCCTCCGCCACCGCCGTACAGCCATCACCCTGACGGCCCCACCCCCGGACCCATGGAGGCTAATGCCCCGCCTCCACCTCCTCCGGGCTCGATCACCGGAGACCCTGCATCGCAGCGCAATGAGCATGACCGTCCTCCTTCTGTGGGCCCCAAGCGCATGCGTGAGTGGGAAGAGGAGTCCTCTCACAAGCGACCGGCCAACGACGAGAACCGAGCCAGGCTCGACGACGTTCGCCCTCGCCGCCCGTCGACTCCTCCGGGACCCCGGGACCAGTACCGCCGTAACTCGTCAGAGGCACGCCGTTTTGAGGATCAACGCCGTGCCGAAGACCAGCGGAGAGCGGATGACCAGAGAAGGGCAGAGGACATTCGGAGGGGCGAGGAGCAGCGCCATGCAAACGACGGGTACCATCCGTCAGAGGCCGCCCACCACCAACCCAACCACCCTATGCCCACCAACCATCTCCCGCCGATGCAGTCTGCTGCTGCGCCGATGCAGAACATCCTCCACGACGGACCGCAGAACGGACCCGGGCCTGCTTCCGGGCCCGCTCCCGGCGTCAAGGAGTACCCCGCTGAGGAGCGCCCGCCTATTGAGCACACCCCTGCTCCCCGGCCTCCGCAGCCCAGCGAGCCCGAACGTGCAGCGAGAAAGATGGACGTTGATGAGGACTACGACGATAGCGGTGAGGATGAGAAAAAGGGCGCCGTCGCCACTACTAATGGGTCGGGCCCGGCTCCGGCGTCAGGGGAGACTAAGACGCCTACGAGCGCAAGCATCAACGGCCTGATGGGGCCAACTCCCAAGGTTGAGTCGACTTAATGGATCAACGACTTTGGCGTGGTTTGCTTTGTTTTATTTGTCTTGAGGGATCCTGTGTTCTCTTATCGTGTATACCATTTCCTTCCTGTTCCTCGTTCTGTCTCCAGCATCCCCTTTCAACGGGATGCTGGTGTGTCTACCTGAGGCACTACGGTAGCTTATGAAGAGAAAAAGTAGTGGTGAATCTAGACTGCTTGAACGACTAAACAATATTAAACAATATTTGGCTTCGCACGTCCAGACCAATTGACCACCTGAAGGGGCGAATGACCGTATTCTCTGAAAAGTTCTGCATCGTGCAAATGGCGGCGACTGCTAGTGTTCGGCGTGCTCCTTGGTGGGATGTAATCCAGTCCTTAGGTACGTACCTTCTCTCTACACAGTACAACTGATGGAAGATTTGATTGTGGACCTCGGAGAAGACGCTTGGACCAGCCGGGAGGAAAAAGTGCGGAAAGTGATTTTTTTTTCGTCGCTATTGCGCTCACGTGATTAGGGTGGTGCCTCCCGGCAGGAGGAAATCCGCCCACACGACATTTTTGCAGCCTCAGCTATCCCGACTTTGAGAAATTTCCCAATCGTCACTCCTCTCGATTGAACCCGACAACTAACCTCCAGGTCAATCATCAAGATGTCGCACCGCAAGTACGAGGCACCCAGACACGGCGTCAGTCACACCTAATTCGACAATTACTATAACTCCGGCTAACTTTGCTCAGTCTTTGGCCTACCTGCCGCGCAAGCGTGCTGCCCGTCACCGCGGAAAGGTCAAGTCGTAAGTTTTGTTCACCATTTTTCGCAACATTTTCTTCGAGACTTGGGCCAAGTGAAGACAGAGGCTGACAATGGCAATTTCTTGCACAGCTTCCCCAAGGATGACGCCAAGAAGCCCGTCCACCTGACGGCCACCATGGGCTACAAGGCCGGTATGACCACGATCGTTCGCGACCTCGACCGTCCCGGTGCCAAGGCCAACAAGAAGGAGGTCGTCGAGGCCGTCTCCATCATTGATACCCCACCTGTACTACCAACGCAGCCCGCTTGGCTCTGTGCCTATGGCTAACAACTCTATAGTTGATCGTTGTTGGTCTTGTGGGCTACATCGAGACCCCCCGCGGCCTGCGCTCGCTCACCACCGTCTGGGCCGAGCACTTGAGCGACGAGATCCGCCGCCGCTTCTACAAGAACTGGTACAAGTCCAAGAAGAAGGCCTTCACCAAGTACGCCAAGCAGCACTCCGAGAACTCTGGCGCCTCCATCACCCGCGAGATCGAGCGCATCAAGAAGTACTGCACCGTCGTCCGCGTCCTCGCCCACACCCAGCCCCGCAAGACCCCCATCAAGCAGAAGAAGGCCCACCTCATGGAGATCCAGATCAACGGTGGCTCCGTCGCCGACAAGGTCGACTTCGGCTACGGTCTGTTCGAGAAGCCCGTCGAGGTTGGCTCCATCTTCGAGCAGGACGAGATGATCGATGTCATCGCCGTCACCAAGGGTCACGGATTCGAGGGTGTCACCGCCCGTTGGGGTACCAAGAAGCTTCCCCGCAAGACTCACAAGGGTCTGCGTAAGGTCGCCTGTATCGGTGCCTGGCATCCTTCCCACGTCCAGTGGACTGTCGCCCGTGCCGGTCAGAACGGATACCACCACCGTACTTCCGTCAACCACAAGGTCTACCGCATTGGCAAGGCCGGTTCCGACAACAGCGCCTCCACTGAGATCGATGTCACCAAGAAGACCATCACTCCGTATGTTTCTGCTCTAACATGTGGATTTCTTCGTAACTTTACTGACATTTTTCACAGCCTCGGTGGCTTCGTCCGCTACGGTGAGATCAACAACGACTTCGTCATGGTCAAGGGCTCCATTCCCGGTACCAAGAAGCGTGTCATGACTCTCCGCAAGTCCATGTTCACCCACACCTCGAGAAAGGCCCTCGAGAAGATCGACCTCAAGTGGATCGATACCTCGTCCGAGTTCGGACACGGTGCCTTCCAGACGCCGGCGGAGAAGAAGCAGTACCAGGGTACCCTCAAGAAGGACCTTGCTGCTCAGTAAATTCCTTCTTCTCATCAAATTTCTTTGTATCATGGTCATGGCATCGGTGTAGAGGGTTCACGTTACTTTTCGGATGGTTTGGGACACCTTTGAGGTTAAAATGAGTGCCGAGAATTCAAAAGTCAAACCAATGATACCTAGATGACCAACCCACTTGTAATCTTTCGTGTGGCTTGTGAAATGTGATTGCAATCGTACTCAACTTGGGAGACAATTGGTAAAAAGACGCTGTAGCAACAGCTGCAGTACTGAGTACAAAATTCATTACAAAAAGATGTGGGCGCTTGGCATCGACAGCCAGCCAATACCGAGATGGTGGGGCGGCAAGGTCTGACCAGCGGGAGCGACTTGAGGCGTAGCTAGCCGGCCCCTCGTTGCGTCATTCTATCTGTACCCAACCATGGCGTGCAGCTTCCCGCGAACCAAGTTCGCGACCTTGACACCCCTCAGTACGCTATTCAGCTCGTCCGCAACTCATAAGAAGCGAATGAAGACCACCATCCCGCGAACGCTCTATCGAAATCTCTGCCAACGGACCCTCTCCTCATCGACGTTAGCCTCCACCCCGCGCAACGCATTCATACTACGACAGCTGAGTCCTGCGCCAAGCAGCTGCAGCACCGGCAAACTTCTCCAACCTAGACTTACTACGGCGAGTACGTTCTCGACGTTTACACACTTGAAAATGTCCGACGCAGACTACGCGGCGTTCCTGGACAAGGCGAACCAGGACCCCAACGAGGGACACGCCACCGCGACAAGCAAGAGCAAGGAGTTCAAGGCGCAAGACAAGGGCGTCGAGGTGCCCAAGGCCATCCAGGACGTTTTGAAGCAGGACAAGGTGTACATCTCGGACGCGGACGAGCCGTTTGTCGGCGTCGCGCTGCAGTGGAATGAGGCTGGCAAAGGTTTGCCGGACGAAGGTGAGTTGTGCCGTGCCTGCTGCCTCCTGCCCTCTTCACGCCAGGGGAGGGGAAATATGCGTGCAACGTATGCAAGACAAAGTGACTAATAGATGACATGTAGTCGAATTCGCGCAACTTATTGATCACCCCGACGCCGAGAACGCGGACGTGGAGCTCCTGGACCCTGTGGACTGGGACTCGAACGGCGATTACAAGGACGTCATTGAGGCGGTCCGCAAGGCGGGCAAGGGCAACGACGTTAGAGTTTACAAGGTGCCAAAGGGCGGTGTCCGGACGGAGTACTGGCTCGTCACGACGGATGGGAAGGGCAAGGAGGCGAAGCTTGTGGGCGTCAAGGCGCTCTCTGTCGAGAGCTGAAAAGTTCTGTTCTGACTAGGTACCTTCAGAGAAAACCGCGAGGAAATGTGATGCGGGACGGGGGAAGAAATAAGGCAGCCGGTCAGCTTGGTCCTCTCGTGGTTCGATGAATGGCGACTGATTTATATGTAGCAAAAACGCAGCTCATGTTTGTACAGCAAAATCATCAATTATACCTGAATTCTCGCCTGCAAAGGCGCGACTTCTTTCTGACCAAACTCATTCACCATAGCTTACCGGGGATACGTGAGCTGTCTTGACTCTCTTACTCATTCAGGTCATCGATCTAGACCAGATTGGCGGAGCAATGGGCTGGCGGTGGGGTCCCGTTGTGTCACTGATCCTTGACGCACACGCAGCGGAGGTGCCACTAATGGCAACGCCTTGTCTCTCACCTTATCGAAGCGCAACGGCAGCCAAATTCCGCGTTATCGGACCCTACCACCCTGCCTGTACTATGTGTGACCCCTCCACGCATCGGAGGCTAAATAATTCAATACAAGTCCAGCCTTTTGGATGCGGGTGACTCAGATCAACAAACCAAACACACCAACTTGCTCTCCACGCAGCGACTCACCGACATATTCCCAGCTTCCACAACGGACCGGATCAGCATGTCGGGACCGGTAAGTCTTGCCAGTTCTTCAATTGACCTCCCGCTTGCCCGCTGCAAGAAGCAAAAGACAGACACACAAAAAGCTAACAATACCGCCTCACAGCGCGCAGTCGTACCGTCCCTCGAGACGGTCAGGTCCATCCTCACCTCCCCGGCCACGACCAACGCCGCAAAGAAGCCCACGCTCGTCCCCGTCTACCGCCAAATCTCCTCCGACCTCATCACCCCGTCCGCCGCCTACCTCAAGGTCTCGGCCCACCACAAGGACTCGGACTTCTCCTTCCTCTTCGAGAGCGCCGCCACAGAACAAGTTGGCCGCTACAGCTTCGTCGGCGCCGGGCCCCGCAAGGTCCTCGCCACGGGTCCCGGCCATGGCCCCGAGTGCGACCCCCTGCCGGCCCTCGAGGCCGAGCTGGCGCAGCACGTAGTCGCCCACGTTCCGGGCCTGCAGCTCCCGCCCATGGCCGGCGGCGCCGTCGGCTACGTGGGCTACGACTGCGTGCGCTACTTTGAGCCCAAGACGGCGCGGCCCATGAAGGACGTCCTGCAGATCCCCGAGTCCCTGTTCATGCTCTTCGATACCATTGTCGCCTTTGACCGCTTCTACGGCGTCATCAAGGTCATCACCTACCTCCACGTCCCCGAGGACGCAGCCCAGCTCGAGGCCGAGTACCAAAAGGCGATGCAGACCATTGACGAGCTCGTCGCCGTCCTCAACAGCCCCGACATCCCCATCCCCGAACAGCAGCCCATCAAGCTCGGCCAGGAGTACACCTCCAACGTCGGCCAGCAGGGCTACGAGTCCCACGTCACGGAGCTCAAGAAGCACATCGTAAAGGGCGACATCATCCAGGCCGTCCCCTCGCAGCGCTTCGCCCGCCCGACCACCCTCCACCCCTTCAACATCTACCGCCACCTCCGGACGGTGAACCCGTCCCCCTACCTCTTCTACGTGAACTGCAAAGACTTCCAAATCGTCGGCGCCTCCCCCGAACTCCTTGTCAAATCCGAAGCCGGGCGCGTCATCACGCACCCGATCGCCGGCACCGTGAAGCGCGGCAAGACGCCCGAGGAAGACCAGCGCCTCGCCGACGAGCTGCGCAGCTCCCTCAAAGACCGCGCCGAGCACGTCATGCTCGTCGACCTGGCGCGCAACGACGTCAACCGCGTCGGCGACCCCTACACGGTGCGCGTGGACCACCTCATGGTCGTCGAGAAGTTCAGCCACGTCCAGCACCTCGTCTCGCAGGTCTCGGGCGTGCTGCGGGCCGGGCAGACGCGGTTCGACGCCTTTCGGAGCATTTTCCCCGCGGGAACGGTGTCGGGCGCCCCCAAGGTGCGCGCCATGGAGCTGATTGCCGAGCTCGAGAAGGAGAAGAGGGGGATTTACGCGGGCGCGGTTGGGTATTTCGGGTACGGGGGCGTCGATGAGAAGGGCGAGGAGGTGGAGGGCGCTATGGATACGTGTATTGCGCTGCGGACGATGCTTGTCAAGGATGGTGTGGCGTACTTGCAAGCTGGTGAGTTTCCCCCTTGACCCCTTTTTCTTTTGCTTTTGTGGATCTTTTTTGGACGGTGAGGTATTTCGTATACTGACTTGTGATGTTTTTAGGTGGCGGTATTGTATTCGACTCTGACGAGTAAGTGATTCTTCTCCCCTCTCTATTACCCCAGAAAGCTGTAAGCTGACTTGACACCTAGATATGACGAGTGGTTGGAGACGATGAACAAGCTCGGCGCGAATATGCAGTGCATAACGACGGCAGAGGAGCTTTATTACGACCAGCAGCAACAAGCGGCGGGCAAGTCGTAAGCAAGGTAGTTGTAGAAAGCATGAAAAAAAAAGTCCCCCTATTTGAGCCATGTTTTAGAAGAAGGGAAAAAGATACCGATACCTTTTGAAGCATTCGACCACTTTCTCCATACCTTCCTTTGGACCCGTGAGGTCCTTCCTCGACTGGTAAGGTACTCCTAGATATGGCAATTAGAAACTGGAGGTGGAATACACAAGGTAGGAATACACACCGGACACTTTACCCAGGCACCAGTGATTCATCGCTTGCCTTGCCTCTATATTCACTCGAGGTCGCCCTTTCGTCAACCAAGCCCAATCGATCCCCATGGTCGAGCGGTATAACGCCCTGGTCCGTTAGTAACGAACTTGGTATGAAATCTCGAGAAGTCTGTACACCCCAGTGCAGATGGAGGGTTTCGTAAGGTGGTCTAATTCGAGTCTCGGACTAGGCACCTGAGCTTTTGCTTTTTTTTTTGTGTTTCTTGCTTTTATGTTTTCTTTTGCTAACTGCCCCTTTTGTTCATCACTGTCGTCATTCTATGATTAAAATGTAGACAAGAAGGGTCGGCTGGGCAGGGTTTTTGGAGCACAACATATATCTCAACACTTCCGCTCCTGCCTATTGTACTTTGAGTACACATGTGGGACGAAGCACTTGATTAGCGGTTTTTCATGATAGCATAGGTCGTAGAAAGCTCTGGTATTAAAATCTTTATATTGTATTATATGATGCCGCAGATCCGCATATCCAATGCTTGAATCGCCAGACACCCATGGTGCTTCCACACAAAAACTCCAGAAAAGACTGTCGTGAACCCATCCCATGGTATAAGTGTAAGTGTGCCTCTGAACGTAAAAGCCTCCCGCCAATTAGCTCATCTACCAACCTTACTCAAAACAAACGATACGAGGGTATAAAAACCGACCCGACACCAACCCCAATCGTCGCCAGCGAAGCCCACAACACCGCGCCCGCAACGACGCCGTCCTGCAGGATCCGGAGGTGCTTGTTCCGGCTCGCCCGGCTGCGCTCGAACACGCGCCGCCAAAGCCACCGGCGCTCGTACGCGGCAACCCACTCCTCGCCCTTGAAGGACAGGTAATTCTCCGCGCCGAGCGTCGAGAGCGCGGGTTTTCGTAAGGGGTCGACTGCGCCCGCGACGCTCTCGCTCGTCGCGGCGCGGCGGTGGGGGACTCTTTCCTTCTTGTTCTTGTACATCATGCCCGCGCCGTTACCGCCCCTGCCGGCTTCTAGGTCCGGGACCTCCCACGGCCGAACGTGGCGTCTGCGCGCGAGGTGGAGGGATAGCGAGACGCCGTCGAGGGCCGCGACGAGGATCGCGAGACCGAGGAAGAGTAGAGGTGTGGAGAGGAGGCGGTAGTACCGCGAGAACGAGGACAGGATGAGCGCGACGTCGAGGCCGAGGCCTAACGTGAGCAGAACGAGACCGAGGAGGCGGAGGAGGTGCGTTGCGGCGCGGTTCGCGTTGGCCATGCTGTGGCGGATGAAGTCTGGGTGGAGTTTGCCGCGGAGGAGGGCCTCTGCTTTTTCAAAGGCCGGGAGGAGGGCCGAGGGGTGCGTTGTCGAGGATGTCGCTTTGAGAACTGCGGTGCGGTCGTCTTTCGTGAGGTTTAGGCGGCGCGGGGCGTCGGCGTGGATGTAGTGTTTTGTTATGGCGTCGATGTCTGCGCGGAAGGGATGTGATGATGCTGGTGCTGCAGGGAGAGATGTTAGTGAGTCTGGGTTCGGGTTTGTATAAGTGATGAGAACGAGATTCGGTGATATCTGATGGGACTAGCATGTCATGAAGCATTCGACTTGGTGATCTTACCTTGCGGAACTGTCCCCTCTTCCACCTCTTCCTTTTCACCATCTCTGAGACCAGTTGCCCTGGGGTGAGAGAAATTCGTTGCCGAAGACGTGTTCCGCGTATGGTTCCCTCCCGCTTTTGCCTGGGCGTAGCTGCTGTCCTCGTCGAGCATCTCGAGAATGTTGCTCACTTTACTCGAGTTTTTGGCCCTCCTCTCCTTGGCAGTGAGCTTCCTGCCGCGGTCCGGGTCCCATCGCGGCGCAAGAGCACGCTGCTCGGGCGCCAGAGTCGTCCACGAGTGGACGTAACCGCAGTACCATAGGAAGAATTGCAGCGGTTCCGCGTCCTGTTCGACGTAGACGAGATAGTCCACAAAGTCGTTTAGTGAGCACGGCTGAAGACATATGACTGTTAGTGAGAGTTTCACTTTTGGATTCCAGTCGTCCCCTCGGAATACACATGCGCCGGCAGGAGGGATATCACTCACCGATTCCGTGTTATTCCTGATCACTTCTTCAAAGGCAAGCTGGGGCGGAATCCACTTGTCGGTCCGCTTTGCTCGGCGGCGGTAGCGCCGGCAGTCCTCGTCCATCACCGGCGGGCGCCATGGCCGCTCCGGACCGGGAGTCTGATAGAATCTGAGCGACATGTCTTCCCACCCTTTTGCGCCGCTTGACTGTGTTGCTCACGGTCTTACAACTCGTGCGTATGAATGGAACATGTAGACGTGAGAAATCCGAGGTGGATGAGCCACAGGCTCAAGACTCGAGGAAGAAAGAGAAACTTGGAGCTACGAAATAGAGTCTCTGTCCAGTCTGACACTCAGACCTCTCGAGGATCCGATATGGGGGTGTGTGTGGTGAGTCTATGGTGCGGGAGGGCGGGTGGCGGGTGGGCTGGCCACAACTATGTATAATACAAAAGGAATCGAGGAAACCAGGGGATCCAACAGAACAAAACACTAGCTTCGAGATGTTGCGTTTGGTGCGCGCCGTGCGCAAGGCCTGCAGCGGGACGAAGGAGAGGCAGACCGCCTGTTCCTGCATGCCGCATCCGCAGCCCAGCCGCGCTCTGCCTCAGCTTCGTCCGACACGGGAATGAAAACTTGGCCCGGCCCCCCCAGATAATGACATGGAATATAGAGAAACAGCGTGCCTGTGTGTATGTGTGGCAGAGGGGTCTAAATACCGACCCACCGATGCAACAGAACCACGCGGTGTAGATATCTTGCGCAAGTAATGGAGGGGGGGTGCCCGGGTTGAACTTGTCTGCGGCCTGACATGCTCCCCGGCCGGGAAGTGCTGCAGGTGGACAGGCTTGGGTTTACTTCGCGGTCATGTTTCCGCATCACGGCTTGTGGTGTCTTGTCCGCGGCTTGTACGCTACGAGTATGGCTGGCAGTCGTGACATGAGCCGCAGGAACTGAGAGAAGCTGACGGGGAGACAGGCATCAGGTCCGGCGGATGCCGGCAAGGGCGGGGCATGCCTCTGTCCTGCTTGCTTTCGCTTCTCCCTCATGATCCTCCTCGCGTATCGGGGCTCTGGGGACTCGGGAAGGGGGTCATGTGTCCGCAAGACTTGACATGGGGAAGAGACGGGACGGTGAAGAAAGAGGGCAGGAGGTCGCGAGCGCGATCCAGGCCCAGCCCCGGGAGGTTCGCATGCCGGGAAACGGGCACGAGTGAGACGTGATATAGACAAATATAGGGTACAATTCCCACTTGGAGGGAACGATTGACACAACAACCCAACCAGCGGAGGAGTGTAGGGAAAGAAAGAAAAAAGAATTGCAAAATGGACGGCCAGCCAGCGTACTCTGACTCGATCTGAGGTAAACTTGTTGCTATGCTGGAGCTTCCGATTCGTCCCCTCGTGTAAGCTCAGTTCGAGCAACGAAACGAACCAACCTGAATAGGCATAGAAAGGAACGACGGTATTGGCAGCCCTCCCTCCCGCACTGTCACTTGCAGTGGCATGTCCTGCGTTTACTGCGTCAGCTTGGGATGTCCCTGGTCAGAGACCCATGACAGCGGTTCCACGGATTGTCGTAGGGTGCGTTGTATCCAACTTGGCACCTGCATCTGCCCATCTGCTTTTTGGCTGGCGTTGGTTGACCTTGGTCAATCTGACTCTAACGACCGGTGAGGATTGACCTGTGACCTCCGTATACATACTAAGAGGGCTGGGGCCGGTACAACCCGAGCAGGATACGATAGTGTCGTCGAGAAAGTGAGGCCATAGCGTCGCGGTCCCTTGTCAAAAAGAGCCGGAGCCCACATGACATGAAGGGGGCTGCTGGCCTTGTTTCAAGGGAACGTGCGGGAAAGGTGATGAGGTTGATTCACTAGCACGAAGGAGCCGTGGGCGGGAGACGGGAGAGATGGAGTTGGTTTGGAGTCGGGAACAAAAAAACGGACGCGGGCAAGGGCAAAACCCATACGCCGATTGGCTCCACGGCGTGGCATCAAGCTATGTTTCAGAAAGTTCATCCTGTCCCGTCTCCCCTTCACCCCACTCCCCGGGGGCGTGAGACGAGAGTCAGATGCCTGCTCAGAGCCTCAGAGGTGAGCGCTCCGGTTCAAGACTCCGGCGTCTCCACGGCAGAGCCGGGCACTTGCCGAGAAGAAGCCTGGACCTGTCTGGTCAATCATTGGATGAGCCGCGCGGGTCTTTTGCTGGCCGATCCCGGGTCGATTAGTGTTGCGGCTGATGCTGTTATCACAACAGCCGGACAAGCACGGCATATTAGTGTACTGTCCACCGTATTGTAAGTATGCTCGGCAGACGGCTTGCCTGGTTTCTGCAGATTTATGCCATTGTTACTGCGCAAAGGGATTTTTTGGAGGCTACGCACCTCGCACCTCCAACGCATGGCAGATGGATTGTGTAGGATTGATCGACCGACTGACATGCGCAAAATGCTTTTGATATAGAAAAAAGGTTCTGTTCCATCAGGTCACCGCCGTACTACCGAGGCTGAGGCGGTATTCTACTTTCCTTCGACGATGTATATACAATAGGCATCGCTTACATATCACCGTCCCTCTTTTTGACCTGCTCCGTCTCGAAAGAAAGTCCCGCATCCTTCCTAATGACCCCATAGATTGCAGACGCATCGATCTCTCGATCAATCCCTTCGGCGTAGTCTACCGCTTCCTCCAACTGCTGTAAGACGAGTGACAGCAATCTCGGCTGAGGACCGCTCTTCAAGGCTTGTCTTCCGGCTGCCAGTCCATTGATAGCCGGTGACCACGGCCGCTCGCCTCGAGGAGGCATGTAAGCACCAGAGGTCAGCCGATTGGACACCATCAGCCCGACCGGACCAATCTGCTCCTTGATCAAGGCTTCCGCGGTTTCGACCCCCAACCCGGCTTTTTCAATAATAGTATGAGCTACACCAACCACCTCAACCATACCTATCGACAGAGAGTTCCTAGGTGTATTCAGTTCCCGTCAGGATTGTTATTCTTTCAAGGTAGATGTTTATGCCAGGTTTCTCTTACGCTGCAGCCTTTAAATAGCTCGCTTGACGAACGTCTTCGCCCGTGGGGATGATACTTTTCCCCATGACACCGGTAACGTAAGGTCTCACAGTGTCAATGGATGTCTCCTTACCAGCCATGATCCACAGCAGCTGTGCACTAGCAGCCAGAGGACTGGCTCCAACGACAGGAGAGGCGATATAGTCTGCTCCTCTCTCTTGCAGCCTAGATCTAGCCGTCGCCGAAGAGGAAGGCTGAATCGTCGAGGTGTCCACTATGATCTTGCTATCAAGATGATCAACCTCGAGAATCGTGTCAAGCACAGATCCCACTGCTGAATCGTCCGCCAAAGACATGAACACAATGTCCGAGTTAGACACTAATTCGGTAATGCTTGAGGGCACTCCACCGAGTTCTTTTAGAGGTGCACCGCGAGACTCGGTGCGATTGTAAAAGCGAAGATTTGGTTCTTGCTTCTTGGATAGATACTTTTGCAAATTGGAAGCCATACTAAGGCCCATGGAGCCCAGACCTGATGAAGATTAACAGCTGCAGTTGAAGATGATGTATATGGGCGAAGAGGATATACATGCCTATCCATCCCAGCTTAGGGATAAAGGAAAGCTGCGAGGAAGATTGTAGAGTATGCATGTCGAGTGTAGTCAACGACGCTCTTGCGGACTATGTGAGAGAGGCGGAGAAGAGGTGCCAATTGCCCATTTATATACTTACCTTAGCATCAATGCACTGGGTGAGGTGATTAGGAACAATTCCCGACCTCTCTCAAGGTTTACTGACAATGGCGTCGGAGATTATACCAGACTTCCGGCGGTAGCTGTGCTTTGAATCTAGGCCCGATGGAATCGGGTAAAGAGGAGTTCATCATCGCGGCCACAAGAACGAGGGAAGTTTGAGAGTCTCAAGATATTCAGATCTTTCCATGTTTTCCCACAAGTGCTGGATAGAGTCGACTGCGAGATTGAGGCACACCGTGAGCATCATGTAATCAAACTACCATCACCACCAAGAAGTTCTGCCCACTCTCACCCAATATAGTGAGATTCCCTTCCAGTAACAAGCACATACGACCATACCCATCGGAAAATTCGGGATCCCGTCCGCTCTCCCATAGACAAGCCGATGAGGGCCAGACTAGTAGTTGAGTCGGTGACGATCAGCGAATCCCTGGTGTTGTATGTTTTTGTTTTTTCCCTTCTCATATGCTTCTTGACCACTAGCAAAGAAAGACAGATAGGTGAGGTAGATACTCCGTACATGAGTAAGTTACGTGGGTTGCAGTCGCAGAGCCGGTGATCAGATCGCCCAACATGCGTGGCCTGCCTATGTCCAAGCGGGCACGGAGGGGGGGGGGGGGGGTGGTAAGGCAAATCTTGAGAGAAAAGGGAAAGAAGAATCTAAAAAAGATTCGCCGATCCGTTTTCCCTTGTGCTCGGACATTGAGCAACATCCCATAACTCTCAGATCCACGGCTGTCTAGCTTGGATACCTTTGGCAGTCAGAGAAACTCGACAACTCGTACATCCAATTGCCTTTTTAGGCAAGAGTTTGCAAAAAACCTTCAGTCTGATCTTTTCCCTACACAAAACCCACAGCCACACTATCATCACGTCACGCCGTCCCGACGAGGGGACGAAGGGGGCGCACAAGCTTCGAACAAGGACAAGTCAGCAGAGTCAGTCCAAAAAACCATGGGCCTTTCTTGTTCGTCGTAGGCCTTTTGATTCCCCCGGCCTGCCGAAATGGTGTCCCAAAACAGGACGAAAAACCGGGTCGCCTCATCTTCCAAACTCTCCCGTTCCAGCAACATGTCAAGTAAGGTACACACACATACACAGGCTTTGCTTTCCATTCCATCTCTTGTCAGTTTTTGGCAGAAACCTCTGGTCCCGATCAAGGCTTCCACCTACCGAACGACCGACAACGATCCCCAGTGTTCCCAAACGTGAAACGTCCCGGCCATCCCACACTCAGCCTGCAATACGATACCGAACCTCACATATCGCTAATAACGTCACGTCCAAGTCTCAATAGTAGAAAGTATTTATACCTCAACACAGCTACAGACTAACCAAGCCCGTGATCGGAGTCTGGTCCAAAGGAAAAAAGGAAGAACAAAACAAGAGCCTCGTCCGTAAATGCCGCCGTCTTTGGTGCAAGTGCTCAAATTATTTCCTTCGGACCTCACTTTCATCGCACCTTGCTCAACTGAAATGAGCAACTGCGCAGCCAAAACCACCCAGCCTATGTAATCGTGTATTCCGATCAAGCCAAGGGCAACGATCGGACACAGTCTCGCCTAGGACAAGTCAGCATGAAAATAGTTTGACAGGCTCCCTCCCTCTCCCAAATCTACACCCACCAACCTACCTGTCAACCTCTCTTAACACCAAGCACTAAGCCCAAGATGACACCTCCCATCTTGGATCATCGCAGAACAACAGAGATTCAAACCCGTAGACACGTACACACGCCTTCAACTATACCACCAGTACAATCAGATAAGACTGCTCATCGTGCCCGTCCATAACGAAACCCCCTCCTCGATCTGCAGAATGGAGTCCGTGCCCCAAGTTATAAGTGAATGTGACAGCCCGTCTGACGTGAGGCCACCCACCAAACGGAAATGGGAACCAAAGAACCACCAAACCATCATCAATCGTGCCTGGCCGTCTTTTCCAGATCCAAGATTGCGACTGGCTCCAGAGATCCAGGATCTCAGCCACACTTTCCCCCCCTGGTCTCTCCTGTTTGTTGTTCTGCCGTGATGTTCAAACATCGATGGACGCTCAAACCAAGCATATCCAAATTGGGTAAGTAGCTCCCCGGTCTATAACCCCTCCTATCGAGCCTCTTCAGCCTGTCCCGACCCCTACAGCATCAGCTTCTCAAACACGTGAAGTGAGAAGCTGTCGCCGAGTACGCCACGCGGCTACCTGGAACGGTAGAAAGCAATGAAGCAGCATTATCGTTGCTGTGAGTCTATTCTATGAAGCCACGCTATTGTTCTACGTATTTTCACGCGAGCGCTTGAAAGCTGTGCTCGGCAGCATGAAATACCTCAATGCCATGATGGAAAAGCGAGCTTCCGAGAAGTTGCTCAGTAAGCCTAACCGAAACAACCGAGTAGTTAAGATCTTCCCGCGTTATCAAGGACCTCTAGTATCCAGCTACCGTTCCCTCCGCGTTGCTCCCCAAAGGCAGTGCTCCTCGCGGTGCTCTAAGGTATACTGTTTCGTCCTCCCAGCGAAGCAGAACTTGACCAATTTGTTACGTGGGGGGGATGGTCTCATCGATCGTGAATCGCCCGACGTCAGCGCTACTGTAATTCCCCCTGTCCAGATCTGACGTGCACCATGATGTCCAATCCAGACAGACTCATAGGAGCATTTCCAGAAGGACTAGACTTATGCCGGCAATAGCAAGCAATAGGCTCTCAAGAGTCGCCTGATCGGTTCCAGCCATGCTAGTACGTGCAGCCATGGCTATCGAACTTTTCATAAATGGCCCTCCAGAGATCGTTGCTCGAGGAGTGTACTTGGACGTAAGAGCAATATCAGCACAAGTCCTATCAACTATTATATGTAGGAATAACAATGGACCCCATACTTTTGGTCGGTAATCATCATCAACCGTAGGATCTGGCGAAGCACCCTGTACAGAATGATCAAAGAGTGCTTGGTGCCCTGTCTGGGTTCGTATGTAGTCCGCTATGAAGACAGTGCCAATGATCGTCCAGGTTGCGATCACGAGATAGACGAAATTCCTGAAAGTGAACCATCTCGGCAAGTGAACGGTATGGCCGTGCGATTTGGCCGCTTTATGATGATGGTCGGGTTCGTGATGCGTCATCTCTCTGGGAGCGTGCCTGTGAGTAGTCTCGGGAGAAGGGTTGCCATACTGAAAGAAGAAGCAGGGCATGATGCCGATGCCGATGCTGCTGGTTCAAAGTTGGAATTCCGTTGATTCCTTGAGGAATGTTGTTCGTTGAAGGATGTTGATGATTGAGATATGGCGTAGTTCGTTAGCTTACAAGGCCCAGATGATTGTGCAGTGCCGAGTGGAAGAAGCGAAGATTTCCATGACGGAGGTCAGTTTCAGAGAGGCTTCCTCAGTCTGGATTTTGAGACCACCAGACTCTCTCCTTCCTCTTGAGAACGAAAGCCTTGTGGTAGTCGCAGGGGCGACAGATGGCAAATTGATTTCCCGCAGCAGATGGTACAGCAGCAGCTCGTTAAGGCAGTTGCAATGGATGTAAGTCTGCTGACATCAGAACGTCAACATGTGTGGAAGGAAACGGGCGTTTACATCGAAAATTGGTGTCTATTGTATTCAGAAAGGCTCTTGCCATCATCGTAACTCAATGTCTTTTAGGAGGGCCTCTCCATGTTGTTCTCTGACAGGGTATTATTGATTAATCCATCTCCATCGTCATCTTCTCCAAGGAAACGACTTTCGAGGAATCCTCGTTGACGATTTCCTCTCCTGCAAGACCACCCTTTTTACTCAGCAAACATGGGGCAAAGTTAACCAAACCCTTTGCAAGTCTAGAAACGAGTCTCCGTACGCTCGTCCTCTTGCCATCAACGCCTTGAAAAATGCCCTGCTTCAATACGAAGCTTCCGTGTATTCGCAAAAGGGGTATAATCCATAATCCAATCCGTCGTAATAGTGAATGCACAAAATGTACAGAAGAAGAAAAATTTCGTGACCAATTACATCCACACAGTGAAGAAGATCATGACACCAACCAATCCAACAGCCATACCGGCGATTTGCTTGGTGCCAGATCCCGAAGGTCTCTCGGGTGCCGAGGACTCAGCGGATTGTGTGGGCGCTGCGGAAGCGCTGGTGCTTGAGCCCGAAGTCACTGATCCTGTCGGGCTTGAAGAAAAGCTGCCCTTAAACGTCTCTCCGAGAGTAGGCAGACGGACGTTCCCGTCCACCAACCAACCCCCCGTGGCTTTAGGACAATCGCGGGTAGAGACGCTTGTCGGGTTGTAGTTGGATTTCGCGACTCCTGAAGGAGTGATGGTGGCCCATTTGGCTTGCAGATTCTGGAACTCTGGGGCTCTGGGGGTTGGAGTGCCCTTGCGGGTAAAGCCATCGTACACGTCGTCAGCGGTGATGGTCTTGGAGACTTCGGGTCCGTATGACACAATGCCATATCGGTTCTCCTCGTAGATCCATTCGTAAACCATGGCTCCACTCCAGTCATTAACCATGGGCTGGCTGAAGATGGCGTTCTGGTCGTCCCATGTACGCGGGCCTTGGCCAGTGATGCATCCCGTTTCCGTGAAGAAGATGGGCACAGGAAACTTCTCGGCCATGGCTTGCAGGTTTGTGTATCCCGAGGTCTCGTACGTGTTTGGGTCGCACCACTCGTACGAGTTGAGTCCAAAAAAGTCAATGTTGTCCTCTGGCTTTCCGCCACAGGTCAGGTAGTCTTGGAGCATGGGCCGCAACTCAGCGATGTCTGCCGCGGAGTAGCCGACGGGAATCTTGCGATAACCCTTCTTGTCGCGGTAGGCCTTCATGTCTCGTGCAGCAGCCTTCATGAAAGGAGCGACCTGGGACTGAGTGGGAAGCGCTATGATCTCATTGCCAATGAAGAAGCCGAGAACATTATCGTATTTCGCAAAGTTGTCCATTACTTTGGCGTACGCGTTGAACTGCGTCTCGTTCCAGTAGGGAGTATTCTGCACCTCTTGTAAGCCAAAGCACGCGAGCTGGAGATAGGACAGAACGGGGGGGCACCAACAGGAAGAATGTACGAGTCAAAGGTGTCCAAGTCGATGAGGGTGTAAATGCCGGCCTTGTCAAAAGCAGACATGCACCCGTCGTGATTTGCACTGGAATCGACGTGGTAAACGCGGATTGCGTTGGTACCCAGCGTCTTCATGAGGTTGGCGTCGCGGGTGCATTGATCAGTGTCAACCAGTGGGTCATCTGGACAAGCTTTTGTGTTAGACAGTGGACTTTGTAAGTGTGCATTCAGACAGGCTGGGCTAACCTGGTGTCAGTTGGTATGCGATGCCTGTGATTGCGTCAGTCCCAAGGATTCTAGTCAGAAATGCAGTGGGTGATTGGCGTACCTTTCATGAACCATTGCTTGCCGCTCTCGTCGAAGAATTTGCTGCCTACAATCTCGATTGGTGCAAGAGCTGCGGCAGTGCCAAGCAATAATGCCGAGACGAGCTTGGAGACTCGCATGATGAAGGGGTAATCGCAAGAAAATCCTTCTGATAAGCTTCAACTAGCAAATACATGCAATGGGTGAGGATGCGACAATGGTGAGGATGTTGATGCCTGAGTGCTGCGGTTCCCAAGAAAGCCAAAAAGAAAAACGAAAAATGACCCAGAGTCTGTTGATGATGTTGAGGATCGAGGGTTTTTGGCTGTAGCTCGTGTCGACGCAAGATATCGAACTAATGGCGAGGGACACCTCAGTAAGGTAGGGCGAATGCTGAACTGAGCAGGTGCTTTTGCCAGGCGGAGAAAGTAACGACTGTTGGCCGTGGTTGCCTCTTTTTTGCAGGTCTTCACAAGTTGTCGTGTTCCTTCCTTCGATTTAGTCGTCCTGCACCAACCGCAACCAATTCCTTCTCTCGCGATTACAACGTCGTACAAGGCGACACTCTCACTCCGCAAACAACGTCCGTTCTTGGCGAAAACGACAGAAAGATCCAAACAGGGCAGCAACCGTGTTGAAGGCCGTCAGACGAGGTGGAAGGAAAGAGACTTTGCCTGGCGTCGAATATCGTGGATAAGCAACAGCCTCACCTCAAGATGTCGGGAACGCCTTGCTGGGGGGATGGGGAGGGAAGCTATCGATTTTATTGTCCCAGCTTTGCTACTGCAGCTCAACACGGGAGACACTCCGAACAACAAGGCCCTGCAGACTGCAGTTTTTTCCCTCTCTTTTCTTTACCCCTGCTGGCGTTCTTACAAGTAACAACGTTCCTCTCTTGCTCTTTTTGGAATCCCATCCCACCTCTCCACACACGTGGAGTGCCAAACGGATGAGAAAACTGCCTAGGAAGAGAAGCTTGGAGCTCGCTCTGGTGCTAGCAAGGAGCCACGGAGCCCGGTCTAGGGTGGGAAACGACGGCGGCAGGGGTGCGTTAGGTGCGCAACGAGGGAAAAAAAAACGAACCAGGAGTTCAAGCTTGAAGCAACAAGGCCGACTGCATGGGTCTGGATCAATGGAGGTGCGCCATGTTGTGCCATTGGCGGCGGGCCAGGGGTGAAGACGGCCTATCTTGATTGTCGCCCGGCCCAAGAGTGGCCCAGAGGCTCCAGAGTCACAAAAGTCTTGACTCTGACTGGCCTCAACACCCTGGCCTTTCTCACTCGACACACAACCGACTCGACATGGACTGCCTGCTGGCTGCTGCAGAGAGACCGGCGGCGTTGGTCGGCCTCATTGGGGGCAACGCGGGTGGGTGATGCAAGATGCAACACCAGAGGAGGAGTCACCCAGTAAGCAGGCTGGGTCTACAAGACGCCGACGCGTCTTTTCTTGGTCTTGGTTGATAGCTATGACATCTCTCCTCCAGGGCTGATGATTCTCATCGGAATCCTTCGATTCCTCCCGCTCCGCCTCCAGAAGCCAGAGTCCACAACAATTACAGATACACAAGCATATCCCCTCACTCAACCGATCAAGGAAATAACCTCACAGGGTCGGTACGGAGTTGCGGGTACTACTCCTAGACTCTCTGCCCTTGTTTCAATCTCCAGACTACAGACAATGAAGACACAAAAGCAAACTTGGCCGTCGTTTCTTTCTTTTGCCCCCACGGCTACAAACAACATGGCGCCATCCACCCGAAGCCACGCCGTCTTTGACGCCTGCCCAACCAGACCAGCTTCTTTGCTGTCCCAATCCGATAAAATAGCCCGCCACTTTTCGTCGCCTCTCACTAGCCTCGCGTAGCCACACGTCCACTCGAACACGAGTCGGGCACCCGGGAAACGGACCGAGCTATTCTGGCTGATGGGTGGCTGCTAATACTAGGCTGTCAGCCAGAGATTTAGTGCTCCGGCAGAACCCAGCCAACGACGAACGAGGACGGCGACAGCGAGGCATTCAACTTGCCACAATGCCTGGCCTCGCCTCTGCCATCTTCAAGTTGGATGCCTCTTCCCAATTGCGACGACCTATGCCAGGGATTAAGCTGGTCCTTGCCCATCAAGCTTTCGACGTAACGGCGAAAACTCCGTCCTCTCCCCCAGCTCACCACGGCTAGCCTCGACGCGATTTACTTGCTTAATGTCCTCTGCTTCTTCACCGGCTCGCCTAGACCATCATGCGGGGATACCTCTCCAGATTAGCAATGGTCATCCTACAGGGTGCGGCTGGAAATTGGCCTTTTTCCCGTCTTCATTTCCTGTTCGTGGTGTATTCAACAGCCCCCAATGTCAAGGGCGGCTACACGGCAGGGAAAGGTGGCCTAGTAATAATGGCTTCCGGATAACGAGTATGACGCAACACTCTGGTCGCAGCGTCTCATTGAAAATCCCTCTTGGCCCTGCAGTCAGGCAATCGTTGACACGAACCAGGGTAAGCTTAACCCCCGGTCCCGTTCACTGCCTGTAGACCTTATCCGGCGAGGGTTGCAACGGCCACTGCAAAAAAAGATGTGAAAACTCGGGCTTCCGTTTCGTTCGAGGAACAGCTTGACTCCCTCCGACCGCGAGCCCACTGATCTGAAGAGCAGGGAGTCAGGGAGAGGGTTCGCAACAAACAGAGAGCGAATTGATGTCACCTGTGGGCCCAGGCGTCAGCTTCGTTGCATTGCGGCACCTTGACACCCTGGGTGAATCCGTCGTTGGATCCCTCCGAGGAGCCTCTTGGCCGCATCTTCTCTGCCATTGCCTGTCGCAAGTGGTGCGTCGTAGCATTGAAGAAGGTGGCATGCCGCAGAGAGGTGATGAAATGGGCTGTCATCTGCATCAAGTGTAAACGTTTGCATTCACTTGCGGCGCACCCCACCGCGTGTTGCTCATCCAACAAGAGCAATGATGACACGACGAAAGAAAGCAATGCGAAGCCCGTAGGAGCTTTCTTGTTTGTATCGCGGCGATCAAATGGTTTTGTCGATGAAGAAATCTGCCATGGCGACGAGGCTCCAGCAACTGACCGTCTCAGTGAGACATGCATTTGATACCACTGTCGATAATCTCACCATGGCCTCTCCATCTCATTTGGCAAGTTGTCAGAGCATTTATTTGCAAGCAGCACAAAAGCTCCCTTCTGGCTGGCACCCTGCATGGGCTGAAACATGAAAGGAAACCCCCTCGTCGCTCCATCAACAAGCTCGACTCGAGTTTCCCCCGCCTGCCTCCGCGGTATCCGTGAAAGTTATTGGCAGCTCGAATACGGATTATCCATACGGAGTATCCGTACAGACTGACGAAGGCGGGGTGTTGCTGCTCGACACTTGAGGGCCATCAGCATCTGGTGGGCAGACAACGAGGCCAGCGGGGAATAGTAAGGGTCAAACCAGTTGCCAAGCAAACGCCGCGCGCCCATCAAAAAAACGACGGGCGATCTGCTCTCTCGGTCTGGGCGAAGATAAGGGCAGTGACACCTCACTTCCAGAATAAGGCTAGGTTAGCCTTTCAGAATCCCATCCCATCGCTCGGCACTCGAATCGCTTGGCTTTTGTCCTCGCACCTCGTCCAGAAAGACGACAAGAGAAGCCAATGGTGCGGGGAGCTAAGCTACCGTAGTCGGCCAGTTCTACACCGACGAGTCCAATTTTGAGACGGCTTCGGCGCGTTGCCCCGAAGACGTGGCGGCCACGCCTTTCCCCGGCCACCTTCCACAGTGAAGCCAAATGCAGCCAACAAGCACACTATCTGAAGCAAAAACATCGGGCGTGTCTCTCTCGCCGTGTCGCTCGCCCAAATGCAACATGGAAGCCTGCGCATTCGGCATGTTCCAGAGAGGTACGGAGTAGATCCTCAACCCACCTCCACCTCCGGTCCCCCGCATGTCATGCCATGCCCACCAACAAGCGACGAATCCCAGCTGCGACTCTGAGGTTGCAACTTGCGAGTCTGCCTACCCACCTAGGTAGTCGAGCATCGAACTGCCCCTCCCCTGGTTCAGCGGCAACGCGAAACGGGGGTTGACGTCTGCTTCCCGCAAAGCCACCAAGTGGTAGCAGCAGAGTTATTTGGGGTGGTTCCCGGCTGTGGCCTTGAACCTATTTTTCCTTTCGTTCGTTTTGAGTAGGTCGCCAGGGAGGAGACGTGATGCCTGTGCAACGTGGTTCTGGTTCGCAGTTGACAAAAAAGCACTGATCATTATCCCTTCTCTGTCGCTGTCGGCCCTTGTCGTAAGGTCTCTTATTTTCGTATATTGGACCTCAGAGGGGCAATTTGGAACAGTTCTAGAGACATTGACCAAGGTAAGGGCAGATGTCTAAAGTGTACCAATATCTGGTTTCTTCTAGTCCGCAGGGAGGGTGGGTACATACTCATCGCAGACTTGGCGATTGTGCATCAAACGCCCGTACTGTATGGTGTAGGTCCGTCGAAGTTCTCAGTCATGACAAGGTGCGAACAATACTTGGCGCTTTCTCTTTTCAGATTGTACATCGAGTACAGATGTGACAGACATTGAGATGAGCCCAGTTGTAGAGGGAAGCTACTGATCAGCTCGTGTGACTATGAACCTTGAACGGTCCACCTCGAACGACCTACTTTCGCGATAAAGTTCATTGAGGACAGTCCTGGGTGTTCTTACATAGACACTTACGACGGCACATTCCCTTGTGCCTCTATTCTAGAAGGCAATGAACCTCCTTATTGGGTGTTCCGTCACCTTTTCCGGTTCGACGTTGTCCGAGATATGCGCTGCTCCGTCCACCCGACCTACAAGCGGCTCCCGCATGGATTCTTTCTTACAAGTCAAGGATTGCTGGATATTCGCCGCCTCAAGAACCTCGCAATGGAGGAATTCCTTCCGGAGCCTCGCGGTGTCTTCATTATTTTGATCCTCTCTGCGAGACTCCGCGGAAACGATGGGATAAGGAGAACAGTGTAGCTCTCTGAACAAGCCAAGGATTGCGGGCTGCTCCTCTGCATACCGCCGACAAATCGCTAGTAAAACTATTGATCTCGAACCGAGACGGCAACGTGGCTACCAGCCCCAGCAGCCAAGTTTGTCAGTAATTCTCATCTCATATAAGCCAGGCCCGGAGAAGACCCTTTCGAGCCATGGCCTTGTTTATTCCACCTCACGCGTGTTTCCACGACCTCGACATCAAATGAAGTAAGATGATCTCACTTTTTCTAACAACCATCGTGGTATCAATGTGAGTGTACATCAACGGCAGTGGGCCGGAATTTCCGAGGAAGTTTATAGCATGATCTAGAAGATGAGGTAGCTAGTCGGGGCTGAGAGTATGTCGTCCACGAAGCGGCCTCGGCCGGTCTTCTCTAATGGATCGTCAGGCTGTTTATCGGAATGATAAATTTTCATTCATTTACAAGGAATGATTGGCATAGGGTTTAACCACTCAAAGAGGTCTATCGAGGATGTTGACGTCGTCAAAGACCCGCCATCATACGTCCGGAGTGAACGTTGGGCAGAACCAAGCCAAGAAGGGTTCACTTGCTATAACTGTTGAATTCTTCGCCACGCGGGAGACAGGACTTTGGAGAGTGAAACTTCTCACGGCTTCATATGGGAAGCTGAGCTCATGATCGGGAACTGAAATCCTCTCATGGGTGCATTACTCACGCGGTCATAAGGAGCAACAGACGGCTCACTTCTTGATGCATCAACAGATGGAATAGCCGCATGATGAGGTCTTTGTGAATTTTGATATCGGAAGATGACGAGCTCATAACGAGCCCCACGCTGGCGTGAAACATGTTGGTTCGAGTAGTCACCATGTTGCGATCTTGCCGGGCGTGTCGAAGACGGAGTTCGGAGTCGAATACAAGCATGTCGTCTTTGGGTAGACTGATCCAGTCGGGTCTCTAGCAGTGCTTTCCTTCCAACGCCGTCCCTTCTAAGAGTAGCCTCTTACGATTGTAACGAATAGTCATTCGATCTGGCAGGCGGGATTGTATTCGGTCCTCCTGGACGGGTTATAGGACGCGTATCTCACAAATGTAACTAGATACCCGGGAAGTACAAGTCCACAAGAGACTGGACTAACAACAGAAATTTGTTGTATGTAAAGACCTGGAAAGCTTCTTCGGTAATATAGGAATTCCATATACAAGGGACCTGGCGTTATTCTCATGAGATAGATGGACGACCTTCTAAGTCATATACAAGCCGACAGCCTATATTCAACGAGGACATCAAACCTGACATCATCACCGTGTGTCAACCTTGAACAACTGGAGCATGAACGAGTTCATTCTGCATCACTCAGCCGCTATAATTGATAATCAGAGTGGCTGGTCCGGGAGGACAGATCGACTTCCAAGCACCTAGAATATCAGAATCACCGCCCGCGCGTGCACGACCATGATAGAGCCAGACTTGAGGCAAAAGCGTTTCCCTTCTTCTTCCAGAAAGCTGTACTGGACTCCTCTCAATTTAGCCCTGCTACTTAAGGTCTATGTAAGAGCAAAACAATATTCCGAAATCTAGTGGCACTCGAGGCCAAAACGGACCTACCTAGCATTGCCAAACTTCTCTCTCGTGACATCGAATCTCTTCACCCAACCGTGAGAGATGGTCACCATATGGGACACTACTCTTCGGGGAACAGAAAACAGGGCAGAAAGAATCAATTTAGATAGACTCAATGCAGGTAGATACCTGAGATCATTGCCGTCAAGGAATAACTGCATTAAGCGCGCTTCCCCCTGCCCCGTTGTTCAACTCTCTCAGCAGCTCACCGCAGCTATATACGTCGGGACCGAAGAAAGTCCCCAGCCAGTCTCTACCAACAGGTAGATGTGTCCCCAAGATCTACCCCCCATCTCGCAAGCAGCGTTGAGTGGTCAGGATCTCTGGGCCTAGTTTATCCGGGAGAACTTGTCAATGACGTCCGGCTTCATCTTGTATCAAAAACTTGGAAACGACTTTTCTGGAGAGGTGAACACAAAATAAAGACGACCAAACCAGCTCCCAAGTAAACGACAGAAAGAAGGAGGCACAAACGTTGACATGTCCATACAAATCGAGTTGAATACAAGATATCCGTAGGTCGACCTGTGAACCTAACCTCGGCGAGCAGCACATGAACATCTTCCCCAGGCTCATGAACAACACAAAACTCAGCAACAGGTCCCGGAGAAGCCATGTGATTTCACTCGTATACAGCCGCATCCTACTCTGCACGGATAATCAAGCTCCTTTTCCGTCCATGAGAAACCGGTCATCGTATCACCTCAACAGTCAAAAAGCCTTCACTTGATACCCCCCGCATGTGTTTGCCTTTCGAGCTTCCCTCTTTCAAAACGCGGGGTTCATCCGCCTCGCAGGGATGAGCTGCGTCAGCAGTAGCAGTGCACCTCGTTTTACCTAGTACCCGGGATACCTTAGACAGAGCAGCTTAGAAATTCCCATCAACCCATTGCGTAGACTTCTCATCCTTCAGGGGGTCCACAGACGAACCAACAAGCGTGCCAAGCTGTTACCTCTATGAGCCACCTAATCGTAATTTGCTGTAAAAGCCAGTACCGTACTTTGTAGTGTTGCAGTAGCAGCTCGTGCGGCACGCCGCCGCCGCCATCGCCCCCAACGCCCCCAAAGGGAACAAGGTGGGAGAAAGCCTCACTTCCACAGCACCTTACCACCGCAGTGCACGCTTACCTTACCTTACTCCTCACAGCCCGTGAGACCCCCCCCTGCTGGAAAAAAAGCCTCTTTGGAATTCCGTTTGTCATGTAAACTGCCCATTCGACGAATTCACGGCCATCACGTAACCAGGGGCACGAATAATGCCATTTCTCGCCCATTCAATCAGCGGAATTTACCCTATTGATGGCAAAGCTATTGCTAGCAAGCTTCTTACGTACAAAAAGGGACCACTTCGTCCCCTCCCTCGCTCGTGGTCGTTTCCCATCCCCGCGCTATTCATTCTTTTCCCCATCTTTTGCCCCCGCCCTCCCTATAGCACCTTGGCTCTCGCTGTTCATGGCTCGGCTCGGAACCCGCATAGTCGAAAGAAACCATTGGACCATTCGACAATTACAAAGACGTACGGGTATATGATTTCAATATCGAATCTTCATTCCTATCTCGGCTTCTCTTTTTTTCGACTATGGTTGGGCTTGCTTTGTATGCAGACCCATTTGCGATGAGCAACTGCGGCAGAGGTATCGCTGAGCAACAAAGAGGAGAGTAAAAGAAAAAATCACCATCGAAACATCTCATGTCATGACCATTCGAGCGCGCATTCCCCGCCTTTCTTTATCTCATATTGAGATTCTGATGCAAAACCCCAGGCGGTATGGTGTGTGGTATCGATATCGGGACCGCGCCAACCCAATAGGAGAAAAAAGTTTGAATATCGCTCATGAGCTGTTGTACCTCGCCCATACAGGGCCTCGCGTCGAGGCGCCGTGTCTCAATACACCGGGGCTTGGTCGCTACGTCCGCCCTGGACACCGGGGCTCGAGTCCCACGGCCCGGGCGATCGTACCGGCGGTACCCGGATGTTCCGAATAGCAGTGAACCCGGGCCCGAGGTCTCGGTCTTGATCGCTGCTTGCCGCACTACTCATCCCGCTGTTGTTCGACATACCGCCGCTGCTGTTCGTTCTCGAATGGGACAACCCTCTCGGACTGATGCTTCCAATGCTCTCACTCCCACGTCGCGGCAGTTGCGGTATTGAGTTCTGTCGGATAGGCTGAGGCATGAGTTCGGCGTTGGGGCTGATGGGCTGTATTCGCAAGTGCGACATGCCAAAGTCCCAGCCGCCGTATTGATGAACACAGTGAGGCTCCTTAATGTCGCAGTATTTGGTCAACAACTGGTACACTTGTGTTTGCACCTCGGCCGCTGAGGGTCGATCCATCGGATTCGCCGATAGCATACGGGCAACAATGTGCATTAAGGGTACGATGCCTCGGAACACGAGGCCTCCATCGGATTCGGATACCTTCTTTGACGCCTCCTTTGCTAGTGTCGACATCCAGGACTCGACCTGTCCGAGGTTCTTGTGAAATGACGAATCCAAAACGGCACCACCACGACCGGGGGTCTTGTGCTTGGCAGCACGGTGTGCGGCAAAACTTTTGGTTGTCTTTTTGACGAGGAAGCTCATCAGGTCCAAGATGACACAGCCAAGCGAGAAGATGTCGGCGGCTTGCGGGTTCAGATGTGGGTTGGGCGTGTTCAGCATCGCATTTGGGCTACCCGGGTTGTCACTCCTTGGGATGGAGAAGTTGGTGTGCGTCTCCGGAGACGTCGATATCGCCATCGTCGCCATACGGCCTAAAGGACTCGTCGGACCGCCTGTCGGGCGAAACCATTGTTCCGGGGCTGCGTAGTCGTATGACTCCCGGTCAAACGAATTCTTGTCCGTGTAACCGGCTAGAACCTCGGCGTTTAGTCTCGTGAAATCCGAGTAAAAGATGTGGAGCTGACTGGTGAAGAGTATAGATGAAGGTTTGATGTTCCCGTGGCATAGCCTTCTGCTGTGAAGGTAGGCGAGGGTGTCAGCGAGACAGAGGATCCAGTTCATAATCGTCCGTCTCCGCTCCTTCTTTGAGAGATTCTTAAAGTTAGATGGCGTATTGCCAAAGAAAGACTTCAGGTTGGAGTCGGTAGCAGGGGTAAAGAGGACGTATGCCGCTCCGATCTGCGTGTATGAAGCGTAATACGATACCAAGTGGTCATTCTGGATGCCCCTGATGCTATTGATGATCTCGACGAACTCGCCTTTGGAGAGCTGGCCGAACCCGTTCCCGAGTGGGATGCGGCGTCGGTAAAAGACTGTACCGGGACAGTTGGGGAGGACGACCTTGTCTACTGAAGTATTCCCCGCCGGTCTGCGCTCGACGACCTCGAGAGGAACAATTTCGTACTCGTTAAAGACGACGTGGTCGCCTCGTTGGAAGGGCTTGAGCAGATAGGTGAACTGGCGAGAAAAAAACTTGCGCTCAATCTTATCGTCCCTTTGAGCCGTCAACCTAAGCCGCTCGACATGCTCGGAAGATATGGGCAGGTCATGGTCGTCCCATGAGTCGTCGACGATGCCGAAGATCTGATCTGGAATCTTGAGGTCGACGAGAATCAAGAAGATGCGCTTGGCCTTGTTGTTGATCCAGTCCCAATACGTCTCATCCGTCAAACCATCACCAAAAGCTAGTGGCTGGCTTAGGCGCTCAATCTCCTCTGGTAAGAGGTACTGACAGACGAACTGTCTCGTGACAGTAGCGTCAATCTTTGAAGCATCCCACCACTGACCCATGGTGCCCGTTGTCCAAAAATCCAGAGGTTGGTCTCGTGACGGCCGTTCAGCCTTGCGGAGACGTCGGGTCAGCCGCGTGTAGCTGGCTCACGGGCTCGATGTTCCACTTGGGGTTTGGCGTGTCCTGGGTTGCTTCGCGCAGTTGCTGGCCCCCTGAAATGCGGTGACGTGCCTGCCGTCTAGGACGCTGGCGATACAGGCTGCATTACCGCGTGCCTCAGAGCCCGGTTCTTGGGGGGAGAAGCAGCCGGAGGTCGGGATGTGGGAGCTGGAAGCTGAGAGCTGCGAGCTGCAAAAATAGGTCCAGCAAAAAAGAGATTATTGGGAGTGTGTGAGGTTTATGTTTGAGACGAAGCAGATCAGATTGGTACTGGACGGGAACGGAATTATTTTCATGGGGTCAGAGGAAGTGTCGGGTTGGTGGTCAGTTCCATGTCGAGTCCGTCCGTCCACGTCTGCTTCCATGTTTGGGCACCCTCAGTTAAAGAGAGAAGGCAGCTTACCCTTACCTTTGGCTTTCGCGGCAGCCCTTGTACCGCGTCTCGCAAAGACGTAAGCAGAGGTACTTTGGTCCCCGTTCTCGATGGGCAAATGGGGCCCCAACACTCGTCTACAATTGCCCAGTATCAGCAAGTCCACACACCCAGGATGGGGCGTATTTGGCTTTTGCCTTTGGGGACGCAGCGGGCGGCATAGCGGGGGCAAGGTTGGCAACACACTAGTAACAGAAGGCGAAGAAGGCCCCGGCGTACGGCTTGCGGGCGCAAGCGCGGTTGCATGAGCCATCAGTCTCATTCTCGCGTGCCCTCGCCCCGTCTGCGTCTTCCAGTTGGAGAAGGGGGGAACGAGGTCTGCGGGACGGCTTGTATCTGTACCTGCACCTGTACTTGTACGAAGCACCCGAACCCTGTCCCCTACTCGTAAGCCTGCCGCTGCCGTGGCCATTGTAGACGGTGATGGTACATTCGAGGTGCCCGTCGAGGTGCCCGGTGAAAGATCTCCCCTGGCCCTGAGTCTCCTCAAGTTGCGTTTACTTTGCCGGCACTCTCGTGATGGGGAACTCTGAGCTTGTGGCTCGCATGACGTGGTAAGCTCATTGGCCGGACTGGCGGCGCGATAAGAAAACCTTCGAGTCCGAGAGTGATGGTTGTCCCATATGGTACGGATAAGTAGTCGTCTCTTCTGTATTAGTTAGTTAACCTTGGTTAGTTAACCTTGGGTCCGTCGTCTATTCGGCAAAACGCGCCAAATTCGTTCTGGCAGCCTGACAGGCACGCTTTTCAAGTTCGCTGGCGGGATGCCGCACGCACCCGGGGTGCATGGCATCGTACATTGCCAGTCAGCAGTTGCTGGATGGGGGCTTGCCTTTTCTTGCTGTTACACTGCTTCGTCCACAGCGCATCGTGGCCGATCCCCCATGCCGTGCGGGTGAACAATGAATGCATTCTTGGCGTGCGCGGGCGTCGACTGAATGTATGTTGAATGCACGCGACATCAATGATGCTCGTCGCATCAGGTCATTGCGCAGCCAGCTCGCTCCCGACTCTCGCACCTCGCACCTCGCAGGCTCGCATATCGTAGGCTCGTACTAAAGACCCTGAGGCGGACCCCTCTATCAGGGGTTTAGCTGGCCAACGTCATGGCTCGCAGCGTACAGCGTGGGCGATGGTGGGGTATCCCCAAGGACGTATGTACTGCAGTTGGTAGGGGTCGACAAGAAAGACCCCCACTCTGAGACCATATCTTTTTCCAAAGTTGAGCTTCAGACGTGTCCGCGGCTTGAATGCGGTCGCTGCGTCCGCCTTGAAAGATGGGCAGCATCAAACATCGTTGCGCGACAAGAAGCGAGGATGGCAGAAATTCGATAGGGCGTACGGTATGCTGCGTACGTGACCTGACCTGACCTGTCTTGGAGGGGAAATATGCTCGCAGACTCCGTGAACAGGCTTCGGGGAGCCAACAGACAAATAGGAGCACTGCACTGCGCAGACGAGCGGGCGTTTTCAAAGTCTGGCCGCCGGGAGGGCGGCGGTACAACCGGTGGGCACCGGCAGGCTGGCTCATTGCCAGGCAAAAGGCAGGCCGCGAGCCAGGATTTCCCAACTGATTCCTTCAACCCACACACTCTCCTGCGCGAGCCCCCGGTTCATTTAGGCTCCCCGGCACCAACAGGAGGTTCCATCGATCGGCGACTGTCGAATAATAATGGACGGGTTGGGACACAGAGATCAATGGTTGGTGTCGAGGGAGGCACGGGAGGGTCGTAGTGTGCCGTTTTGGGTATGCTTTTTTGGGTATTTTGGTCGTAGAAGCTCGAGAGCACCAGGCGCTTGGATACTCGCTGTCTTGGCTAAACCCTGCATCGTGCCATGCCATGTCTGATCACAGCAGATTCCGGGGCAGCACACGAGCTGTTGAAGGAGTCGTTCTGCGGTGTTGTTATCAAGAAAGTGCCCGTATATCCGCAAGGTAGTGTACGGATATTCTGCTGCACCAGGAGAGACGTTGCGGGCAACAAGGCAGGCGAAGTGCAGATTCTCTATTGGAGCATCAGCATGAGCATGAGCATGCCCCCGGCCTCTCCTCATCACGATTCACCCGGCGGTACCATGTTCGTTTGATAACCATCGAGTGTCTCCAGGCTTGCTTGATTGGACGCTGAAGCGGGAGAGATGACATGACTGGTGTCCGAGTTGCGATCGGGAGCGAAGGATTGTGATGCAGAAGTGAATTGCCAGGATGAGAGTCAGAGTGCCAGGCTCTTGACGTCCGCCGGCCGGTGTCAGTGGAGAGAGTGGAGGTTGGCTCGCTAGACGGGAAAAGGAATGGAAGGAAGGGTGGGAGCGGCGGGGGGAGGGGGTCCAGACGGAAGCTGCTGCTCTTGCTGCTCTTGCTGCAAGGTCACAGTGGAAGGTGCGAGCTGGAATGCAGTGGTGGGGTCGGACTTGCTCCGCGTGCGTTCCTCAACTGAGCGGGAGGGGGACGAAAGTACCGGTACCTCGCCTACCTCCAGCCAGCCATACTTGCTTAATGGCACCTGGGGCCTTATGTAAGGGAAGCCGGAATTGCTGGATTTCTCCTCCAAAAGACAAGAGCACTCACTCATATCGCGACAGCGGCCTGACATGGATGGGACTGAGCCGAGTTGGCGCTTGACAGTTGTTGGTAGTCACGATCGCCAGATCTGTCCCAGGCTCTCGGAGTGGCCCTGGGCCCGCTTTCTAGCCATCTCAACTTCTCCTCCCACTCGATATAAGAGATGCTTAACTGAGGAAGCAGGATTGGACAAGAGCCTGGAATAGCAAGATCGACGCACTCATTACCCTCTCACACTCACTTAACTTGCTACGACCCTTTCACTGGCGACCAGAGACTACGTGTATGCTCTTCCACATGCTCATTCGACGCTCACCCTAGTGGCGATCCCCCGGATTACTCGACATTTGCCGTATGTCTACACTTGCTTCATACGCTGTCATTTCTCTCTTCACGATGATTGAATCGGTACACGAACTCTTCCTCGTGTTCACCTTTCATTGCCCAGCAAACGGTTGCCTTGGCGGGACGCACAAAAGCACTCTCTGTGTACCTTAAGAATAGGTTACCGGCGTTCCTACGAATAGATTGTGTCCACTCAAGGATCCGGGCGAGACTCTTACGCGCCCGCAAAGCTAGGCCCGCAAACGTCTCTCCCTGCACCATCCTCATCTGACATCTGACAAACTAATGAGTTGCAACGAGTATCCGTACATGTAGCCCGAGAGTTTAATGTACCCTGCGCTGACTACCTGTGGCCGACCCAAGCTTCCTTATTACCTCGCATGCTGCAAGGTGCCCATTTCTTGCACTAGCAGTCCAGCAATCGGCCTCGGAGTCTGTTGCTCTCGAGGCCAAGGGCTAGGCCGGGCCTGAAAGTCAAACCGGGGCCCATTGTCGATACAGCCATGCCTCGCAAACGCAACACAGATTCCAAAGGTACTAGGATCTAATAAGAAGAGAGCATATCTTCTTGACGTTCGGCGAGATGCTTCATTCATGTACGAGTAACTCAGAGGTGTGCCATGCTACCTCTAGCCAAGCAAAGACTTGGTCGCTCGCTTGGCGGGGCTCCAACGAAAGCCACCGAAAAAAAGTCGACTCTCTCGATCACACCTCTATTGGCCCGCCGCAAGTCTTGGAAAACGAAAGAAACGGGCGCTGGTGATGGTGAGTGTGTCACCGGCAAGCCATTCGGTCCATACCACAAAGGTCGCAAAACCCACGCAACATGACGTGCCTTATCGCACTACACATCCGATTAGATGTTTATATTATGATATTGATTGAGAGATACTCTATCGTGGACCGAAGACGGTTGTCGAGATCTGTGAAACTCAAAGCTACTTCCAAAGCCAAGGTCTCACGATCAAGGACACAATGTGCAACATCCTCGTGTACTCGAGCTCACCATCTATTGGCTGCGGTGGGTACTTATCCAGCAACAGCAACAGCAACTCTTCGGTCACCCGAAATGGCCAAGCGTGCAGAAGAAGTCCGGAGAACCGTGTTGATCTGAAGTTGAAACTTCGGATCACACCTCAATGATTAATGATTGCAAAGCAGCATGCTCCGTACTAAGGTTGACATTGCGACGGAGTCACGGAGGTTTGCTTGGCTCCCTCGGAGCGAACATCTGAACATTTGAAGCGGCGCATACAGGATTGAGCTACCTATCCATCTACCTATCCATCTCCCTAACCATCGAAGAGCCAAAGGTGACCTCCACTTAAATTTGCGCCACCTGAGTACATTAAAGGTACGTAAAGTACCTCATATACCTTACTTACCTACATCTCGACTCGTCTCACGTTGCGGATGTGTCTGCCGAGCAAAGGGCACGGCGACAAACCAACGTTGAAACTTTGCAACTCTGTGTTTAATCCAAAATCCAGAGTTACGGGCCCTGGCCTGGACGTGAGTCCCGTCAAAAGTCCCTTTCGCAGTCCCAGCTCGGCCGTCCGACACCAGCCTCAATTTCTGGATTGAAATTGATACAATTTCCCCTTTACAGAATCTGGTATTGGAAGCAACCCCCATACAAAGCCACAGCACTCCAAGAGACTCACTCGGTTATCCCAAAGATGACGACGTCTGAGCGGCTCTTCATTCCGCTGCGCAAATGATCAGTGCTTCGCGGTGGAGGGCGGTGAACAGCTGCCGAGTTTCGGATTCACGGAGTGTTGAAGCTGACTGGTTCGGGCGAGAGATGCGGCCCTCCCCGCCTGGCCCGTGAGATAAGATGATACTTTGTGTCGGTGCCCGCGTCACATATACCACCAAAGTATCCCCGAAACAGTTGGCGGGTGCATGGGGCCCGGGTGACAAAGTGCCCCGCAAAGCCCCAAGCTTCCGGACCCAGGGAGGACTTGAGGCTACGACATCTCAACTCTAAACACGTAACGTGGCTGGCATCCCGCTGTTAGGGAATCTCGGAGCATCGCCATCACCTACCCTTTTACGCCTCCCATCCTCCATTCGCCTCCGACCGACGGTGCCGAGACGCACTCCGCAGCATGGCCTCTTGAAAGGCATTTCCAGATTCTCCTTTGCATTCTATTCGACACTTTGCGACAGGTTTAATGATAAAATAAAGACCCGACAGACAGGACACACGCACACCCCCAAACACTAACTTTTTTTGGCGTGGATCTACCGCCAAAATGCCCGACTCGATCGATGCTCCGCTGATGGCCGGCCGCCAGGACCGGGACGACGAGCTTGACTACCGGGACGCGGACGAGGAGGCCGACGTGCTACCCGCGTCCATGAAGCATGCACGCCAATCAGGCCCGAGTCTTTTCGTATGGCTTCTCACATTTGCTGCCGGCATCAGTGGATTGCTCTTTGGATGTGAGTCTCAGACCCCAAGCCTGCAGAAGAATAGGAAGATGCTGACCAAACCTTTCTTTGCGCAGATGACACAGGCGTAATATCAGCAACGCTCGTCAAGATCGACACCTCCCTATCGAACCGAGTCCTCACGACATTCGACAAGTCCATCATCACCTCCAGTACCGCCCTCTTCGCCCTCCTCGTCTCCCCCTTTTCCTCCATCGTCGCCGACGCGCTGGGCCGCAAGCGCGTCATCTTCGTCGCCGACATCCTCTTCATCCTCGGCGCCCTGATGCAGGCCTGGGCCGGCACCGTCACCTCCATGGTCATCGGGCGATCCATCGTCGGCCTGGCCGTCGGCGCCGCCAGCTTCGTCGTGCCCCTGTACATTGCCGAGCTCGCGCCCGCCAGCCACCGCGGCCGGCTCGTGACGATGAACGTCCTTTTCATCACCCTCGGCCAGGTCGTTGCATACATCATCGGCTGGGCGTTTGCCGAGTACGGCGACCAGTCGACGGGTTGGCGCTGGATGGTCGGTCTCGGGGCGCTCCCCGCGGCGCTGCAGTGCTCGATCCTCGCCCTCATGCCCGAGTCACCGCGCTGGCTCGTCATGGTGGGCCAGTCGCTCAAGGCCAAGAAGGTCGTCGAGAGGGTGCTGGGGAACACGGTCGGCGGCATGAGGAACGCCGAGGCGGTCATCAAGGAGATTGAGATTGAGATCAGGGAGGAGAGGGAGGTTATGAGGCGCGAGGGTTCGCCGCGCATGGAGTGGTGGGGAGGCTGGCAGGAGCTGTTCTCCGTCGGGAGGAACAAGCGCGCGCTGGTCATCACCTGCCTGCTCCAGGGCCTCCAGCAGCTGTGCGGTTTCAACTCGCTCATGTATTTCTCGGCGACCATTTTCAAGATGGTCGGGTTCGGCACACCCACCCTCACCGCCATGAGCGTCGCCGTCACAAACTTCATCTTCACGGTCGCGGCGCTGTGCCTCATCGACCGCATCGGCCGACGCAAGATCCTGCTCTACTCCCTGCCGTTTATGATCGCGGGCCTGATGCTCTCGGCATACGGCTTCTCCTTCGTCGACCTGCGGCCCGAAACGGCAGCGGCCTCGGAGGGCGGCACGGGCGAGGGGGCGGGCACGGACAGGGGCGCGGCGGTGCTGATCCTCGTCAGCATCATGGGCTACGTCGCGGCGTACGCCCTGGGCCTGGGCAACGTCCCCTGGATGCAGAGCGAGCTGTTCCCGCTCGCGGTGCGGTCGATCGGCAGCGGCGTCTCGACGGCGACCAACTGGGGCGCCAACTTTGTCGTCGGCCTGACGTTCCTCCCGCTCATGGACGCGCTGAGCCCGTCGTGGACCTTTGTGCTCTACGCGCTCGTGTGTCTGGTGGGCTACGGGCTCATCTGGCGCATCTATCCCGAGACGTCGGGGTTGAGTCTCGAGGAGGCAACGAATCTGCTAGAGAACGGATGGGGCGTCCGACGATAGCCTCGAATTGCCGGCGACGCTCTGGCATGCAGCATGGTGCCCATGGTGTGCAATTGTGCATATGGGGATCCTTGATTTTTTCTATCGAGAGGGGTGGGATATCCCCTGGTATTTTACATATTTTAGATGACAATAGCGAATCAAAACAGTCAATTACACTAAAATGATCTTTGCTGTACGGATGCTAATTAGATCGGTATGGCTAGAAGGAAAATTCAGATGTACTCCGTAGATTACCTACAGTAAGGTAGGTACGGATAGAGAGGGAGGGGCGACGAAGCATTCTAGACCTTTCTGGAACGCTTAGGTCGTTGTGTCGAGTGTGGGTGGAGAAACCAGCTCATTCGGGATATTTTTTACCCTCTTATTTCTTCCTGACCTGGACAGTCACTGAAGGAGCCTCGAAGGGCGGAAACCCAGGAGGCGGCAAGAAGCGGCATTGGGCTGTCGCTCTGGGTTGGGCATTCGGCGAGAGGGTCTACAATAGCGGCCGAAGACCGCGGCCCGTGGGAAATTGTGGATGATGTTATCAGCTTGTCAAGAAAATGAGATAGATCGGGGGGCTGTAGGGAGTCAGGACCCACGATCATCATCCTGAAGCCTGAATGGGACATATAATCTCCCCGTAAATCCGTTATTCCCCTTCCTTTTTGTGGTTGACTAGGGTTTTCTGTTTGATTGTGATTATTTCATGTGTGTGATTGCTCTTCATTCTATGGTATTTTTTCTGTGACCGTCTTGAAGTGTTTTCTCGTGGAATTTCCAAGTATTCCACGCGCGCCGTCGACAACGTCGATGAAGGTAGTCATTCGGCGTTCTAGACACGGACAGACACGGACAGACGCCGAACAGTTGGATGCACACGGCCGGGGATGCCGTGGCGTTTGTGCACGTTTTGTCTAGTCAGTGCTGCAGGGAAAAAGTGGCAGACGCAAGGTGACGTTTAAGGCTGATGACTAAAGCAGTGCATAGGATGGTTCCGAGAGGGCGCGGGGCCGAAGGGGGGGAGAATAGGTAGTGAGAGAATATGTCAATGGGTGACGGGAATCTGAACTTTTGACAATTGGAAACGAATTGATACTACCTTGGGTGGAGCCAATTATTACCGTGATAGGTAATTTTTTCTTACCGTACGGATACAACCGTCGCCATTTCTTCTTTCTGTCTCGGAGGCACCGCGCCTTTGGATGGGCTTAAGTCCAGACTGTCCAGCCCCAGTGACATCATACCCGGTGTTAACCTTTCTCCTACTGCGTATGTCCCATGATTTTTTTCGTCGGATCCGACCGGTTAGCAAAAACTCTAGTTAATTGGCTTCATGGTTAAGGGCGCGGTTCAGGAAGATCATGGTAAACTCTGATTTGCTGTGTACTCTACGGAGTAAGGTCGGTAGTGCTCTGCTCGAGCCATCTGGAGGACTGTGGGTGTGCAGAAACTCTGCGAAAAGTTCGATTGAGTGTTCCTTCCCGGATGGATTGAAGTTGGTAGCCTTATTGGATGACGGAAGTCTAATCCATAGTCTCTTCTCACTCTCTGTTTTGCTGCTTGCATGTATGCGTCTGTCTACAGGTACATTAAACTTTGGTAAGTGACTAAGAACGAACCGCATTTATAAGAAAGATCGTGCAACATGTCGAATTTGTAACAACACTGCCTCCCTGGGCCCTATCGATCGTGCAGGATCGGGTCAGGGAAGGGCAAGCTCCGAACGGCTGCATAGAAGGAGAGAAGAAAAAAAACAAAGCTGCGACACTGACAAACCAAATGGCCAAGATGGGAACCCCACCTTGCCCATCCCTCGGCTGGGTTCCATCACCACCAAGAATTCGAGAATTCCCAGGTTGCAGTGCCGGCTACCGCCTCCGGCCCCGTCCGGGCCCACATTCCAGGCATGTCTTTCCTCCTTTCTGCAGTGTGCGGCGTGTGTGCCTGGGCCACACCCTTTTTCCCACTCGGGCTCGTGTCGTTCGCGCTTTTCTTTTTGTGATGCCGAACTCCTAGCCGAAGTTTTTGTATGGGCAATGGGCGCGCAAGCAAAAATTGCACAGCAAAGAAGGAAATCTCAGCAGGCATGTCGCGCCCGTGGATTTTCCATGGATCTCTCTCCTTCTAGGCCTCCCCAAGTGGGACTTTGCCGTCCCCATTTGCTACCTTACCGTACCGACCCAGGTAGGTATTGTGGTATTCATGTACTCGCACCCGACATTCTTTCCCCCTTGGCTTGGTCACCCAGGAGATGTACCGGCTCCCATCCATCAGCTGAGAACAGAGTCATTCATACCTGACTTGACAAATCTGATTTTTTTCTTCTTCTCCATCCTCGTTTTGCTCCGTCTTCCTATGTGACTATCTCCATACATAGTACTTCGCCCTCGGCCTTTGCGCATCTATAGTCCGCTTCCTAACCCACTCTCTCTCAACCTCGAACCCACTTCCTCACTAATACACTGCTTCTTCATCTGAACTGATCTTTCGCCTCCCCCATCCCTCTCATATATCTCTGGATCTTCAGACACCGCCCAGACAAATTCATTACCCATAAGACGAAGGGACCACCCAACTTGTCTGAGCGCGTATCTAGCATCTCCAGTTTATACCCCTCCTACGGATACATCCACGAGCACTTCCTGCAATTGTCTCCGATCTAGAGCTCCCCCGAATCTGACTGGCGCTTACATTGCATCGGGAGGCGGCCCTACATCATATCACCGACCCTTTATTCCACATTACACTAGATTGACGTAGCTAGCTCGGCGCGCCGCCTTCACAATAGCTCCAAGCTACCTGTCAGCACAACGCACCATTGCATGAGCTCTTTGCTCCCATCCTCCGCGCCCAAGAAAAGTCTCTACCCATTGGCGTTATATACATACCGCCCGATCTGTCGCGAGACACCCTGATCCGTTCTTCACTTTGTTGAAGCATCTACAGCCAGCACCAGCGTCTCAAAACAACATCCAAAACAACATCCAACCCGCCCATAGCGACCTCGTCCAACAATGGCAATGGACGAAGTCGACCGCGAAATCGCGGACGCCGAGCGCGCCGCCTCTCCAAACCGCTACCACGGCCGCGAAAGCCACGAGATCGAACGGGTCCTCTCCGCATCCTCTTCCTCAACCTCCTCCTCCACGGCCTCGCACACGGGGGACCGCACCGCCGCGTATCGCACCGGCACCGGCATCAGCCGCGTCTCGACCCAAAATGACCTCGAGCGTCACCCGACGGCCCTGAGCCGTATAGCTACCGCCCGCAGCCAGCACTCCAACACCGTCGGCCGCAGCATCAAGAGCAGGGAGTCGAGAAGGCCTCTGCCGGCCATGGGCGCCGGCAAGCCGTACCCGCCACCTTTGCCGGAGCAGGAGGACTACGTTGTGGAATTCGATGGGCCGGAAGATCCTCTGCACGCGCAGAACTGGCCGATTAAGAAGAAGTAAGTTTGCTAATGCCAATTGTCGAGTTTCGGTGCGATGTTGCTAGGTGGCGTTGGTGACTGACATGTCTTGGCTCGCAGGTTGCTTACAGCCGCAATGCTTGGCTACACCACGATGACGTCGGCTTTCACCTCGAGTATCTTTTCAGCAGCGACGCAAGTCATCGCAACGGAATACAACGTCTCCGCGACCGTGGGCACCCTCGGCGTCTCCTTTTACGTCCTGGGTTTCGCCTTTGGCCCAACGCTCTGGGCGCCCCTCTCCGAGCTGAGGGGCCGCAGACTACCCCTCGTCCTCTCCATGTTTGGCTTCTCCATCTTCACAATCAGCTGCGCCGTCGCCAAGGACCTCCAGACCATCTTGATATGCCGCTTCTTCGCCGGTTTCTTCGGCGCGTGCCCCTTGGCCGTCGTCGCCGCCGTCTTCTCCGACATGTTTGACAACCGCACCCGCGGCACCGCCATCACCGTCTTCTCCATGGCCGTCTTCACCGGCCCGCTCCTGGCGCCCTTCATCGGCGGCTTCATCGTCGAGTCGCACCTCGGCTGGCGCTGGACCGAGTACATCCCCTCCTTCATGGGCTTCCTCGCCTTCTTCCTCGACCTCTTCTTCCTCGAGGAGACGTACCCGCCCGTCATCCTCGTCAGCAAGGCCTCGGAGCTGCGCCGCCGCACCCGCAACTGGGGCATCCACGCCAAGCAGGAGGAAATCGAAATCGACTTTAAGGAGCTCGTCAACAAGAACTTTTCTCGCCCCATGCGCCTCCTCTTCGGCGAGCCCATCGTCACCGCCCTGTCCGTCTACATGGCCTTCATCTACGGCCTGCTCTACCTCTTCCTCACCGCCTACCCCTTCGTCTTCCGCGGCGTCCACGGCTTCGGCGCGGGCCAGTCCGGTCTCACCTTCTTCGGCATGATCACCGGCCAGCTCATTGCCGGCGTCACCGTCCTCCTCCAGCAGCCGTGGTACCTCCGCAAGCTCAAGGCCAACAACGGCGTCCCCATCCCCGAGTGGCGTCTCCCCAGCGTCATCGCCGGCGGCGTCTTCTTCGCCATCGGCATCTTCTGGTTCGGCTGGTCCGGCTACCGCGCCGACGTCCACTGGATCGTGCCCACCCTCAGCGGCCTCTTCACCGGCTTCGGCCTCATGTCCATCTTCCTCCAGGCCCTCAACTACCTCGTCGACGCCTACCTCATGTTCGCCGCCTCCGCCATCGCCGGCAACACCTTCCTCCGCTCCCTCTGCGGCGCAGGCTTCCCGCTATTCGCGAGCTACATGTTCAACGGCATGGGCATCCAGTGGGCCTCGACCTTGCTGGGCTGCGTCGCCATCGCCCTCGTGCCCATCCCCGTCATCTTCTACATCTGGGGCCACAAGATCCGCGCCAAGTCTGCGTACGCACCGACTTTCGCCGCGCCCGCCGACGAGCCTGATGAGGAGGACCTGGCGCCTGCGCCGCTGAGCAACGGACACACCAGCCACCACCAGGACAATGAGAAGCCGCCGTCCATTGCCGCGATGGAAGCGAGCAGAGCTAGGACGAGCGGCGACAAGGCTGAGAATGCTGTGTAAAAAGTCTTCTCAAACATTTACCATCCGAATCTACCCCAGCATGTTGCGATGTTACGACGCATTTTTATCCTCGTATGTATAAAGACACAAATCTGTCTTGTTTCATGTGGTCTTTGGAATTTGATGATACCATGGAGGCGAGGAAAAATTTGAGCCGGGGGTTTTCATCTCTTGTTTAAAGATGTTTATGACCAGCATCGTTCATCTGATACCACAAAATCTTTTTTGCCTTACGCAAACCTTACCGTAGCCTTTTACGATTAATCACACCCCCAACTAACAACTTAATACAACAAAAAACTGAATAACCTCGGTATTCTCAAGTTATGCGTCCCCCCCTGAAAGGTGCTGTGTGCTGCTCTTCTCTGTGATACAAACATGTTCGCAAAACAAAACCCTCACTAATTCTCCCCCCTTCTTCTTGCTGAGGAAAAGCACGTCAATAGTATATCATACTTGATGGTGACCACATTATGCCAAGACCCCGCAAATCGGCACCTCAGCCCAGGTCCGATGTGGTGGCATCCATACCTTAGTGTCGGGACCCTTGCCCGCATCTTTAGGATCCCCCATTCGCAGGGCGCACGTCGCGGTGACATGGCCCGATGCGGCAGGTCGAACGATGCCGGACTATGGATCCCGTCGCGCCCGTCTATTTCTGTACCCGTCCACCTACCCGTACCAGTTCACGTTCACAACTCGACGTACAGAAGAGCTGAAGTCTGGTGCAAATTAGATACTACCTGTACATGGTGAAGTTCACGGGGTGCGGCCCCAGTTCGCTCCGTGTCAAGTAGCTAGCTACCTTACCTTAGCCGGGTCTATGATCTTACAGGCTGGGTCTAACGCTACGAGAGCAATGCTTACACTCAAACGAAATGGGAAATGAAAAGCGTGAGGGGAAATCTGTGGCTGTGTTTTTGATAAGCTGGGTTCAGGTAGCTCTTACACTTGTTATTAACGGATCCTTCTACGACCCCTCTTGCGTGTTTGATGGCTCGAGTTTGTTAGTAATTTCACGTCTATATAGACCTCTCTCCTTTAAAGAGCCTTTAGGGTAGTTTCATTTCATTTCTAAGAACCTCCCAGTCTTGCCCCTGTAAGCCACTTTCTGAAGTTTCCTCTTCAGAGCCCAGTGTCGACATACTCAAGTCAGGTAAAGGGAGTTTAAAAACACTTGTGAGCTGGTTAAGTAAGCAGCGTCTTATCACCATCACCACCACCACCACCACCACCACTCACACCTCACTCTTCACTCACATTCAAAGTCGCACCACGTCAAACACAATAACAAAGGCCAAATCTATCCAAAGATCCTCAACTAATTCCAACCCTCATTCAGACTCATCGGCCCCAAAACCCGAAATCGTAACAGTAAGAGCCATCTCAGGAAAAAACAATGTCGTCAGAAGAAGCCCCCAAACCGACAAAGACATACGACGCAAGCTGCCACTGCGGCGCCATCAAGTTCTCCCTCACGCTCTCGCCGCCGCTGGAGGACGGGTACAAGGTTCTCAACTGCAACTGCTCCATTTGCCGGCGCAGCGGGTACCTTCTCATCTGTAAATCTTCTTTTCTTTCATATCGAAACGTAGAGCCGGGCGAGTTGCATCATAACCCCTTGTGGCATATTCTCATAAATCCACGGCATATACTCGAGGCGAGGGCGAGAAAGTCCAAAGCTCGTAGCAACAACTAACCTCTGTTTTCTAAACTCAGACCCAAACAAGAAGGACGTCACCTGGCACGACGGCTCGCGCGAAAAGTGCACAAATTACCGGTTCAACACCAAGACCAAGGACCAGATGTTTTGCGGTACTTGCGGATCGAGTTTGGGGATTGACTTTTTGAAGGAGGATTATTATGGCATCAGCGTATGATCCCCCTTCCGATCCTGTCTTCCTTTGCAGCGTGGGTTCCCGCCTGGAAGACTGTAGAGCTAACCAGAACGAATAGGCGCGTGCTCTCGACGGGATTGACCTCGACGCTCTGACGTATAAGAAACTCGACGGGCTGAACAGAGTATCGCCTGCCCAGGACCTGTCCGGCTCGGGAGACAAGGAGGCGAGCACTTGAGCGACTCAAGGTTGAAAAGATTCAAGATATGTTCTTTTGAAATTATAGTATTGTTTCATTCATAATTGTCCTGAGACTTTGAACGTGTTATATGTCCCGCCATTTGTTGGCATTACAGAGAAAACCACATTCGGTGCCGGCACCGCGGGATTTCCCATGGATATTTGTGCAGGAAAACATAAAAATCAACAAACACACGATCTAGATCAGACTCCCGTTCTTCTCGCTCATCCCCCGCTCTTGCCTGCCGATAAACGTCTGCATGGAAGTATCCACGCGCGCAACCTTTCTCGCAATCTGCTGAACGGCGACGGGGAGCACGTTGTACCAGTGAATCCACCGTGCGTACAGCGGCATCGCGACGTGCGCGCTCTTGCCGGCGTCGATGGCAGCAATGACCTCCTTGCAGACGTCGACGGGCTCGACGACGGGCGCGACAAAGGCGTGCGGGGTCTGCACGCCGTAGAAGAGGGGGGTCGACAGCTGGCCCGGCTCGACGAGGATGGTGCGGATCTCCGGGTGGGAGGCGGCGAGCTCGGCGGTCAGGGACTTGTGCAGGGCCGTGACGCCGGCCTTGGCGGCGGCGTAGTCCGTCAGGGAAGCGGCGCCGAGGTGGCCGAGGACCGAGGACATTGTGACGATGGTGCCGCCGTTGCCGCCGCGGATCATGGGCGGGAGGAAGGTCTTTAGGGTGTAGAAGTGTGCGGTCAGGTTCGTGGTGATGGACTTTTCAATCTCTTCGAATTCGAGGTCGAGGAGGGACTTGCCCTTTACGATGGCGGCGTTGTTGATGAGGACGGTTGGGGTGCCGAGCTGGAGGAGGGTTAGTCTTTCTGTCTTTGTAATGGCACATTCCGGCCTTGTAAAGGGGTTTCAGTTGGTGAACTCACATCTCTTTCAATCTGCGCCGCAACCCTCGCAACTTGTGCCTTGTCCGTCACGTCGCACTTGTAGAAGGTGACGCCCCGCGCTTCGCCGTTCTCCATATCATTGACGTCCAACACCGCCACAGTCGCGCCGCGCATGCCGTACACCTCGGCAATGAGGAGACCCAGGCCGCTGGCGCCGCCCGTGATGACGATGACCTCCTCGGTGAGATCAACCTCGCGCGGCAGGCCGTAGGCGATGCGCAGGTTGACCGCTTGCGCGATCCAACAGACGGTGATGAAGCATGCCCAGGCGATGGACACGAGCATGGGCGGGGCATCCCAGCGGAGGGCCTGGGCGCGGAAGCAGAGGGGGATGATCCACGAGACGAAGGGGTGGAAGAAGGTGATCTTGAAGACCTTGACGAGGAGGTCGAGGGAGAGCGGCGCGAACCACGAGTCGCTTTGGGGTGGGCGAGGGTATTCCATCGCGAGCGTCTGGGGGGAGGATATCGGTGGTGGTGGTGGTGGTGGTGGTGCGAGGGGTCGAGCAGTGTAGGAGCTCTACGTCGTTTCGAGAGTTCGATTATTAGGAGAGATCGTATGGGCGTCGCACTCTGTACAGATTCGAACAATTAGGAGAAGAGTATGAGAAGAAGAGATTCCGAAAAAAGTGAAGATGTGTCGTCCAGCGTTGGAAGCGGAAAAATGCACAAAGATGAGACGAAGAAGCGCACAGCCAAACCTCAATTGGGCCACCAAGGGAGCTTGACGCTCTGGCGGGAACTCGTCACATGTGGATGGACCTGAGGCGTTGAAACGGTGGCCAAGCGCCCTAGGGGCCCCTCCCCTGGTGGCAGCTTCCCCTGGAAACCCCTGGTGGGACGACCACTAAAACGCCCCGGAGCCCCTGGCAGCCGCCCATCTTCCACGGCCAGACAAGCCGAGACCCCACTTCCGTCAGCGCCGCCGTCAAGCTTCGTTAAGCTTATCCGAGCCCGGCGGACATGTCGGCCACCCGAGAGCATGCGGAGGGGAGTCCAGGGACGCAAGTTTGCATGCTTCATTACATGCCTCGTCATGATCAAATGATCGAAATTAATCAGCCTACTTCATGATTCTATTTCATGATCATTGCTACATTCTTTTGACCAAACGAGTTGATCCGTGGTATAACCTTATCTAAGTTGCACTTTTCACACGACTATTCCCCCTTTCCCTTTTTACATGGACATAACAAGCCGCCCCAACGCCGAACAATGCAAAGGAATAACGCCAACAGTGGCAAATCCAGAATGCGCCTACTTCTCTCGGGCCAAGATCTGCTTTTCTCTCTCGCCCTTCCGCCTCTCGAACTGCTTCTTGGTGTGTCTGCGCTCGTTCTCCTCGCGCCTCTTGATCGACGAGAGCTCAATGTTCTTGATCTCGCCCGCCTTCTTGATAACCTTGGGCAGATGACGGTGCTTCTTGATACGTCTGACCTCCGGCATGTGGCTGTATCGCTCAACCAAGGCCTCGTTGTACTCGAGCGCCTGTCTCTGCTTGGCGGACCGGATGCCTGATCTGTCTGTGGCGTTGCTTCTCCAGACACGGACGTTACCGTCGTCGGAACCACTGAGAACATACTTTGAATCGGGGGAGAACATGGTGCTGAACACTCTCTGCATGCGCTTGGTGTGGTACATGTCGCGAGAGTGTCCTTGGTCGCGGTTCCAGATGCGCACTGTTCGGTCGTAGGATCCGGAAACCAATTCTTCACCTGTCGGGCTGAACTCGACGCTCATGACGGCGGCGACGTGGCCCTTGAAGACGTTGAGCGCTCTGTCCATCTTGCGCATGTCGAACATCTGCGTCTTGTTAATCGCATGTTCAGGGGTAATCCGATTTTCAGGTGACTTACGTAGCAGTTATGGTCTTCGCTACCAACGACAAAGTTGAAGGCTTCCATTGGGTTCCAAGCGAGAGAGTTGCAGGTAAACGTCATCGTCGTCTTGGTCAAGGGCATAGCAGTACGGACGTCCCAGAGGACGATACTCCTGTCGTCGCCTGTACTTCCCAGAACGGATTGCTCGACCTGGTTGAAGGAAACACAGTTGATGGAGTCGGTCGCATTCGGCCAGCGCAGGACCTCAGGTGCCGCACTTTGTCGCTCGAGGTCGTAGATGGCGATCTCACTGGAGGAAGAGGAGGCCGCAAAGGCGTTTCGCGTTCGGTGGTGGGACAAGCTGAGGAAACCGTTGGTACCCAGCCATGAGGAGATCGGCGGAGAATCGCCAGGCGTGTTGTAGGGATCCCAAAGCTTGATGGTCTTGTCCGCCGCGGCACTGAGAAGCTTTCCATCCTTCGTCCAGCAAAGACTCCGCACGATATTGGAATGGGCGCTCTTCGTCTGCCAAATCTCGGCTCGGCTCGTCAGGTCGAAAGCTTTGATCACACCGTCGGCACTGGCCGATGCCATGTGCTTGAGAGAGTTCGGGTCTTTGGCCATCGAGTAAACCTGGTTCATTTGTTAGAAATCGGGGGCAATAGGCGTTCTGCATCTCGTTTTGGACGTACTCCTTCGACATGGCCGCTGCCCATCTGTCCGATGAAAGGTGCGGCATGCATGCGCTCGAGCTTGACAGCATTCAGAGCTTTGGTGTACCTGTGATCCTTCGTCAGCCCGAATCACAACATGTGGCGAAGCCTACTTACTCTCTGGCGCGCTCCATAGGATGCTGGGCGGGATCGAGGTTCCTGCATTGCGATTAGCCAAGGTCTACGGATGCCAGTGATCTATAATTACCGAGGAAGCTTTTGCGCATTTGCGCCTGGAGGCTGGTAGGCCTCCACGCTCCGAGAAATGGCCTTGATCTTCATATTGGCGGGCGCGATGCTGTCTCTTGCTTGACCATAGAATCCTCGATGGCTCGGAAAGTCTCACAGAACTTCTCTCCCAAAAATTTAAGTGGGGGTGGGGACTTATCGGAGGATAATTGCCAATCAGATAAGGTGACGGATCAATCTCGGCCCGTGTGGCCCCTGCCCTCCAGCCCACCGAAGGTGCTGGCCGGCCAGGCTTGCTTGCGTCGGTCATGGCAACCTGGACCTGTCTGAAGGCGGCGGCTGGAGCTCTTGACACTGCACCAAGCTACCTTCAACCCACCACGAATCCGGCGATCTTTCTCCAAACCACCACTTAACAACGCCGACGACACACGAGCTCAATTCAGCAATCCAATTCGAACCCACCATATCCGATTCGACGTTAAATCAATCAGTCAGGATGGCTCAGGGCGAATCGGCGAGAGTGCAGGAGGCACAGAAGGCGGCCAAGACAGATCCCAGAAAGGCAGAGCAGCTCTACAAGGAAATCATCTCTCAGCCCCCTTCCTCCGCAACCTCCGACGCTGCGGTAAAGGAGTACGAGACGGCGTTGCTTGGTTTGGGAGAGTTGTACCGGGATGAGAAGTGAGCCCCTCCTTGGTCCGGTGATGACATCGTGGGGGCCCCATGTTTGCTAACTACCCGCTTAGGAAGACGCAGGAGCTCGTTGATCTGATCACAAAAAGCCGGACAACCCTGTCTTCATTCGCCAAGGCAAAGACAGCAAAGCTTGGTATGGATTCATCTTGTTGTTCTTCCCAGTTGTGATAGAATTGCGTGCTAACTAAGACCCCGCCAGTCCGCTCCCTGCTTGACCTCTTCGAGAAGATTGAGGGCAGCACCGATATCCAGATCGCAGTTACCAAGTCATGTATAGAATGGGCAACTTCGGAGCGCCGCAGCTTCCTGCGCCAGAACCTCGAGACCCGCCTGGTTGCGCTCCTTATGCAGAAGCAATCCTACTACGACGCACTCACACTCATCAACGGCCTGCTCCGCGAGCTCAAGCGCCTGGACGACAAGCTTGTCCTCGTCGAAGTCCAGCTCCTCGAGTCGCGTGTCTACCACGCCCTCGGCAATATCCCCAAAGCCCGCGCCGCCCTCACCAGTGCCCGCACGAGCGCCGCCTCCGTCTACACCCCGCCTCTTCTTCAAGCCCACCTCGATATGCAGAGCGGTATGCTCCACGCCGAAGACAAGGACTTCAACACCGCCTTCTCCTACTTCATCGAGGCCCTCGATGGCTACCACACCCAGGACGAGTCAGTCAAGGCAACTGCCGCTCTCCAGTACATGCTTCTGTGCAAGATCATGTTGAACTTGGCCGACGACGTCAACAACCTGATGACGTCCAAGCAAGCACAGAAGTACGCCAGCAAGAACCTCGAAGCCATGAAGGCCGTTGCCCGTGCGCACTCAAACCGGTCCTTGGAGGAGTACGAGCAGGCCCTTCAGTCTTACCGTGAGCAGCTCGGCAGCGACGCCTTCATCCGCAACCACCTGCGACGTCTGTACGACGCCATGTTGGAGCAGAACCTTATCAAGGTCATCGAGCCATTCTCCCGCGTCGAGATCAGCCATATCGCAAAGATGGTCGGCCTCGACACGCAACAGGTGGAGCGCAAGCTCTCTCAGATGATCCTGGACAAGGTCATCATCGGTGTGTTGGACCAGGGCGCGGGATGCCTTATCATCTTTGACGAGACTGAGCGCGACAGCGCATACGATCACGCCCTGGCTACGGTTGAGAAGCTGAGCAGCGTGGTGGATGTTCTCTACACCAACCAGGCCTCCATGCTCGAGTAGATGACAAAGGCAGGCGTCCAGGGTTGGCAAAGCGGAATGGATTTGGGACTGTACTATTACCATAGACACGAATGCCGGCGGTGCATGAGACAGAAATTCATTCTGATGAAGTGGTATCCTAACAGTTTATCGGGCGAGGTGCCCGAGTGACCAATGAAGACAAGAAACAAAAATCAAACATAACGATGCCCTGTGACGCCCAGCCTCCCAAACCTCCCCCTTAAAAACGTGGTGAGAGCTTGTATACACACTCATTAAGCATGAGACTGTCGTGAAAATCATATGTCCTGCAACACTAAGCAGGACACTTTCCCAAATTGAAAACGCCCAATATGCACACGCGCACTTCCCCAATCACCCTCATGAATATGCATGCACACCCCATCTATGAAAACCGAACCGAAGGAGCCTTGGGAGCCTTCCCCTGCCTCCTAAGCTCCTCCCCAACAATGAGCGAAAACACCCTCTTGGCGAGCGCCTCCTCGCTCCATACGCCCACCTCGGCCTGGAAGGCGTCCACGACGTCGAGGTGCCACTGCTCCAGCTTCAAGCTGGCGCCGTGCGAGTTGACGGACCGGCCGAGTAACCAGGCCGACTTGCTGGTGAAGTCGTCGGGGAACTCAAAGTCAAAGGGGCCCTCGCGGCGCAGCTGGATGATGTCGTCGAGGAGCAGCCAGTGGTCGCGCGACCACATTGTCTGCGAGAGACGCTGGGGTTCTTGCTCTTCGATGAGTGCTGATTTCTGGACATCGTTTACCATTTGTGGTGCGTCGGTCATGGAGACGTCCATGTCTTCGTTCATCTCTTCGTCTTCCTCAACGACGGTGGCTTCAGCACCAGCAGCATCACCATTCTCCTTGTCCTCCTCCTCCATAATGGCAGCGATGCGCTGCTGCTGCTGTTGCTGCGCAGCAGCGGCGCTACCGCTAGAACTAGCAGACAACCGCCGCTCCGCGCGGACCTGGGCCTGCGCGAGGGGCGAGAGGACGCTGCTCGTGAACTCGACGACGCGGCCCGGCGTGCGGGGCTTCAGCGGGGACCGCAGGCACGACTTTGTCGGCGACATGTTCCTGTCGGGCAACGGCCGGAGGAGGCGGGCGCGCTGCTCCGACTCGGACTCTGACACCGACTTGGACTCGGCGGCGGTGGGCGAGCTTTCCGCAATGGCGGAGGCACTACTCTCCTGCCACTTTTGGATGTCGGCGCGCGTGAGCTGCATCCGTACCGGCGTCAGCGAGGGCACCGGGGCCGCCGAGGGGGCCTTGCTGAAGAGGTTGTTCTGGGTGTTCTTTTGGGCCCCCACGTTGGGCGTAAAGTTCTTCTTCTGCGGTACGGAGGGGAACGATACCTCGTCGGACATGTTGGGCTGCGAGTCTGGGATCTCGGACCGGTGTCTGGTGCTACTGCGGAGGTTCGTTGACGCGAACAGCTCGCGACGGGTATCCATGACCGACTTTCCAAGGACGGACGGTTTTATAGCCGATACGGGATCCGAATAGTCGTACGTGTCAGCAATAGACTTGGTCGCCGAAGGCTTGGCGGGCGAGAACAAATCCGAACGCCCGCTGGCGGAAGGGGCAAAAGCCTTCTGCGGAATAGATGGGAACATGGAGTTTGTCTCGAGGCCGGCATCAACCCGCTCAGGGCGTTGAGCAGCACCTTGGAGATTCAGTCGCTTCTTGTCCAAGACCTCCTTGACGCCCTCTGCTCCAGGTAGGAGATTGGGAGAAGAGAAGAAGGCAGCCAGATCCTTCTTGGCGGACGACCTCTGGGCCACCTCAAACGCCTTTTGAGGAATCTGCTTCTGACGGCTCTGTTGTTGAGAAAGCATCGAGAAGTCCTCCACTTCGCCGTCTGCAAAGTCTGACTTGCGGTTTCGTGACACCGCTGGCGTGAACAGCGTCTGCTTGGGGGCAGGCTCGGCGGGTTTCTGCCAAGGGCTAGGAAGAGCTGTGCGCCTGGGAGGGATAGACGGCGCTGATCGCTTCGCAAAGGACTGTTGACGGCCTCCATTCGAAGCCGGGCGCGATGCTTCTACCGCCCAAATATCATCATCCTCCTCCTCATCTTCTGCTCCAGGCTGCTCTTCCTCGACTTCGGTCTCCTCGGCACGATCCGGACTAACGAGACTAATCTCAAAACTCTGTCGCCGGCTGTGCATTGACCTAGAAGCTGTGTTCGTACTAGAATGGAAGGAGCGCGACTGAGCGAAGGGCTGCTCGCGTGGGGCAGGAGCCTCTTGCATCCAGCTCATCTCATCGGCTTCATCGCCTGGAGCGACTTGAAGCGATCCCGACATTGAGAACGAGACCTCGGGTTCTTCTCTGGCAGGAGACGTCCGCATGCTCTTACTCAAGGCCTCCATAAAGCTGGGCTGGCCAGTGTGGTCGTTCTCGGGGCCGAATGGGTCATCAAACGGCTCTCCTGTTAATTGTGGCGCTAGGGGTTGGGGTTGAGGTTGTGCTGCGGCGCGGGTCGGAGAACCAAAGAATTGAGCTCCCGCCTGGATCAAGTTGGACAATGGCTGAGTCCAGCTGCGAGTCGATTTCGCGGCAGACTGAGGCTGACTGCTGCTTGTTGTAGGTCTGAAGGGGCTACCGAGAGAGTTCTGGCGGGGAGGCGATGAAGCATCGGACGTGACGCTTTGTAGAGCTCGTCCAGCCCTCACAATAGGAGATAGCGTAGGGCGAGCTCCGTTGTCCGGTGATGCTGCGCGAGGCGCCAAGAGGTTGACATCGGGCGATGGAATTGGGGACGAGACAGGGGCAACGGGCGTGATGTACTCATTGGAGGCCGCAGGAAGATCAACCGTCAGGTCCGGGACCGGAAGATCAGAGCTTGCTTCTTCGGGCAACTGAGAATACGCAGCTGTCGGCGAACTTTGGGCCGCTTCGATGGTCTTGGCGTCTGACTGAGGGACAGGAACCTCGGCGGGAGAGGGCGTATCGTCTGGTGTGGGCATTCTGGCTGAGTCTGATCGAGTGTAAGAAACACTCGCAATAGATGGGGCTGCGGACTTGGGTGAACTCTTACGAGCCTCTTCCTCTGCCTCTTCTTCCTCTTCAGCCTCGGCGTCCTCTTCCCCCTCATCTTCTTCTGGTGCCTCATTCATAATGGTTTCTTCGTGTGCTTCATTCATGACGGTTTCTTCCCGTGCTTCGATCCTAACGGTCTCATCATGTACTTCGTCCATCAAGGTCTCCTCGCGTGCCTGAGAGACGTCGGCCTCTCGCCCAATCTCTTGCTCGATTTCGTGCTGCGTCTCAAGGTCATTGACTTCAGGGAACTTCGGTCTCCCAGGCGTAGCAGCTTCCAGGTAGGCTTCCGGGATCTCAGAGAAGTCGTCTTCGTACATGACAGACATTTCCTCATTCACCATCGAGCTCCGCCGGGTGCTCTTAGCACCGGGTGTCGCTGCAGCCAAAACTCTTGAGGGTACGCTGGAAAACGAGTTGTCAATCTGCGAGGTGTCCATTCTCGATTCCTCCAGCCTCGAGTTCTCCGCATCCATCTGCTTGACCTTGGACTCCATAAGCTGTCTGCTAAGCGGGATAGACTTGCGTCGAGGACTGCTTCTAGCCCGGCCTGGCGACTGGTACCCTCTGCTCGGTGACGTCTCCTTGGATGCGAGAGATGGAGGTGGGAGATCCGGACGAGGCAGCGACGGAAGGGCGACCGGAGATTCGATTTCTTCAGCCTCTGTGGCCACAATGGGATCCACATGCGGTTCCGTCTCCTGCTGCGACTGAACTTCTTCCTCTTGAGCCGGGGGATTTCGTACTGGCGAGGATTGCTTGGCGGGGATACTTTCGATCTCATCCTCATCATCGTCAACATGCAGGGCACCGCTTCGCCTCAAAGTTTCGAGGGTCTGGTTGACGATCAAGCCAGTTTCTTCACCGACATCTTCTGAGCGAAGGTCATGCATGCTCATGTGGCCCCTCATGGAAGGAATAGAGTTGGCGAAAATCATACTGAAATCTTCGCCTTGAGCAACAGTATCCTGGTCGCGGAGTTCGTCATTGCCATCGTTGTCGCCAATGAGTGATGAGATGTCGCTAGGCGCACCCGGTGCGAAATCGTATTCGTTGTATGCGGGTTCATTCTCGGACTCCGAATGAAGCTGTTCAGATGGTGTTGGGCTCTTATCTTGCATATAAGCTGGTGTCGGACTGAGGGCGATTGGGTTGTCTTGTGTTGATGCGCGCGGCGTTGCTTGGTCAGACATTGTTTGCATCCATATATCTGGTTCGGATTCCGGCATCGGGTTCGCGGGGAGCTCTCGCCTCGGGGTGGGATCGTCTACAATCATGTCTTCCATGCTCGCTGCGAGACCGTCGTCAGAAGGCGCCACGCCATCAAGGTCAACATCGTTCTCGACCGTTTCCACAGGTTGATCGGAAAACTCGACGCGTTTTGGGCGGCCGCGACGCCGGGTTGTGCTGGGGGGTATCGTAGAGGGCGCCGGGTCTTGGGAAACTTCGCGCGGTTGACGACTGGTGGCCCGTCTGGGACGGGTGGTTGATCTCGGTGTGCCCTGAATGGTGATATCGGTTTCTAAGCCATCTGAATCGGTAATGGTCTTGACTCTGCGGGCTTGTCTTGGTGTCTTTCGTGGAGAAGCTGTAGCCCTCCTCTTCGTCGCCGTACCGGTCTTGGGCGTTCCGGCGGATTTGGGGGGTCGACCTCTCCGCGCGGGTGTCTTGACGGCCGTGTTCTTCCTATCGCCGGCCAGAGGAACTGTTGTTGTGTATGCGCCGCGGCTGAGGGTGGGTGTGTCTGCGTTGAACAATCTGCGCCCAACATTCCCGACACCGACATTTTCGTAATCGCCCTCGGCTTCAACGGTCACTAGCAGCCGTTTCGGCTGACGGTCGTCGCCAACCTCGAGCTCGAACATTTGCTTTCTAGGCGAAGTGCTGCTGCCGCCGAGGGAGAATAGACGTTGTGATCTCTGACTTCGAGTTACGCGACGCGAGGAAGGGTAGAGGGCGGAGGAGACGGTGTCGTTGAGCGGGTCTGGCGACGAAAGCAGCTCGTCGCTACCGCCTCTAGGTCGTGGCGTCGCCATTTTGAGAAATGCGCGAATGGCAAAAAGAACCAAGAAAAAAAAAAAGGCCGCGCTCTATGATTGTCGCATAGACTTTTCTACCAAAAAAAGAAGAAAAGGACGACAAAAAACTAGGCTCAATGGCCTTCGTGTGAAACAAGCAATAGGAATATGTCAAATTCTATGCATTGGATAAGTGTCGTCGCGAAGTGGTGTGTACATGCGGGCTGCAGTCTGCACAGAGGAACGGTTGGGCCTGGCCATTTGGGTTGTCAAATCTGTTTTGTTTACTTAGTCCCATATTAGGCTTAGCTCAGCCCCTCCGTCGCGGGGGGTCCCGCCCCGTCAGCTTTCAAGGCCATTGACGGGAGGTTGCGATGACAGGGGAATAACTTTTCCCCGCTGTTCCGATCTGTCCCGCTCTTTGAGGTGGCCCACCCAGATTCCCGGTCCGTGAAAAAGGTCCCTCGTCAGCTTCTTCAAGAAGTGTTAGCTGATGCGCCCTTGAATAAGTACATACTTACGGACGCTGATGGTGGGTGCCTTTGATGTCCTTGCCTTATCTCATGGAAAGAGGGTCGCGAAGCTGTCATGATCAGATTTATAACCCTGGTCTATCAGGCGAATGCGATAGGCATTCTCTCCCTTGATGCTCGGCAGTACTTCCGTTTCTTCAAATGGACCTTGGCTGGCTTACATCCCAACGGAACCGGTGCCGAGGCATTGCCGGGTAGAAATCACAAGGTACAATGTCTCTCGCCTTATACAATATTCCTGTTCATAATCATACTGCTACATGGCTCCGACTCTTCTGCTGCTTCCATTCTATTCAGGTGTTGCATTCACTGTGCGCTTGATCATTAGAAAGAAACACAAGAAAGAAAGGAATATAGAAAGCGTGTTTTCTTCCCAAATGAAGCATATCTTCCCGGGCCCCGAAATAGCTCCGACCCCACGAGCTCCCGAAGGGACCCGGAGTCCCAGGCCGTGCCAGGCGTGCCACGGTGCCAGGCTTCTGGGGAGGAGCCCCATCACATGCGACCCCTTTGTCATCCCCCTTGTCCTGTGATCGCGCGCATGAAATATATAACACGGCAGGTAATGACATAACTGGGGTTAAGGTTCTTAGCGGCAGACGACGACGCCCATCACTGCCCTCCCTCACTCCCTCCGACCCCCCCTTCGGCATTGAAAACGTGCTTGACCTCGGCTCCCCAGAACCCAAAAGGGACCGAACGCTCTTGTTTGAGATGGTATAGGGCCATTCAGCAGCAACCTTTCCTACCACTGCCATCATTATTATTACCACAACCGTCGCAACGATACCATCTACACTCCATCGTCACCCGCATTTAGATGCTGCATCAGTTTTGAATCAATAATATCATCGTCTCATCTATCGAACCTTTTTGCCCACGAACTTATACCACGACACCACACCCACCATCCACTCAACCTCAACCCCAATTCACAAGCAACCATGTCGAAGCCAGTCCTCCCCCAAAACGACAATGTCGCCCACGCCCTCGCCGGTGCCGGCGGCGGTCTCCTCTCCATGGCCCTGACGTAAGGCCACCGCAAACCCCCCTCCTGTCTTATACCCCAAGAGACACTCTTCTAATCCGCGCGCACCCGCGCCAACAGCTACCCTCTCATCACCCTCTCCACCCGAGCCCAAGTCGAATCGAAGCGCGCCGACTCGGCCTTCCTCACGGCCGTCCAGAAGATCGTGGCCCGCGAGGGCGTCTCGGGCCTCTACTCTGGTCTCGAATCCGCCCTCTTCGGCATCAGCGTCACCAACTTCGTCTACTACTACTGGTACGAGTGGACCCGCGCCTTCTTCGAAGCCGCCGCCGAGAAGGCCGGCCGCGCCAGCAAGAAGCTCACGACCGTCGAGTCCATGATCGCCGGCGCCATCGCCGGCTCCGCGACCGTCATCATCACGAATCCCATCTGGGTCGTCAACACCCGCATGACCACCCGCGGCGGCAAGGGCAAGGAGGCCAGCACCGCCGGCGACGAGGAGGCCCAGGCCGCGAAGCCCAAGAAGGCGCCCTCGACCATCGGCACCCTCCTGGCGCTCCTCAAGAACGAGGGACCCCAGGCCCTCTTCAACGGCGTCATCCCGGCGCTGGTGCTCGTCATCAACCCCATTTTGCAGTACACCCTCTTTGAGCAGATGAAGAACACAGTCGAGAAGAAGAGGCGGGTCACGCCGACCATTGCCTTCTTCCTCGGCGCCGCGGGCAAGCTGTTTGCGACCTCGGTCACGTACCCGTACATCACGGTCAAGAGCCAGATGCACGTCGCCGGCAACGGCGAGAAGAAGGAGGGCATGTCCCAGGCCATTAGCAGGGTCATCCGCGAGGAGGGATACGCTGGTCTCTACAAGGGTGAGTGTTACCTCGGATACCGTTCCGAGATGGTGTCCCCCCCTTTTTTCGGTTCTGTAATGCTGACTTTTTCCCTTCTTTTTCCCCACAGGTATCGGCCCCAAGGTCACCCAGAGTGTGTTGACCGCCGCATTGCTCTTTGCCTTCAAGGATGTTCTCTACGAGCAGACCGTGAAGCTCAGGTCGATTGCCGCCAAGAAGCGCGCGTAAATTAACGTCACATAATAGCCCATTTAATTCCTGCCCTGCCCCGAGTCAAACTATATGACCTCGGACAGGTGCAGGGATGGGACATATCAGCATACATATGTAGACACAAGCAAGCTAGAGGCAACAGGTGCGCATGTCAGCGTTAGCCGCTCAGCGTATATGCAAGCAAGCAGTCATGTTTCATGACGACACAAGAACCTGTATTGATTTTTATGTGGGAATATCAACACGGGGGTAAAAAACGGGTTGGACGAAGCGTTGGACGCATGGGATATACTTTGCATTTAGGTATCACATGATTCCCGGCAAATTTGGAAAGGGGGTGGGTAGGTGTATTCTATGAATTTGTTTTTTTTTCTTCTCTTAGAAAGTAGGATATCAATAATCCACCACATATCTACTTCTCATGTGCCACATATCTTCTCTACCAAAAGTCGTATACATCTCATGCGACGGGTATGATTCGCGGAACGATCCACCACTCGTGATACGACTTATCAGGAGTCGGCACCTCGGCCTTGAGCTTCAGTTCCCCGCCCTCGCCGCTCGACTTGTCCAACGCCTTTCGCACGACCGACACAGCTAGCCCCGTGGCGATGCACGCCTTGAGCCCGTTCTTCACCGACGGCACCCACCGATCATGCGACCCGACGGAAAACGCCTCGACCTCGGAGAACTTGCTCATCACCTCCAGCGCCCTCTTCGCGCCTGCCACAGCCCGGTCCGCGAGCTCCAGCAGGTCGCGCGTCGGGCAGTCCGCCTGCGAGGTGCCGACGGTGTACTCCTCAAACGTCGGGAGCGAGGGCAGGCCGATGGCGGCGAAGGGCTTCATGCGCAGCTCGTAGCGGAGCTCGTCGGTGCTGTAGGGTCGCGGGGGCGGGGTGATGAGGCGGTGGCGGTGGAGGACGGTGTAGAGGCAGCAGAGGGCGTCAGCGAGGCTTTCTGTTGCGGCGGCGTCGAGGAGGGTTTGGCGGAGGAAGGAGAGGGATTTGGTGTATTGGGCTTCTGCGGCGGGTGTGAGGCCCCCAGAGGATGATGATGTTGTTGTTGATTTGTTGCTGGCCCCTGAGCGGGCTTGGTTCAGGCTCCGGACGACGAACGATTTTATGCGCTCGACGTGTTGGAGGCGGTTCTTTGCGAGGAAGTTGAGGTACCAGTACATGCCGGCCAGCTCGTCCGGCTGGTAGACCTCGAGCTCGAAGCCGAGCTGGACGATCCACTCCATTTGTTTGATCTTGTACAGGTACGCCCACGACGAGAGCGGGAGGGACCACTGCTCGACGGGCTGGCCGGCAGCCGACTGATACACGAGGGGCCGCTCGCCGGTGTGCTCCTGAAGGACCTGGTCAATGTCCTCGGCGTCGAACTGGAGGTTCTCCCAGTCGCGGACAATGTGACACAGGGTGCGGCGGACGCGGCACCGGTTCTGGCAGAAGGTACGGAGGATGTCGAGGTAGGGCTGGGCGGCGCGCCGGCGGAAGGATTCCATAGTGTCGGCGATGGCTACGCGCGGGTCCTGCGGGGCCTCGACGTCGTCGTTGGCGCGGTCGAGGAGGGGGCTGTTGGGGAGGGAGACGATGGAGAGGTCGTCGTCGAGGAGCTGGCGGATGGACTTGTGGCCGAGGACCTGCATGTCTTTAAAGAGGAAGCTTTGGAGGAGGGTGCGGACGAAGATTAGGGGCTGGGGCTTCTTTGCTTGGAAGGTTGTGACGTAGGTCTAGACGTTTTCGTGTGAGTAGTTGATCAAGAGAATGGGGATGTGTTTGCGAGATATGTACCTGGAGGCAGATGGCGTCGGTGTAGTCGAGCACTCCCACGACTTCCAGACCGTCGCTAATCATCTTCGTAAGGTGCCCAAAGGCGTCGTCAAAACTTATCTCGACAATCGGTCGTGGCGGCATCGTGCTGGCGAGCTTGCGCTGCAGTTTCGCACTACAAGCCTCGGGTACGGACTTTCCGAGCGCATGAGTGCTCTGGATACCAGGAAGCAAATCCAGAGCCTCTTTCCAGGGGCTCCTGATGAGGGCCGGATCTGTCCGGTACTGCGTGTGGTCTATGGCTGCGAGGAACGTGTACCGGAGGAGCAGCCTGTTGTTCAGGGCGTCAATAGTTCCCTTTGGTATTGAATCCGATAGTTGCCGCAGAATGAAGCTTGCGTCCTTGAGGACATCGCGTACAGACTCTACGCTGAAATCGTCGAGGAGGATCCTGTTGTACGTATTTGTGACAAAGTCCTCTTCCTATATCAATTGGTCAGTCAGGGAGATGGATGTGTGTGTAGGTGAGGAAGTTGCTATGCGGAGAGACTGACTTCATAGTAATGCTCATTCTTGATCCTCTCGTTGACATTTCCGCACGTCTTCAACAGACCCAAGCAATATGCTCGAAGAACGGCATGCATCGGCGCCGGCGGCGTGCCGTTGGCATCTCTGATGAAGTGCGCGTCGTCGATGGTGGCAGGATTCGGCATGAGAATCGACTCGACGTACACGCTTGTGAGGACGGTCTGAGAGAGAGGATATCCAACATGCCAGGCCATCTGCAAACCAAGTCAGCAGAGAGAAAATGACTCTACCGGCGCGAAACTAACTTCGTGGCAGAGCAGCTGGTCGATTATGCCAAGAACCTCCTCAGGGAGAAGAGGGCGAGTCACATCATAGTCCACGTCTAGCGAATCCTCGGCTTCCAAGCAACCGCTGTCCATCTTCGGGTCCATGATCTGGGTGGCTGTCAGTAGGGAGCCCCTCATAGCTTCCATCAAAACCCCATCGGCCCACGTACCTCGAGAGCCCCAACGGACTCAAACAGCGTGAAGAAGCCATCCTTGACCAGTTCGCCAGGGGCAAGCGCTGCGTAAGACGGTCAGTCCAACATCCTGTTCTCATTATGGTAGGATTCCTGCAGCTTACTTTCCGCGGCTGTCTTGAATTTTGACGTGATATCAAAAGCGACGATGCCGTTGTTCGACGCCTTGGGCGGAGGCGGCGGCGGAGGGTGGGGTTGGCGGTCCAGCTCAAGCGAGAGCCTTGAAATGTCTTGAGAATTGGTGAGTGGAACGTGATGCCAAAAAAGGATCTCAATCGGGCTGTGATATTTTCTTACCATCAGACATTCCAAAGCCGGACGGGATGGCCATATCAGCAACTGCACCTCATGAGACTCTTGGGTTGTGTGAGTGCGTTGAGTGCAGGTTTTAGTGAGGTCACAGTTGCATTGGCCTGGGCATGGATATGCCCATCAAGGAGAAAAAATGGCCGGTAAATTCGGAACACGATGATTGCCCTAGGTCCCCTATGGAATGATTTTCAACAAGCAGTTGAGAATAAAAGTGCAACGGTAACGTCTTTGGTTCCTATATGAAAACTGCGAATTTGGGGTTGTTGCAAGTTACGGGTATATGGAACGGGAAACATGGAGTGATTGATTGATCACAACCGAATTTGTCCGGCAGGCGGGCAAATTTGGGTGGAGGGAACCTGGAAAGCACGCCCAACATTCTGGCCGACGTCGAGCGAGAGCGCGCGCTGGTCAGCCGTGACCCGCCCCCGACATCGCAACATTTTGTCACCGGCGCCTGGCAGTGCACACGTTCAATTTAGATCGGTCAACAAGGTCTTAGCATGGCATTTCGATTGATAGATTTTATGCCCAATTTCTCATATGATACAGCAGCTCAGCTGTCAAGCTGAAGCCGGCGGGTACCCGGGGAGGGTGTCTTCACTCCCCATCATTCCCCATCTATCCCTCGACAACCCATGGATGCAATTCCCTCTCCATCTCTCTCACGCGTGTCGGTTCGGAAATTTACGAAGAAGGGGGAGGAGCGTTGACGGTGGCCTCAGCAAGGTTCTTGATCTCGCCCTGCTTGCCGTTCTGCGGTTGCGGTACATTGGAGTCAGCCATTCTGTTCGATGCCCATCGTCATATGTTCGGATCGCTTTCTCACCTCCCACTTGGCGAAACGGAGATCCATCTCTCCACGACGCTCGGCAATGAGTCTCTTGTCCTCCTTCAAGCTGCGGCGCACGACGCGCGAGGCGACGGCGAGGTAGCGGTTGTAGCTGCAAATCGGGGGTTGCCGGGTTAGCTTTTTCCTTTCCTTTTCTCGGCTTCGGTCGCGGGTGCTGCCCAATTGCGACGGATGCAAAAGAGGTTCGGGAGAAGGGCGTTCGTCAATTGAACTCACGTGATACCGGCGGCTTTCCAGGCGAAGACCATTTTGGCGGTTTGTTTGGTTTTGTTGATGGACGAGGTTATATAGGGGGGCAGTCAGCTCGGGCGGATGTGATCAATTGAAGGTTTCTGGATTCCCCGAAGTGCAAGCTCCGAGTTCGATGCCTTTGTGGCCTGAGGCAGACAGAGCCTCAAGCGACGAGGACGGCACTGCACGGGTGAGCGGGTCTCCACTCTTCTCAGGTTCTCTGTGCCTCACAGGCCTCGAAGCCAGGTACTTTGGTACTTGACCACTCAGAACTCAGAAAGATGAGATGGCAGCATCCCTTTCTGATATTCAAACTTCACTGCAGCAACACAACACGAAGTCTTCGTCACTTGTCACTATGAGTAGTCTCGTTGGAGCCGGGTCTTGCGGCTGATAGGCCACGGCTAATCGGCGTCAAGCTTTGCACCATCTTAAGGCTGTAATGCTCAGCTGCGTCATCGCCTTTTACATGTCTAGTGCGACTTACAATGTGGAACGGGTTTCGCAGGAAAGCTGTCAGTCTAGGAGTTCGTGTAAAACGGGATTCCGGAGCAATTATCTTTGAACTCTATGCAACCACTCAAGAAGCCACCGTCCTCCCTAGCCACATACGACATGTTTCTGGACACGATCCCTGATGTTTTAGAGTGATGACAACGACTATTGCATCTGTGCTTGAGTACTAGCGACTGCGGGTGCGAGAGAGCCGCGTGTAGGTATCATCCTTCTTTAACGCTTGACAAACGGGCAGACTAACATCGTTGATTCAATTCCGGCACCACTAATCCGGTGACATGTACTTAACACGCTTCTGTCCACGCGAACTTCCTTCCGTTTGTCTTGCCTTGGGAGATACATCTAATGTACCACGTTATCCTCGCCAAGTAAGACCTTCAATACACGAGTTACAAGTACTTCGAGCCTGTCAAATTCAGAAGGGCACTTGTATTGTCTACCCCAGTATCTTTAATTGGGCTCATCATTTAAGAGCGTCAACTACGTGAAGTTGAACTGTCATCACTCACCCGATAGGCCATGTCAGCCATGTCAAACCCCAAGATAGCAATCATAGGAGCAGGACCTGCAGGTAAGCTGCTTATTTATAAACCATCCGTACTACACCACGCTCATACGGATTCCTCAAGTCAGCATGCAAACTGACAAATCTCCCGCCAGGATGTCTACTAGCCCGCCTCTTACACCTAGCCAAGATCGAAACAACCGTCTTCGAGAGCGAGGCCTCGCCAAACTTTCGATCGCAGGGCGGGAGTCTGGATCTACACACAGACACCGGGCTGGCCGCGCTCAAAGAAGCAGGCCTCTTTGACGAGTTCCTCAAGCACGCGCGGTACGACGGCCAGTACATGGCCATCGTCGACAAGAACAACAAGCCGTGGTTCGTCAACTCCGCGACGGGGCTCGGCAGCTCGCTACAGGAGCGTCCGGAGATTGACCGGCCCAAGTTGCGTGAGATTCTTGCCGAGACTCTTCCGCCGGGTATGATTAAATGGGGTCACCGACTCAAGGAAGTCAGAGAAGACGGCAGTCTTGTGTTTGAACATACTAGTATTGGTGGTTTCGATCTGGTTGTAGGCGCAGACGGCGCGTGGAGCAAGGTCCGCAGGCTTCTGGCGCCGGATATTAAGCCCTTATGGACGGGGATCAAGTTATACGGCATGAGCATCCCGAACGCGGCCGAGACGGCTCCTCAAGTCTACAAGCTCGCCAATAGAGGTAGCGTCTTTGCCAACAGCGACGGCAAGCGTCTCTCGATTCAACAGATGGGCGATGGCAGCCTGAGCATATATGCGTCGAGCACTGGCGGCGGCGGGGAGGACTGGGCGTCTCCCGAGGTCTGCGGGTATGATCCGCACGACCTCGAGGCAGTCAAGAAGGCGCTTCTGGTTTTATATCAGGACTGGGCTCCGGAGCTCACCGAGGCGATCACCAAGGCTGCGGGGGAGTGCACTCCTAGGTCGCTTTACATGCTCCCCGTGGGCTTCACCTGGCCGCACCGGCGCGGCGTGACAGTCATTGGAGATGCGGCGCACTTGATGACGCCATTTGCTGGCTAGGGAGTTAATGTTGCGCTTGAGGATGCGATGAAGCTGGCCAAAGCCGTCATCAGCGCCGTTGCCGAGAGCAGTGATGCAAGTGCAGATGCACCCGAATATCTAGATAAGAGGATCGAGGCGTTTGAGAAGGACATGTTCCCCCGGATGGAAAAGGTGCAGCGACTGACGGACGAACTCATGCACGACTTCATGTTCACTGCGGGTTCACCGCGGACGACTATCGCGAGGTCGATAGCGAGGCATGTCAAGTTCGAGACGCCGTGGGTGTTGCATCCGTTGGCGAGTGCCATGGTACACTCGTTCTTTTTCATGCGAAGGATGCTGGCGTCTTAGTAGAAAGCAGGTGTGGCTGAGTTTTATTTGTAGAATGCGGTGAGGTGTGGAACGAAGCACGATAGGTTTTGGAGTCGGGTTAAGGTCCCTGTATCCCATGTTCATGCTTTATTTTCCGCACTTGGTGCCAATGGAACCCATGCCTCTGGGAAGGGGGGGGGGAAGGACAAGGTGATCTTCGAGTTTGGCGAGTGGCGCAGTGCCCTGTCACGACCTGTCAAGCGCAAGAAACGTGGCCAGGATTCCAGTAATGACAAGCTCTGGATGCAACTGCTAGCACAAGATTTCGAAAGAGCTCAATGGTTCGTGGCGTAGATCATGGGGAATAAAGTAGAATGAACCACTCGAGGATTGGCCCTATGGTTGCAGTCTGGTGATGTAATGATGCGACTGAGCCATGGAAAGCCCGGCCAGGAGGGAAAAGGTTGAAACACCAGACTCGTTTTCCTCTGACAACGGCTCGCAGGGTTTAGACGTCGAGCAATCACACCCTTACTCTTTGGTGGTCTGGTAGACTCGAATGACAGGAGGACAAATGGAAAGCTTGAATGCACTGACCGTGGCTTCGTTGGCTTTTACCCCATCAGGGCGTCTGAAGAAGGAGCATCTATCCGTGAAATTCTGGAGCTAGTTGGAGCAACGCCCGGACGCTTCTCTCCATCCTGTATCTTGCACATGCGAGATGGTGCATATCAGGTGGGCATCTATCGCGATGAAGTTGAGATGTTCCCTCCCCTACGGTATGAGGATTGGCTTTGAGATGTTCGTACGAAGTAGTGCACCCCGCTCCGCAGAGCAAACATCACAGACTATCAATGTTTTGAAACATTTGTTAGTGTTTCATCCATAAGGTTGTATGCAATTTCGAGCTCAAAGGGTGTGATATTGCTGGTTCTGGTTGACATAGTGGTTGAGTGGTGGTGATGAACGATGAGTGGTAAGTGGTGAGGGCCCTGGTGGGTGGTACCGAGTTGCATGTCGGGTGGCTGGTAAACGGGGCACGTGCACCCTGGATTCATCCTTGACCAGGGTGTCAAGCCACCGAGGAGCCAGTGGAAGGAGTCCAGTCAGCGCTCCACTGTCAGGATGAGGTGACGGGCAGCGGACTTGGACTGGGGGGGCCGCTTTACAGTGCACCCGACGAGTACCGTGCCACGCGTGCCACGAGGTACTCCGTACCTTATGCTTTACCTTTGGTACTCCGTTCTCTGACTGGGGGGAGGGGGATGACGGCGAACCAGGGCATAGAAACAGCCAAAGGGCAAGGTTAAAGAGAGAGGAGAACACAGAAGAAGAAAAAAGAGCACAGCATAGAAAGTGTGCGGTCCCGTCCCCCTGGCCTTGGGGGCCTTTCCAATCTTTGGGCTGTAGAAGTTCTGGGTCTTTGGGCCGAAAAAAAGCTACGGATACGGCCAGAGACCTCTCCGCTTTCCGAACACGGTTCGACATTGCATATACGTGCTACCACTTGTACCTCGTACATACATACTTCACCTAAAATTCCACATCGTAATTGCTATGCTGTACTGTGCTGTGCTTCCTGCTCTGCTGCATTCTGCATTGCCTTTTTGCGCTCTGCCATCTGCAACCGATCCTGGGCTTGTCGATTCTCAAGTCTCCCTTCCTCAGGTCTCGCTACTAATCACACAATCTGCGACATTCTGCGCGCGCCTCACATCTTGTTACGGACGACAACGCCATCGACGGCGTTCCCGATAACGTCTCACCTACCACCTATATCGTAGAACTTCCGCTCGCTTCTTCGGGACGCGTTTTAGCCCTTGCTTCTACAGCTTCCATCTCGCCCACAGAACACCCACCCACCCTTCGTACCGAACCGGACGACTTCACTACCGCCGACCACCGTTCGCCGTATCGATCTCTTCGCCCTCGGACTAGGCATCGGATGAGACGAAGCTCATCATATTGCCCCGACGTACGCACATACACTTCGGCGGCAGCTTCGCAGAGTTCGCCCTTCGCTGTCTTTGCTTCCTGTGGCATGAACTTCAATCTTCTGCTTCAATAAACGTTTGCGAGCCGATCCAGCCATTTCCACACACTTCTACCGACTCGCTCGTCTCAACTTTTTGGGTACCTCATCTCGGAGAATCTGTTTGGGGAAGCGCAAGGAAGAGGTGGACTAGATCATCGCAAAGACAGAAAACCCGTCGACTTGAGTTACGATGCAGGCGCCGACCCCTTCTCAGCGCATGCAACGGCGCTCCCCAGGTGCCGAACCTGGGCCGCCGCCCAACGTGCCCGTCCGGTCAATATCACCGGGTACCGGTATGCAGCCGAGAGCTTCCAACGCCTCGAACCGATCCGCCCCGCCAAATGGGATGCGGAGGTCAAATGTGAGTCTGATTACGCATTCCAACAACCGGGAAGCCACCTTCGAGCTTCCACTAGATACGATGACTGCGCAAGGAGTTCTTGTGCCTCTGCCATCACTGTTCTTGTATGTCAGCAGCTGACCGAGTTTCGATTCACAGAATTCTACCAGCAGCAGCTCAGCCATGCCCCTATCGCAAATCGAGAAGAGCGTTACTCACTTGCTAGTCGCAACCAAACAACTCCTGGAAACCCTAACACAATGGTCGCGCGGCCAAGCTACTGATGGTCAGGTTTCCGATGTGTATGTTAGACTAGGATACGAGTTCAATATGGCATGCCGAGCCTTCACTGCCATCAACGTGGACACCTCCGACCTAGGCAACGTTCCCGAATTGCTACGAAGTATACTAGAGTCTACCTTGAGTCAAGAAGCGAGCACCGAAAGCCTGGAGAAATACCTTCCACGGATTCGAGATATCATCATCAACCTGCTACATGGACTGAAGCGCAAACAGCAAAAGTTGCGGCAAAAACAACCACGAGACAGGGAAAGCGGGGGTACAGCTAATGCGCCGGAGCGGACGACGAGCACGAGCACGATTGGCAGTGGGAACACGGGGTTGACGAATCTGTTGGAGGAGGGCATTCAGAATGGCTATCGACCAGACGCTCAGAGGGAATCCTCCCAATCTGCCGGTGCCGCCCCGACAAGCACCTCTCCAAGCCGTCGACACCTGCCCCCGAGAGACCAGTCGCGAGGTTCCGTCAACTCGGAGCAGTCTTCCATGTCTAGCACGACGATGCAGAACATACCCGTCATGCCACCTTACCCGGGCGATGAGGCGACGATGCCCTCTGCGCCGTCTGGAGAAGTCAACGTTGACTCGTTCCCGCCGCCACCGCCTCCTCCAAAGCAGCAATCAAGCGCATTTGCGGCTTTGCAGAAGGGAGGCGATCTGGAGAGAAGAGCTTCCCGGCGTTACTCGCAATATCAAATATCTAAACACCTAGGCAGCGCCATGAATGGCGTGCCAATGCTGCCATCACAAAACTCCCCGATACCAAACCGTGGCAGGGGCGAAGTCCGGGAGTCTCTGCGTGCTGTTCAGACCCGAGAAACGCTCCGCCAAAACCGGGCCTCGAAGCAACCGCAACTAGATACCTCTCCGGCACCGAGTCGTGCCGAGGCCGCAGCGGAGCTGTCGGCAGGCAGGCCCGAGAGTCCAACGATACAAACGCCGGAAGACAAGTACCCTAAACCTAGCGCTACCCTGAAAGGCCCTATGAGCGATGATCTCCCTATCATGTCACCCGACGACGATGATGGCAAGCCCGATCCACCGCGTAAAGATGAACCCAAGGTCCCATCAGGGATCAAGACCCCGGAGAAGAAGCGCGACGCCAGTTTTCTTCATGAGCAGTCTCCGCCCTTGACCACAGAACTCACTTTGTTCCTGCAATACAAGTCCAAAGTCAAGAAGTTTGTGCTACCTGAGGGGTACAGCGAGCTCTCGATCGGACGCCTTCAACTGGCGTTTATCGAAAAGTTCTCTTGGAACACACACTCCAATGGTGCTGATCTTCCAGAGATATACATTCAAGACCCCGTATCAGGGGTTAGGCACGAGCTCGAGGATCTGTCAGATATCAAGGATCGAACAGTGTTGGTTTTGAATGTCGAGCCGCTCGATGAAGTGAAGCGCCATATCGATGAGGGCATTGGACAACTGAAGAAGATAGTACAGGATGTGAAGCAGAACCAAGACGACCAAGGTCTGGCCCTCCAGCGAGTTTCAGAACGTCAGCAAGAAGCGGTTGCGGAGATGGCTCGGCTTGCTGCCGCCCCTCCGGCGGTGTCTGCGCCTACTGATGGATCCAAGTCAGTAAGCCTTGCTGGCGGCCGTAAGCTCGCTTCTGGACACATCACCGAGATCCAGACTCTGCGCCGTGATCTTGCTGTCATGCGCCAGGCCTACTCCAGCTTCCAGTCGGAGATCCAAGGCTCAATGTCAGCCATCCGCAGCAAGGCAAGCAATGTCAAGGCGGCGGTGGTCAAGGCCTCGATACCGACCATTGATGGCGAAACCGGCCACGCGTACGTTACCAAGGGTCGCGAGCAGCTCAACACGGATTCCGATCGGCTCGTCACTAAGGTCGACGACTTGCAAGATTTGGTTGAGGACCTCCGTAAAGATGTCGTTCTCCGTGGTGTGCGGCCCCTGCCTAGGCAACTGGAGACTGTCGCCATGGATATTACGAAGCTTTCCAAGGAGCTCAAGAAGGTGGAGGATTACATGAAGGAAGAGAAGCCCATATGGACCAAGATCTGGGAGAAGGAGCTTGAGGACGTGTGCAAGGGCCGTGATGAGCTGCGCCTTATGGAGGATCTCATGATCGATTTGCAGGATGACCTGGAGAAGGCGTCCGAGACCTTTGCGCTCGTCGAGCAGGCTACCAAGGAGCAGCTGAAAGACAACGGGACGGGCGCCAGCGCCGGCAGCGCCCGCAACTTCTCCAAGGGCCTGAACGGCATCGGCAACAGTCTCGACCCGAACGCGGCCAAGGATGGTGTCCTCGGTGAGGTGAGAGCGCTCCAGCCCAACCACGAGAACCGCCTCGAGGCCATCGAACGCGCGGAGAAGCTGCGGCAGAAGGAGCTCGAGGGCCGCAAGGGGAACGAGCTGCAGAGGGAGCTGTCCAACTTTGTCGAGGAAGGGAAGCTGAAGAAGTCTGGCGGCTTTGAGGAGGTGGAGCGGGCGAGGAAGGCCAAGGACGACATGATTCGGAGGCAGGTCTGGGAGAGGCAGAATGGCATCGTTGCGGAGGAGGGCGAAGGGGAGGAGGAAGAGGAGGTTGAATACGAGGAGGTCGAGGAAGAGGAAGAGGAAGAGGAAGAGGAAGAGGAAGAGGAAGGAGAGGCGGGAGCGGAAGCTGGGGCGGCTGAGCCGGAGAAGGCTGCTGCTGCTGCTGCGCCGCCGGCGCCATGAAGAGGAAGAAGCAGCGGGCAGTTGGTCTTTTTGTTATAAATGAATGGTCATACACATGTGTTATGGTGTCAATGACCCCGTATGGAGGATATGTCAAACACACTATTGTTTCTTCTCGTCATTCTATTTTGGTGTTTCCCTTTTTCTGGCGATGTTATTACTCACTCTGGCCGTATCTTCGCATAGGCGGAGTTTGGGTTTTCTGCTGTTACCTTGTTTTCCATATTCTCTTTTTGCATTATAGGGGGTGCGAGTTGAATACCTGGCTCTGACTTGGCTTTGTATGCCTCGCAGACTTTTGTCATGGTAGCTTATAGTGAAGGCGAATATATGGTATCTATTTTATCCCCTAGTTTTTGCATATTGTTGTCTTTCTAGTGACGTTATGCTTGATGTGATGGAATGAGAAACTTTACTGTGTCCGAACTGAGTTGTATGGAGACTTTTGTAGAGCCGATTCAGTCTGTCTGAAAGCCGAGAACCCTTTCTAATCGTGATTATTTGAAGTCATGCTAGTCTCGTACTCGGCACGTTACTCCACGCTTTCTCGGGGGAGTTGTCCCAAGAAGTTGGGTTTCGATGTCTTTACTTGGGTACGTGGATTTAGGTGGCCCAAAGTTGCATTGTTGCTAGGGCAGCCTCGCTTTCCTTGCCATGGATACCGACAGCTTTGGGCGCCACGTCTCAAGACCATTGACGAAAACACTTGACAAAAGTCTCCTCTTGAAGAAAGATATTGTATCGGCTTTGAGGGGGAACCTCTCAGGGGCATCAATGACGAGAGCTACTTGGGCGGACACAAGGAACTCGCATGTGCGAATGCCACAGTCTGAAGGGTATGTTCTCACACTCCTCCTGGCGCGAAACACGGCTGTGTCACTTTGTAGGATACCATAGGTTAACGATCCCTAGCTGAACGAGCAAGGGGTTGGCCAAAACAAAGTCTCTCCATCTCATCTAAATTTTGTGTGCCGTCAGGACAGTATTGAACCGTTTTGACGTACGGGTATCATAGCTTTTCCGGGATCTCTTCCCTCATATCCATATTTGATTCTCTCCCCCCCACAGAGCCATCCGTCGAAACCTCCCTTCCTCATAATCACTCACGATCTCCAACGAGCCATCCCCACTCTCACCCGGCAAGCGGATTCGCATGGACAGTAACCCTCTCAATCACGACCGGTTCCTTGGGCCGATTCTTCCGATCCACCTCGACCGCCTCAATCTTGCCCAGCGTGACGGTGCTATCGTCCCCGATGATGCGCCCAAAGACGGTGTTGAGCCCGTCCAGGTGCGGCGCCTTGTCAAACAGGACGAAAAACTGCGAGCCGTTCGTGCCGGGCCCCTTGTTGGCCATGGACATGACGCCGCGCGCGCCGTGCTTGAGGGCCGGCCGGATCTCGTCCTCGAAGACGCCGCCCCAGATGGAGCGGCCGCCCTTTGGGTTGTCCGGGGGCGACGGGTGCGCCGGCCCGCCGGTCTGGGCCATGAATTTCGGGATGAGCCGGTGGAATGGGGAGGCGTCGTAGTAGTGTGATGCGCAGAGGGCGAGGAAGTTCTGTGAGGGGGGGCATGGTTAGTCGTCCGTTGGGTAGAGTGTCTCGCGATACGATTGAGGATGGTGGGTGAGCGGCCGCGGGTGGGATGCGAAGGGTAAGTCTTGGGATGAATGGGAAGGGGGTCCTTTTTACCTCTGCTGTCTTTGGTACGCTCTCGCAGAAGACTTCGATCTTTAGGTCGCCGAGATTCGTATGTAATGTGACGGACATGTTGGAGATTTGTCTGGCGGTCTCGATCGCGAACGCGAATTGCTGTGTGGTCGTCTGGTGTTGTTGACGGCGCAAAGCTAGCTTCAAGTTGGATGCATGCTGGATGTATGCGACTACGAGTTTAAAGTTATGTGGTGGACCACTTCATTGGGCCTCCCCCGGCATCGGTGCATTGAGCTCCGGGTGCCGACCCAAGCTGCTGCCGACCAAGGTACTCACCAGTAGGTGCGCACACGAAAGCCACCCCCACTTCACGAGTGACAGCCAACTTATAACTCTGTTGCGAACGCTTTGATTTCAACTTCAGTTGATACAAGGTTGTTTGCTGCGACGAGACTTTCCTGTCTTGTACCAACCTTGAGAACACGAAATCAAGTACACCGTTCGAGATAATGGCGAACTGTATCCAAGGATGTTGAGTTCAGCTTGACAGTGAGCAACATGATTGCTAGATAGTTTCAAGAGCTTCTGGCATACTTACCTACTTGATATGTTGAACACCTGTACACTGCTCAGCGGCAGTCACCCCGCTGGTGTCTTCCTCGCTCTAACTGTACGATGATTAGATCAATTTATTTCAATGACGTCAAATGCATAGAAACAATCTTGGCCCAGACCAAGTTCTGGCCATAGTCGCCGCGGGTAAGGATGCACACGGCCCCATACCGGTAGGTGGGCCAGTCCGCGGGACCGGACGGGACGAAAAATGAGTGGGAACTCGAGCCGGGAACGCGCCGCCCGGAAGTCTGGGAGGATGCTCGAACCAATTGACCGCTATAGGAAGTGCATTGTCCATTACCATAGGCCCAGCCCCTACCGTTCAGCCATGCCACACCTCTCCGACTGACCACATTTGCGCAACTCAGTTTGCAAAGTTTCACACTGAACGTATCCGGGCAAGTAAAGGAGGAGGGGGGACCGTGTGCCTCCCCCGGGAGGACAGCGAAACGAGTTCCCAACGGCTCCCACAACTTCACTTCTTCTCGACAAGGAGGCGAAAATCAGTGCGTTTGTGTCGGCAGCCCGCGGCCATATACAATCTTTGGACTATCAAGATACAAGAAATCTTGCATTGTTCGTTGTTTAGGACGATGACGGTCATCTCGACAATTCAGAAAGTTGAAACTTGACGGACCACCGACTCGAATTCAGTACTGCTCACTCATCCTTTTTATATAGAGGATCGACCTGTCGTTGAATTCCTAGCAAACGAGTCTTGTTCCAGGTTCACACCAATCGAACCCTGGATACGGACGCAACAACATGACCTTCAACGAGATCGTTCGAGATACCTGGGCATGGCACGTCATACGAGCGGTCACCAGGGCCAGGCACCCGTCGTTCCAATACTTTGACGAGAGACACCCCTTGATCCGTCAGAGATACACAGAAAGTGGCTATGATCGGTCAGGCTCAGGGTCAGTTACAAGTGCACATGTAAGAGCAAAGGCGGTTTACTAACACGCGGTCTATCTCGAACTGAAGACTCTCATACGCTTCAAGACACACCGAAGTTCGGGCATTCTCACTAGACTCGGAGAAGTCGGACAGCGAGATCTTGGGCAACCAGACAATCAGCCGTACGACGTGGGAAAAGTATGGCATCGAGAATAGAAGGGGTCTCCATCTCGTCGAGTTCTTGCCAAACGACCCAGAGGTAACAAAGATCGCAACCCCCTTTCTTCACTCTCACCTTTTTGGACATCGAAGCTAAGGGTCGAATACCACAGAACCCGAGAAACTGGTCCGTCATGAAGAAAGCCATCGTCAGCTTCCACATCTGCCTCCTCGTCATCGCCGTCTACGCAGGCGCATCAATCTACACCGTCGGCACCCACGGCGTCCGCCAGCAATTCGGCGTCTCGGAGGTCGTCGCCCTCCTAGGACTAACAGTCTTTGTCCTAGGCTACGGTCTCGGGCCAGTGAGTCTATACTCTACTACCCCTTATTCTCATCTACCTTACCTATACTAACAAGACGCAAAGATGGTCTGGAGCCCCCTCTCCGAAATCCCCCAGATCGGCCGCAACCAAATCTACATACCCGCCCTCACAATCTTCGGCCTCGCCCAGATCCCCATCGCCCTCGCCACCTCCATCGGCATGCTCCTCGGCTTCCGCTTCCTCGCGGGCTTCTTCGGCTCACCCGTCCTCGGCTCCGCCGCCGGCATCCTGGACGACATGTTCGTCTCCCGCAAACACACCTACGCCATGGCTTCTTTTTGTCTCATCGGGATCTCTGGTCCCACTCTCGGCCCCATCGTCGGCGGCTTCGCCGTCGAGCTGAAGGGGTGGACCTGGTCCGCCTGGATCGTCTCTTGGTTAGCCGCCTGGATTCTCGTCGTGCTTATCTTCTTCTTGCCAGAGACGAGCGCGGATAATATCTTGTACCGCCGCGCCATGCGCCTGCGGAAAGTGACGGGCGACCCGGGTTTCGTCTGCGAGGCGCAGCTGCGCGCGGATTACACTGCCGGCACGGAAGTCTTTAAAGCGCACCTCGTCCGACCCTTCACCCTAGTCCTCACCGAGCCGGCCGTCTTCTTTCTGAACCTGTATAGTGCTTTCGCGTATGGGCTGATGTACATCTGGTTCGAGGCCCTACCGTCGGCCTACGGGGAGGTATACCACTTTGGCACGGGCAAACAGGGCATCGCGCTGCTTGGTCTCATCGTCGGCGTCCTGCTCACCATCCCGCCGTTCTTCCTGTACTACCGGAAACGTATCGAACCGCAGTTTGACCGCGACGGCAACATCGAGCCGGAGAAGCACCTCCACCCGGCCATGGTCGGCTGCCTCTTCATCCCGGCCAGCCTAGTCTGGTTCGGGTGGACGGCGCGGCCCGAGATAAGTTACCTCGTCCCCATTGTCGGGTCGTCGCTGTTTACGGCCGGTGGGTTGCTCCTGTATATCTCGATTCTGAATTACCTCGCCGAGTCGTACCCGGATCACGTCAGTTCCGTCTTGGCTGGGAATGAGCTGTTCAATGCCATGTGCGGGGCTACGTTCCCGCTATTCATCCCGCCCATGTATTACCGGTTCGACGTGCTCGGGTCGAGTATGATCCTGGCCATTTTCGCTGTTGCGTTTGTGCCTCTGCCGTATATCTTGTACATGGTAAGGATGAGCCCCTTTGCCTTCAATGCCTTCCCTGTTGTGTGTACTGTGAACGCTTTTTACTAACAGCTATTGCAGAGGGGAGCCAAGCTTAGAAAACAGAGCAGCTACGCAAGAAAAGGAATGTGAGATACTGGTCAGATAGGCATAAGGGTGTTTGCTTGGGTTTGCTGATGTATGTACCTACTTGGAGCACATAAAGCGTGGATTAGATGTCAGTTGTTCATTTCGTCTTGAACTGGCTTACACCTGCTTCCCTTTCGGACCTCAAATTCCGTTCTGTAAAAGATCTTAAAGTGTCATGGGCGTGTTCACTTTGTTGATGTCACAGTGCAGGATGTAACATGAAATAGAATGCTCAGGGGGGGGGGGGGGTAAATTGGTGGTGGTGGTGTAAAGCAAACTGACGGGGACTTCTATACAAAGCACCCAAGCCTAGCCCAAAGATGATAATCTCTCCAGCAACGACTGCGCCGCAACGTTTCCTCGGTCTCAGTAGGGTCCAACTTCCTCGACGACAGTCTCCGCGTTAGCGATGCGGCAACGCGGTCTGCTACCTGTTGATAGGAACTACTTGCCGATTACTATCGGGTTCCTCCATCACTATCGATCTATCGAGGTCCGCTCGGGATAGGCTTTCGAGATTGATCCTGTGTAGCTGGATCTCGAGAGTGCTTGTAGAGCTTGTACTCATGGAAAGAGTTCGTGGTAAAGCACCGAATGACTGTTATCGAGTGCTCGGTACTTGTCTATGATATCAAATGTCAGCGACAGCGTGAAGCACGAGGAGATGTTTGGCTTACCCTATGAACTCTCGCGGTGGTCTGGTCTTCAATTGGACCGCTGTAGGCTGGCTCCATAACGAACACAAATTGGCAAGGCCCGTCCAAGTTTATCCCTTCTCTTCCGCAGGTGTAAGGCTGTAACAGCACTTGTACTGAACCTGGCTCCTGGGAACGGAAGCTTCGGATTACTTCGATATCTGTCTCCGGGTCCATGTTACCATACCGAACGGCGGTAGGAACTCTGAGAAGTTTCAAAACTTGCTCGGTGTAGAATGCCAAAAATGGGTTCTGTAAAGTGACAAGTACCTTCGTCATGTTGCCGTTGCCTTCCACTGATCGTAAGACCTTGTTGCAAAGAAGGGAAAGAAGTTCTTGGATCTGCGGGCTACCCCGAACGGCTAGAAACAAGAGCTGGTAGGCGGTAACTGGGCGTGGATCATAAGTTTCCATTACCAGCGGGCTGAGGTCGGTAAGGTTAATCTTTGCTCGTCTCATTTTTTCAACGTTGGTGCTCAGGGCGCTTGATCCAACATTCCTGAGCCTGAGAGAGAGTTAAAACGCCGGCCAACTGCTTGCAACTTGTTCCAGACCCCAGTGATGGCTGCTGGTTGGAGGTGGAATCTTGCTTTGGGGACCATTTCGCTTCAACCATTGCTCGTGATCCAAAATCAATTCACTGGTGAACCAGGTCAGCACCAGTCCAGATCACTAGAAACATTCAGTCAAAAGTAACTTACGTATACAAATGCAGCATGCTGTATTCTATTTTGGACTTGAGTTCCGTCTCGAAGTCAATGGAGGCGGACAATGGTCTCAATTGAGGCAAAACGGATGTCAAGCTGACGGGAATGTTCTTTGCCTTTCATTCGGAAGATTGTGGAGCTAGCTGATCGGCGCAGGATAGCAACTGAGCTGAAATGATGGAACCCAGCCTCCCAGTTCTGCTTCTCGGTCGAGTTTGAATCAAAGCCTTCACTATCTCGGGCTTCGAAGCGAGACTTCGCAGAGTTCGGTGAGTGTTCTCATCTTGACAGAAGGACTTGACGGTATTTGCGAACTGTCCATACCCCTTCTTCTCCAACTCGAGAAGGAAGTCTCGCTCCTCTTGGTCGAGGATTTGGTGCCGGCAAGTCCAATTGATTTCGGCAAGTGCCAGATAATCCTAAATGAATTACTGATTAGACAGTGTGCCGGAGTGAAACATGGCGGAGATTGGAGACATACCTTGGGGTCATTTAGACAAGGCGTGGCGGAGAGGAGTAGAACTCTGCTCGCTGCGATCAGAGACACGGCCTTGAACGATACCGTTGATCGCTCCTTGAGACGATGAGCCTCATCGCAGATCAAGACCTCAAAGTCACGGCTTTGCGAGGCGAAGGACGAAGAGTATGTTACTTTGTCATTCTCTTCTTTGGTCATCAGAGTCTTTCTCGCCCATGACCTGTAGGTCATGATCAAGATGACTCTGCGGGGGTCGTTGCCTTCGTCGTCTATCCGCTTGGACCACACCCATTGAAGCATTGGCGGCCAATTGTCAACCCAATCATCATTTTTTTTCTCAGGACTTTAATGTTGTCTGAAGTGTCGCCACGATCGGTGTTGATCATCAATCCAGGATGCATTCTGGCAATGTCATCTACCCATTGTCTCGTGATGGCATGGGCCGATGTCAAGATGATGCTCAGCTTCCTGTCCATGTCGGGAAAGCCGTCGAGGACCTTGTGCGCGATCCGTGTCGCGTAATGCCACTTCTGTCGTGCCGGTCTCACAGATCGCCTCCGTAATCTTCAGGATGCTCTTGTTAATGTCTCTCGGTCCATCGATTCGACCCTGACACCGGCACGCAAGCCTTGAACGTCGGTGAAGTCCGCGAAGTTTGGATAACGCTTCCTGTTGGTATACACGTCAGCAGGGCAGCCTTGCGGCCGGTACCAGGCTCAATAATCGTATATTGACTTCGTATGGGGTGGTATGTACGGGAGGAAGTTGGTGGGCAGAGCCCACGAATCCTCCGTGGGTGTAAGTAGGTGGAAGGGCCGTTGGCACGGGCCCATACCGCCTACCTACCTAATCCGCCTTTTCTGCCTAATATTCCAACACTCCCCTATAGGGAAAGTCTTCAATGTGAAGATAGTATGACTCAAGTCATTGCCCGAAGAGACCTCAGCAGCACTAAGAGCCTTCGACCATGCCGTCTCTGACTTTGGATTCGACGAGTAGATGAGATAGATTCTATTCTTTTTTCCATCGAGACTGGCAAGATTGTTTTCTGCAAACTTGACCATATGTGAAGGCTTCGCGCAAAACCATATGTCGGCAATGACCAGATGCCATTGTAATCACAGACTTCTCTCGACACTGCTTACTCGCTCGCACGTATTCGTGGCACAATACGTGGCCGACACCGAAGCCCGATTTGAAGGGGACTAGCCAAGCTTCTTCCAAGCATCAAGAAGGCTGTGTGCTAGACCACCGCGTGGTAGATTTCTTCAACCATCACTTCACCCGCAAAGCCCAGACTGATACTGGGTGTGGATCAGAAGGCTTCAATAAGATCTGCACCAAGTGTGGACGCGGCGGATGATGAACTCGACAAGAACCCCAAGAAGTGTCGCCTACTAGGTAGGTACTTATGCAAGTAGGAAGGACATCCATCACGAGAAATCGCGTCGGTGATTAAGAGACGTCCCTCGCCATGACATCCATAAACCTAATCAACTTCAACGCCCGGCATCCTGTCACCCTACCACGGTCACGCGCAAAGATAGGTATTCATATAAGGTACTTGTTCATCAAGAGTAGCATTGAGATCACCACCACACCCGTAAGCGGCGAAGTTTTCTATTCTACCTTACAGAAAAGAAGAACCATCCCATCCCGTCCATCCTAGGAATTTCGCTCAATCGTAGCTTTCAAATCCCTAAAATCAAAAGACTTTGCCACCTTTGCGATCTCAAATCACACCCCTAATCGTCCGCCGAAAGGGGAGGGGGGACAACAAAAACCTCGAGTTCTTTCCCCGAAGCAAGAACACACACATACCTCGTCCCATCCCACCCAGTCTCTAAATTCCCAACCCAGTTCAACAGAGGGAAAAGAGAGGGAGCATGAGAGAAAGGGAGAGACAGAGAAAGCAATAAGCAATTTTTGGATATCATGCTCTTTTTTGTCCACGCACAAGTAATTTCGAAAAAGTCCGCCGGCTCCTAAAGAGAGATGGGAAAAAGAAGAACAGAGAGACACCCTCTGCGGCATTCTTCTCTCATCCTCTTGGATAATTTGATGATCAAGACCGTTACACCACCTATGGTGCTGCTAAAAAGAAAGTCGTGAGAAGGGGGTCAACCAGCGAAGGAAGCCCCCCTTAAGTCATGCATCATCCTCAACCCACACGTCTGCGTTTGTTACCGCGATCGGGGCTGCCAGTGATCCCATCGAAGCTATCCCGCGGAACCTCTTCAGTCCCGGTGGAGCTCGGTGTGCCATTGACGTTGCTGTTGCCCCCTCCGTTACCGGGAGCCGAACCGTCGAGGGTAAAGTTGAAGTCGTTCCCGTCACCGTTGAAGTTGACGCCAGGGTACGCGTTGTCGCCCTGGAACGCGTCCGGGTTCAGGAACTGGTCAATGTCCAGGTCGCCGTCAAAGTAGCCGTTCACGTTGCCGTTCTCGTCGATGCCGGGTATGCGACCCGAAGGGCTGAGCGGTCCGAGCATGCTGGAGAGATGGTCCAGCTTCGCGGCTTGCTCCTCCTGCATGCGGTGTAGCGCGGCGAGGTCCTCTTGGTTGAAGTTGATTTGCTGTAGTGAAGGCGGCGGCGCGGCGGAGCCCATGATGGGCGAGAGGGAGAGGCCGGGGGCTGCGGGCATGGGCGGCGGTGTATCGGGCGTGGCGGTGACGGATGGAGCTGGCGGATTGGGTGAGGCGGACATTGAAGGCTTGGAGGGCTGCGGAGCGTTAGTTGAGGGTGTTGCGGAAGACCGACCGGCCATGGCGTTCAGCATTTTATTCCGTTGGTCGTTGCTCATTGTGGCGGGGGTATTGTTGACGACGTGAGGGAGATCGATGCCGGATGAGTTGTTGGCATTTGTGTCGTGGATAATCTTCATCATGCTCTCATGGGGATTCGACTCGAGCTCTTGAGCCAGGTAGTTGGTTGGTGATGTGTGGTCGCCGGGCGATGTGTCAAACAGTTCTGTGACCGTGCCCATCTCGCGGTTGTACGGCTGAGGCGTCGCGGAGCCGCTAGCTGGTGACGGCGATACCGTATTCGCGCGACCGTTGGGAATGGGCGGCAGCAACGCTTGCCGGCGCTTTGGGATATTGATGTTGTTTCCTGCCGAGGTTTGTGCTTGCACGTAGTCGCCCAGATCCACGACGCTTCCCTGAGGTACCGAGCTGGAGCTGTTGCCGTTCGGAATGATGCTTGCGAGAAGGTCGTTTACGCTCTGAGGGCCCGCTTGGTCCTCGAGTGTCTTTCTAAACACGTTGGCCAGGAAGTTCAGGATGGCGTTGATGGAGTTCTGATGGCGATCGTGCTGGCTCTGGAATACGACAGCCTGCTGATATAACGCCGTGTTGTCTTGCTGGATCCGCTGGATCGCCGTCATGATCATCCTCTGCTGCTCGCGCACCTTGGCCAGCTCCTCCCGAATCAACGTCATCTCCTTCTTCTGTATCGGCATGTCACCCGAGGGCGGCAGGGCTTTGCTGGCGGGTGCACTGGCGGTACTAAAGCCCTGTGTCACGCCGTCGTCAATGTTGACGGCATCCTCCTCGCTGTCACCCTCGACTTCTGCATTCTTGGCGCCCTTTTTGCCCTTGTTGCCGCTCTTTGGTTTGTTGATGAGCCAGAGCAGGTTCGGGTGCCCTCGTCGGAAGAAGGGATTCGAGTACTCGCTTGGGCTCTTGTTCTTCCGTTCGCTTGCACGCATCGAGTTATCCGACAAGCCGACCCGCTTGTGGAAGCCGTACATGTTGAGCTGTCGTACAAAGGAAGCATAGTTGTTGTGCTTGAACAGGTCGGGAATGAGCTTCTTCGCGAATTCATCCTCGTCGAGGACGATGAACGAGTCGCCCTTCTCCGACCACCGAATGAGCTCAGAATTCTTATCGTCGTCGAGGAAACTGTGCATCATTAGTATGAGTACATTAAAGACCTACTACCAACAAAATACGCCTTCTCGTCACTTTGGAGGTACGGGAACCTAGCTTACCTGCTCAACTTCTGCACAAACGGCGGAATCTGCTTCCGCTTCTGCTGCGCCTCCCTCATGGCTTTGCGAGCCATCTCCTCCAGGACTTCGACGTTGTCGGTCTCGGCCATGTTTCCGTTTGCTTGTTGCTGCTGCAGGAGCGCAGAGTCTTCGCCGACAAAGGACCAAGGGTCGCTGGACGAGTCGAAGTTTTGCCTCGCGCCCGTCGGGACGAGTGCTCTGTTCATCTGCCTCCGCGCGACGGCATTGTTGGGGCTCGGTGTGGGCTGCACGAATTGCTGCGGCGTCTGCTGCTGCTGTTGCTGCTGCTGCTGCTGACCGGGAACGAGGCCGTATGAGTTGACGGCTTGGGCCCCTGTTCCGTCCACGAGGCCCGTAGCAGCATCTGCTGCCCCTCCCCATCGCAAGAACTGGTCGCCGGTCGGGCTGGGAAATGACTGTTGGACCTGTGGCATCGGCATGGTGGGTATCGTTCCTGGCGCTGGTCGCTTTCGAGGGTTCGAAGACATGGGAATGTGCATGCGCCTTCTTTGGGGGGGTTTGTTGGTTCGGGTGAAGACGAGCTGTGTGGCCCGTTGGGAGAATTCAATCGGCCAGGTCGCCGGCTGATGCGGCGCCTTTGAGGCGGACGTGATAGGCTGACGCGGGGGGTCGCCTGCTTCGGTGAGGCTCGTTTGAATCTTTTCGCGGCGGCCGCGTTTGGTGGGTTGCGGGTTGAAAGCTGTAGGCAGCCTGTGTACCAGTAGTCGCCGAGAGCAAGCCAGGAAAAAAAACCACCTCCTCTTTTTGCTTTTTCACAGCGGTGTCGAGAAGCGAAGAGCAGCGGCGGCGGCGGCGACGGATGGATCGGTCGGGATAGTGCAGACTAATCGGATAATCGCCTGTCGCATGCGCAAAACAAACTCCCACGGTCTGCGAGAAGCCGAAAAGTCGTCGGTCGTGGAAAAGCGCGGTGACTGAAAGAAGGGTGGTGGGATGAGGATACGGAATCTCGTGGTTCTATATACGTTCGGAGTCGGTCGCTGGGTCGTGAAGCCTGGGGGGGACCTCTCTCTCTATGTCCAAAGTGCTGAAAGGGCAGGCTGGAGGGGGGAAGCCTGAGTCAATCGCCAAAAGCTGTTGGAGAAGCTTTCGCAAAGGAAGTCTATTGTGTGGGAGAGGAAAGAAGAAAAAAGCCGACAACAACAATTCAGACTATGGGCCGGCAAAGAAGCCCTTGTCGCGATAGGTCGGGCTTGGGTTTCGGCGCAAGGGTGCGATTGTCTCGGTCGCGGAGGATGCTGCGAAAGCTCTGAATGATAGCAGAGGTTACCGCTTCTTTTTTTTTTCTGGTAAGGGAAAAAAAGGTGAGTGTTCGTTGTGTTAGGTAAGGCACATTCAGACGACGGTACCTTACGGTGAGGCGTCAGGCGTCAGCGGGTTTGGTGCTTGGCTCGACTTGACGGTTCAAGGTTGTGTGCTTTGGTCGTTGCACGTTGATGGCGGCGGTGTTGCTGCTGACTGCAGTTTGCTGGCTGGCTGCTGCAGGCGTAGCGCGTCTCTCACTTTTTTTTTTCTTCGTCCTCTTCCAAGGTGCGTGGTGGGGGGGATGATGTCGCTACCACGTCGTGTACTGTGGGTTGATGGGAATGTTTTAAAAGAGGATAATTGGATGAGAAGGACTTGTCTCTCCAATTTAGGTATGTGCGTGTGCTTAGGTAGCAATTGAGACCAGTTCGTGACAGGCACCTCACAAAAAAAAATAGAGGGTTGAAGGAAATATGACAAGGCCGTTTCCTGTCCGAGTAGGAAGGGACCACAGGCTCAAAGAGTCTAGAAGAAATAAGGTCAGATCTGAAGCTGCCTGGTGTCTGGACCGGGGGGACAATATCGTTGTTGTATTATCATTATCGACCAGGCGGGACCGAGACCACGAGAAACTGAGGGTCCAAAGGCTGAGAGTTTACGCAGAAGACCCCGTCACCCGAGTGGAGACCCCTGAAGGAAGAAGAACTACACCTCAAGCACCAGCCCACCACCGGCCACCGGCCACCGGGGCCTGGGACCGTCAAGGAGCCCCATCCAAACACCAATTCATAACGGGAACCGTGGTCGTTCGGGGGTCCTCGACTGGGACTCTGGGACGGACGGGTCAGGATGAGGTCCCTTGAACACGGGACAGATCGTCCGGCCCAATCAGCAATCACCTTCATCTCGATCCTCACCGACACTGTCGCGATGTCACCTGTGAAAGGAAATGTGTTGGAGCCCATTTGGAGCGGTACCTACGGAGAACATATCATCACACTCAAAACTGAGGTGAACAATAAAACACCCCGCCATCCTGGCACCAGCTGTCAAAGCATCAATTCTCATAGCATCTTCCGAATGCAATGTTTGCACTTCCCACCCAGATTTACCAAATCCAGTATAACAAGGGTTCTGGGCTCGGCCGAACTGCCGCTTTCCTCCTCGGCGTCTCCCGCCGTCTTTCTCGAGGCCATCTCGATGACGCGTGTGGGGACCCGGCGGGGGAGCTGGCCCCTTATCCGTACACTCTTCAAGGTAAGGTACCTTACCAACGTCATTTTACTCCGATTCCTAGCTTATTCCTCGATCTCAGCTCTTCAAGCACGGCCCATTCCCCAACTGCCAATTTTTCGTCGTCTGAATAGCATCGTGGGAACAAATAATTACCAACGGCTCTCCAAAAACTTTGAATCTCGCATCTTTGCTTCGAATTTCAGGGGTATCATTGGTTTTAACTGGCCCATCATTGTCCCGCCCTACAGAGTCGCATTCAAAACCCTTGTTCCTGTCGAGGGTACCTACAGATACCCTGATATTTTCTCAGAAAAACTACCTGGCACCTCTGCCCGCAAGAGCCGAAGCTCTGGCCATCTTTGCATTCCGTGCCTGATCCCATTCCCGTCCGGAGTTTCCGCTCCGGGCCTCTCGCGATGCCTTCTTCTCCTCTTGCAGTGTCCTGGCCTTTTCCCTGGGGTCAATCACGACCAGCTCCTCCTCTGCCTTTTTGCGATAGCTGAGATCCTTACCCAGCTTATCCGCTTTAAAGCTGAGCGCCCGTGACATCCACCCTTCGTCGTCGCTGTCTTCCTTGGCGGCCTGATCCCACGCCTTGCAACTCTGGCAATCGGCAATAAAGTGAAGATCACAAAGTTCCGCTTCCTCGTCGGCCACCTTGTCCTCCTTGCGCTCCCCCTCCTCGGCTGCGGAGGTGGGTCCGTCTCCCTTCTCCGGAGCCTCCTCCGGCGGCGCCTGATCCAACTTCGATTTGAAAGCTTTCAAGAAATCGAGAGCTTGTTGGTCTTCACGGCTAGTCGTGTTACCGCCGGGCCTTCTCCTCCTCCCCCGGATTGACGTCTCGGGAATCATGCTTTCCAGTGCGGATTTCTTGGTCTCCTTCACCGGTTCGGAATGAAAGCTCCGCTTCATCGAGGCCTTAAGAGCGGCAATTTCCTCGTTTGTCTTCTCGAGAGCCGTCTTGGTGTCGCGAACCTCAGGCTCTGGCGACGGAGAATCTTGAAGTCGGATAGGAATGGCGCTCTTCTTCTCTAATGACACTTCCTTTGGCGGTGCCGTCCGCTTCTCCTCAGCGAGCTCGGGCTCGGGCTCGTCTCGTTGCGGAGGTTCCGGCGCTTCCACCTTTGCCTTGCCTTTAGATTTAGACTTGGTCGACTTCCTCACGACCGGTTCCTCTTCCTCGTCCACATCCATTACTATTCTCGTGTCGAACTTGGTCTTCTTCAAAACCGGAACCTCCTCGGCATCGCCCTCGTCGTCCCCGAAGCTCAAGAGCTGTTTCCCGCCTTTCCTCTTCTTTTTCTTTTCAATGACCACAGTCTTGGGTGCCTGGGTCGCGACCCTTGACCTCTTCACCATATCCTCGAAGGGGTTGACGAGAATCTCCACGTTTGTAATCTTGACAGGGTACGTCGGCCGGTCCGTGCCCGGAGTGACTTCCCCCTCGCCCATCTTCGCTAAGTTGTATATCGTGTCGCCAGCTACCCGCCCGAACAGCGTGTTCTTGTTGTTGAGTTCGTCTGCCTGATCGAGTGTGAAGAAGAACTGGCTGCCGTTCGTATCGGGACGACTTTCGTTCGCCATGCCCAGCTGCCCGCGCCGGTTCCATTTCAGCCGTGAGTGAAACTCGTCCTTGAACCCGATGCCCGTCGGGCCGGCGTTGAGACCGCGTCGCTCATCCATTGGCCAGGGGTCTAGCTCGCCGCTGAATGCGCCGCCATCGTAAATGGACTCGCCGCCATTGCCGGTCCCCGTTGGGTCACCGCCCTGAAGGATGAAGCCCGGCACGAGCCTGTGGAAGATTGTGTTGTCGTAGTAGCCATCGAGGGCAAGCTGGAGGAAGTTTCGGCAGGTGAGTGGTGTTTGCTTGGCAAAGAGCTCGACAGAGATGTCACCTAGGGTGGTGTGGAGGATGACGGACGCAGTCGGCTGCGGTTCAAGGTTGTAGATGGCCGACATCTTGGCCGGCCGTGGCGACGCTCTGTCGAGTTGATTGTTAGAGTTCGGGGTAGGATCGGGGTAAAGGAGAGAGGTTGTTATGGGAGAGGGAGAGGTGCGTGGAACAAGTGGGTGGATGCAGCTGCAACCTTCGAAAGTTTCTAGATCGTCGTCGGCGAGGTAGCGTTGGAAGGTTTATCGATAAGGTCACGTGCAGCTTCATCGGGGCGTCATCTGATTCGGTACCATTCTGTCGGTTCTACCTGCCGCACCCTTCACATCCTGTAAGTGCCTCCCACTAGGCTAAATCATATTTCAAAATTATCCCATCTGAATACTCCCGAATAACTTGCAAGGTACTTAGGCCTGGTTGTCTCTTTCCTTACCATAAGAGGTCGGGGGAACGTGGCCGAGGGGTATGACGGGGGAGTCATAGTATTAACCCGAAAGTCCTTGAGCCTCACTCAACCTAACCTTTTGTTCGATTCCCCATTGATGACCTTTTTTCTCCTGCTTTATCTATCTATCTCTATATTTGATCCGTGCCCTTCAATATCCATACCAGTGAATTGAAGAAGACGAGAGAGAGTCAATGAAGAGTATTTGCATCAAATGATTCGCCTGGTCTTTACACGTCGACCTCCTACAGGATGTGTATTACACACACGGCACAATGCGTAGACTTCCGGAAGAAATCACCTACCTAGCAAGGTCCATAGGATTTATCCCGCCCATGTTACAGTAGAACCTAAATCAGGGAAGCCATCGTAGATGGTCTAAGTTGTATACCAGCTGTCGGTCTCGAAGAACTTGTAAAGAGTTGGGTTTGCACTTCGTTTCCGATACACTACCACACTATGAGAAAAAGCCGACTTCTTTCTCTACACTATCTGGCATACCACTGGTATTCACCTCTGTATATGTCAGTCAGAAGTAGCAGCACTTCCACTTCATTGCGACTTCATACAACAACAAACAACTTCAAGCAGCATATCCCACAGAAAAATGCCTTTCCAGACGCGTTCAACCATACAGCGGGCAGATTCATTAGACTGCGCAGACACACTTGCTCACATGTCTGAAATCGCCCTCGCAAATACGAGCAGCACATCTTCGGCACTGAACCACATCCAATACGCTCACGGGTCATACATTTCATCAGGCGCCTTCCCCAGACCGGAGGGTCCTATCGAAAACCTCGAGGGCATATATCGAAGGATACAGTCACAACAAGACCTTCGGTATTTCCCCGAGAGCAACTGTAGGGAAGAGGGAAGCCGTACGCCGCCTGATAGCAGCAGCGCAGCAGCTGCGGTATTTACCTCTGGGCCCTCGAGTTCGGGGAGTAGCGGTCTCGTCTCTTCGCCGCCGCCGACAGGTCAGAGTCAGAGTGATGACCATCCTAGCGGCGTGGCCATTGAGAGTTCGCAGGACTCGCAGGCGACAGAGAGCGCCCCGGAAGACGATAAGTCGGGTCTCGAAGAGGTAGAGGAAGAGTAAGTTTTACCCTCCTTGCAAGATATACCAGAAAAAGAAGGATGTTAACCGTCAGTCTAGGAACAGAAAGCCCTGCTGTATCTGCCCTCGATGCCCACGGCATTCAAAGTCCTGGGTGTGCCCGGAATGCGGCGACTCACCAGTCCCGGACGAGCTTGATCTTCCGTGCTGCTGCCCTGGTCCTGATGCTGAATCATGTGGGCCAGATTGCGAGGGGACGGAAGGTCAGGGACATGTTAGATCAAAGTCCCCTGAGTGGGAGTCAGTATTGTAAGAAGCCCAGTCCCAGAAACAACATGTGGCGGCTCTTAGGTGTACGATGTAATTGCTTTTCTTGTCTCTTTCCCGCTTGTTATGTCTATGATGATTTGTCTTTGGCAAAAGTATTTGCAACAATGAACGGGAATACCAAAGTGGCGTCCGCATAGACCTAGACGCATTGTATGTGTGAGCAATAGAAACACACAACTTTCTCCAATCCAAGTGCTCGTGGTAACATACCTTGACGGCATCGGCGCCAATCTTGATCTTTCCCCAGGAAACGGCCTCATCCGGCCTGGCGCCCGCATCGCTTCCATCAAACTCCTGGCCAGTGTTGATGTACACGGCCGACTCGGCGCCGTTGCGCATCAGGCAGGCGTTCGCAATGTGATGCTTGATGACGCCGCCACCCAAGATAATCATGCCCGCCCTCTTGGCGCGCACCGAGATGGTGTTGATCTTTCGGATATCCTCGACGATGTCGCACTTGAGCTGGCCAGGCGAGGTCTTGAAGGTGTGAAAGTACAGCATATCGCCCAAGCTCCCGTCCGTGAGCGCGGGGCAGAAGACGGGGATGTCGTTCTTCCACGCCCAGTAGTAGACGGAGCGCTCGTCGTTGATCTCCTTGCCGAGGCGGTGGATCATCTTGGAGGGCGTCCAGTTGATCTCGTCGTCGGTGCCCTTGCTGGCCTCCTGCTCCTCGTACATCTTGTCAAAGATGGGCACGACCCAGTCCTCGAAGGCGCGGTAGTTGGAGTTCGGGACGACGAGGTTGCCGATTCTGTTCTGGCCCTTTTTGCGCAGGCCTTCGCCGTCGGCGCTAAAGGACGACATGTAGGTGTCGCCCAGGCACTTAATAAAGTCCTCCTCGATGCCGCCGGCGGTGGTGACGATGGCGGAGACGTGCTTGTGCTTGACCAGCCACCGGAAGACGCCGCGCATGCCGGAGGAGATCATGTTGGAGGTGTAGCCCAGGAAGATGGTGGTCTTGTCGCCGGTTTCTGGGTCTCTCCAGGCCCTCTTGACGTCGCAACCCGCCTGTCAGCAGGGTGTCGTCTCACACGTGGGAGCAATAGAGGTGGCGGCTCACCATGTCATTGATGATCCGGATGGACTCGGTCAGAGATGAGGCTTGGAAACCCATGAATCTCATACCATTGTAGAGACTCTCGGCGGTGATCGGGCCCTTGATATCATCAAAGTCCAACTCCTCGACTTTCTGTGCGCCTTCGGGCATTTCTTCCGAGACGACAAGGACCGCATCGGTTGCTGCCGCCGGCGGGGCGTTGGTGTTCTCTTGAGATGCCATGATGTATTTTCTGTAAATGAACGAATGAGGAAGGCGCACCAAAAACAGGCTACAGTTGAGTTGCAAATGTGAGGGATCTCAAAAGTGAGATTGTCTCAAGCCCACCGCACAAAGGTACATACCAGTGAGGGGAGTGGCGATCTATAGCAAATAGTGGAAACACGAATCGCGGAGAATTGTGTATGGCTATCAGACAAGAACCCTGTGGCTGTTTCAACCCCCCAAAAATAAGGTGTCTTTATCCGTACTCTTTTCGTTCTTAGCAACCAGGGAACGAGGAACTTTGACGGTATATTGGAGCTGGCGTGGAAAAAAAAAGTGACCATCCACACACACAGGTACACACTTCAGAATGGCTCCATCCGGGCGGGCATGGGATGACTCCACGGCCGTGATGTTTAGAAAAGATGGACTCCACTCTGCAAAGAATTTTGACGGAAAGGTGGAGTACCAGGCGGCAGGGTCTGCCACGGCGCGCGCACACAGGGACCCACCTTGAATTGTGAGTGCCCACCCGTGCAGGTTGGGTCGTCTAATGGTAAAGCGACACGGCGACGGACCTGGAGTACCTATGTGTGGTCGATGACTTTTGGTGTGTGGGAAGTGATGCTGGTTGGGTATCCATTCAATGCGTGCCTGGACAGAGACGTGAAAGAAGACTTGATGGTTTTGGATTGCACAAAAGACGGGAGGCTCATCGGTAGACGTGGTACAAAGTGCAAGGTGCCTTCCTCGAGATGATGTGGATTTGGTGACTACCTGAGTGGACTTTCGAAGTTTGTCTGTGGACACTTTCAGTTGGGCCGTGGACGGGACGGGAGAGGTTTCCGTAAGGTACCAAGGTTCCTTAGGTAAGGTACCTTGCTTGAGGTTCCATGGCAAACATTGAAGGGTACGTACCGCATCTCTTGGACGCTGACCTGACCGGGAAATTGAGATTTCGGAGACAAGCAGCAGGCAGGAAGACAAGCACAAGGCATTGGATGGAAGGCAGGGCCAAAGACAACCTAACACCCTCGAGGGCTCGAACTGCCGTGGGTCCCGCTAGAAACCTGAAAGAGTCTAGTGCGTGTCGGCGGTAAAAGGCTGGCGCTGCCCCCAGCGAATTTGAGATCCAATTCAGCCCAGTGCCAAACCTGGAACTAAGCGCCACTGCACGCGAACCGTATTTTGCAGGCTGCCCCGAACGTGGCCGTGGCCGTGGCCGTCCAGTACCGTACCTACCTTACCTTACTGCCCGCTGGGGTCCCGTCTTCAATCCTTCAACATCACACGATTGCTCGCCAAAGTGCCCAAGTGTCACATCTCCGCGCTTCATCACGACGACACACCGACCACCATCCACGAGCATCGCTGCCAACGGGACACCGTCCACACGCAATCAACGTGCCGTCATCCACCCGTACATCATTACCCAGTCCAAAGCCATACGCAAACACACACAATAACGACCCGCTGTCGGATGCACCCACTCCCCGCCGTGCCCGCTACGCTACCTCTCTCACCTCCTGACCAGCGCCTGTCCTGACGCTTATCCGAGGTTGGGACCCGACCACTCCAAGGACCAAAAGTCTTCCATCGACCCACGACAACCAAGGTTCTCTGGTTCCACGTCCCAATCCAGACACATATGGTATTGGACCTTTATCATAGGCAACTTTAAGGGCTGTCGCCCGGCCTAGTGCGATGTGAGTAGACGATGCAACAAACCTAAATCTCCGACTTCTTCAGGTCTTCCATCAAAATTCCCACAACCCGCATGCCCGACCTAGACAAGCCATCGCGCTCGACGCAAATCGAGTCAAACACCTAGACCCTCCCGACCACCAGATGCGGCCGCCCTTTGACCACAACAGGCGTCCTGTGGATGCGAGGCGGCCTCTCGAGCGACCCCTTCATGCTAATCACGATCTTTACAGGGCTTCGAGATATTCCTCGAGGTATGACGGGGGAGATCGCGGCGACCGTCGCTCCAGATCGCCTCGCGACCGCTCACCCGATCGTTACGAACGCGCATCCCAGTACAGTGATGGCGACCGCCGCCGATCATCCGCCGAGGCGCGCTCCAACACTTCAGCATTTACCAACAACAGAGATTCATTTCGCGACAACCTACCTCGTGACCCGCCACGAGGGCCCAAGGCGCTTTTAGATCCTCCCAGTGGACCCAGAGGCGGCGGCTATGCCGGTGATTTTAGAGGACGTGGCAGAGGTGGCCGTGGCCGCGGATGGGTTCGCGATGACAGCAGAGATCGCGGACGGGACCGCGATATCGATTTCAGAGACCGACGCGATGGGCCTTATCGAGACGAGAGAAGCCGTGAACGCGAAAGGGACTGGGATCGACGGGATAGAGAGAGCTATCGGGGACGCCCACGCTCGCCTGGTAGAGGGCGCTCACCACCACAGCGAGATTTCCGCGACAGAGATCCTCCATTAGGCGTCGATGCCGAACGATCTAGGCGCGGCTCAAGGGACGGCGGCCCACCTTCCGCTGGCTCGTCCAACTCTGACCCCCCCTTCGGCATGGGTCGAGGTGGTTTTAGAGGAGGCAGAGATCGAGGACGCGGAGGATGGGAGAGAGGAAGAGGAGGAAGAGCTGGTTTCTACGACGACCGCGATCGCTTCGGACCTCGCAGTCGCTCTCAGGAAGGGCGATGGGGCCGCGATAGGGACGACCGCGACCGTGGCGACCGATGGGTTGATCCTGAAATTCGCAGAGACCCCCGAGACGAACCCCGTGATCCCCGAGACCGCGAGTTGCTGAGACCAAAGGTCGACCGAGAACGAGACAGAGGCATGTCTTCCCAAGCACAGTCGCCAAACACCAAGGACGTATCTCCACCCCCGCTCGCCCCTTCAGCACCCGCTTTCGGCACTGTCCCTAGTCGAAACGGCCCGGCAGACGGATCACCCATCATTGGCGGCACCGGCAAACTACCACCCACAGCTCCCAGAGCCTTCAACTCCGAACGACCTGTTTCTGCCGGACACGGCGGTGGAGGTAGCGGCGGAGATTTCCCGGCACCTCCTACTGGTCCAGCAAAGATGAACCTTGTAGAGGGCAGCCCGCCTATTCCCTCTGGCCCTCGTGCTCAACAACAGAAACAGCAAAGGCCCTCGAGTAAGCAGTGGATAAATCCAGCACTGGGGAAGAAGGGCCCTCCCGAGTCGCCTAAGATTATGAGGTCGCAGAGCTTTGCGCAACAGCAACGCCCGGTACCTTTCCGTCATGAAAGCGTACCAGCAGAACAAGGCGACAACGACCGGCGTCCACGTAGTAGTGATGCGAAGGCCGACTCTCACAATTCCGCCAATGAAGGCTCGGTCAAGTCACTTAACCTTCCAGAACCTGGCGAAATTGTCATCAAATCCGAAAGAGACAGCTATTCTGCCAGAGGCTCCATGGATCGAGACATGGAACATCCGGATGATTCAAGGGACACTGTCATGGGAGGAACCGATAATCATGGATATCAGGAGCGTCGGAACCCTCCACGGCGGGAAGAGAAGTTCGACACAGCCGACAAAGACGACAGCGATGAAGGCTTAGTGGACGAGGACGAGGAAGAGACGAAGGAGCCGCCCAAGCCTACAAAGCCTACAAAGGTGAGCCGTATGTCTGTGCCGCGAGTTCGATTTCTTCTCCCGCCCCAGGAACCCTCGGCGCCGGTCTCCGAACAGACGTCCGAATCCGACGACGACGAAGATTACGGAGAGTATTTCGCCATGGAAATCGCAAAGGAAGAGGCCGAATTGCAGAAATTACAGGTCGCGGCCGACAGCACCCCGGACAAAATCATTGCTCGCTACGCTGCAGTCTCGCACGAAGCATTGGTAGCGCTTGTCACCGAGCCTGAGGGTCTTGTGGACATGCTTGGGCCGATCCCCGACGTCATCGAACCTCCGAAAGAAGCTACCCCGATTAAGTCACCGGTTGTGGAGCAGCGCGAAAAGACGCCCAAGATCTTGAGCCCCGTTCAGCAGGCCAAATCATCACCAAAGGAGCCCACTGTGGTCTCCGAGCCAATCTCCGTTGCTGTGTTCGCACCGAAGTCGGAGGAGCCCGAGGTTGAGAAGAAGCTCGAAGAACCTCTCATCGAAAAGGAGGCAGACAAGGAACCAGAGAAGGAAGCGGAGACAGAAGCAGTGGTGACGGCGCCTAAGGTGACTGAGCAAGAACCCGAGAAGGAGCCAGAGCCAGAGCCAGAACCAGAACCAGTCGCTGAGAAGCCCGTCGAAAAGCCCGTTGATAAGCCCCTGGAGCCAGTCGCCGAGAAGGCTGTCAATGATGCCGAGAAAGCTACAGACGGTTCCGCCAAGGACAACTCTGAGAAGCCTGCTGCGAAACTGGCAGAACCTATTGTCGAAATGGCTCAAGAGGCGCCCATGGTCCCCGCCTCGGGTGAGCCGCAGCCTAAGACAGAGGAAATGGATATCGACGAGCCTGCCTCGGTTCTACTGGCACCCTCTCTCCCTCAACCACCCGAGCCGGCAAAGGATGTCGATGTTGCCATGGAAGACGCATTTGAGCCCGAGAAAGCACCATTGGAGCCGGTGGTCGAACGCGAGGAACCTAGGGACCCGGTCATGAACGGTCAGCACCTTCTCCTCCAGCCGTCGAGTGTGCCGATGGAAACTATCGAAGGAGACAAGGGTCTGCCCAGCACGCCCTCTCAGATGGACGATGACGACGACAACTCCACCGAATCTGAGGACCCCGATGTGATGCTCATCGATAAGATCCGACAGTTCTCCGCGACGCCCCCTCTCAACAGTTTACCCGACTACAGCTGCCGCCCTTGGAGCCGGGACCGGGATTTCTTACAGTCTCTCGAGTCGGATTCGATGGTCGACGACTTTATTCTGCAGCAACTTGACAAGATCTCCCTGGAGAAGATGGCTGAACAAGGGGAGGCTCGCAAGGATTACGCCGAGAACTACATCAAGTACCTCGACTTTACAGTCTCGAGCGACCCAATCGCAGTCAAAAGCCGAGAAACCTTTATCAGCTGTTTGCCGACACCCGAGAAACATATTCCTATTCCCCCTCCCCCGGAACTTAAACCCGAGGGTAGAGGAGCTGGCAGAAGGTATGCGAGCGAACGAGACCTAGAGAGAGTTTTGCAAGCATCCATGAGGGAAGACGAGGAACGGAAAGAGAGGGAACAACGCGCCATGCAAGAGAAGTATCGCAGTGAGAAAGAAGCCGTCATTCCCGAGATGTACTGGAGACAAGAGGATCGGGACAACGAATTCTTCAAGGACACCACCGGCTTCACGCCTGTGGAGAAGCTTGTGCCTGCCTGGCAGATTATGCCGCCAATCAACAATTTCACCCCCGAAGAAGCAGACCTCTTCGAGAAGAGATATCTCACGAACCCGAAGCAATGGGGCGTTGTCGCTGAAAACGTACCTAAGCGCAACTTCGGTACCTGTATTCAGTACTACTATCTGATGAAGAAGGATCTCAACCTCAAAGAGAAGCTTAGAAAGCAACCCAAGCGTAGAAAGAAGGGTAGAGGTAAGACCCGCTCAAGCGCGCTTGTCTCGGAGCTGGGCAACGCCGAAAATGAGGGAGAAGAGAACCAAGAGAACGGCGAAAACGGAGAAAGGAGACGTCCACGTCGTGCTGCTGCCCCGACATGGGGCTTCGAGCAACCGCCTACGGATTCCGACAACGCTACACCAGCCGGTACACCTGGCCGGCGCGGAGCCAAGGCTGATCCCGAAAAGGTCGACGGTAGGAAGCGTGGACGGAGGGCAGCCAAAGACAAGGAGCCGAAGGCACCTAAATCACAGCAGACTCTTGCAGCAGCACCCACGCCCGCTACAGGCAAAGGAAGGTCTCGCTCGAACTCTAGAGTTCAGAACACTGAGTTCCAGCCGCCTCCGCCTGTGCCTATGGAGAATCGTCTGCCCTCGCAATTCGAGGTCCCGGTCACTGGCGTTCAGCCTCCTCTGATTCCAACTCAACAACAACAACCCCCTCTGGTTGTCCAGGAGCGCCCTGTTCCCATCACCCCTTCACCGATATCCGAAGTCATGGCGCCTCCATCACTACGGCCCGAGCCACCACCACCTCCCGCGCAACCGACCGTTGCGACTTTCGATATTGCGCAGCCACAACCCGAACGTCGTGCCCCCAGTCAGGCGTCCAGCTACTGGAGTGTGTCTGAAGCAAATGATTTCCCTGGGCTACTCAAGTCTTTCGGTACTGACTGGGTAGCTATCGCGGGCCATATGGGTTCGAAGACAGCTGTCATGGTCAAGAACTACTTCGTCAGACAGAGAGACCAGGGCAAGACTGAGTGGGAGCAATTCGCTGCCGAGGCTGACGCGAAACGAAGCAGAGGTGAGAAGCTACCAGATCCACCACCGCCCACTGTCGGTGGACGCAAGAAATACGATTCAACCCCTGGGGCTTCGTCACATCGACCCCTTGCTTCCGCGCCTGCCACTCCCGCCCCAGCGACTGCATCCGAACCGCCGAGCGAACCTCCTGTGACAAAGGTCGAGCCTCCCGTCCAACAACCTGGAGCACCACCCTTTGGTCGCTTTGCGATGCCGATTACGCCGGCACCACCGACGCCGGCAGCGCAGCAGCAGCAGCAGCAGCAGCAGCAACCGCAACCGCCACAGCCCCTTGCTCAAGCTCCTCCACCTGCCGTGGTTGCCACCCAGGCCCCTCCCCAAGCTCCTCAACAGGCGCCAGTCCCTGCTCAGCAACAACCAGCTGCCCAGCCAGTATCACAGTCAGGGTCGCCGGTTGCTCGTCCACCCCGAGCACCTCCTCAGCAGGCCTTTGGCTTCCAGGAGAGAGAACGAGAGTCAACTCAACCCACTCAACCAGTCAGGATCTCACAAAAGCCACCTGTGGCCCCAGTTACCGAGCCCGCTCAGCAGCGGCCTTTGGCTGCCGCACAACCTGTGCAGTCTGTGCAGCCTGACCCGTTGGTTGACCGACAACAGGCCGAGAGGCGACGCGAGATGGAGAGACAAGCCATTGAACAGCAGCAGCAAATTGAGAGACAGCAGTTGGAGAGACAACAGCTTGAGCGGCAGCGTATAGAGCAACAGCAGGTCGAGCGACAGCAACTGGAAAGGCAGCAAATTGAGAGGCAACAAATCGAGAGGCAACAGATGGAGCGTCAACAGCTTGAGAGACAGCAGATCGAGCGTCAGCAGATTGAGCGCCAGCGCATCGAGCAACAGCAATTTGAACGCCAACAGCTCGAGAGAGAAGCTATCGAAAGGCAGCAGATTGAGCGACAGCAAATGGAGAGGCAGCAGATCGAGCGCCAGCAAGCTGAGCGACAGCAAATGGAGAGGCAACAGATGGAAAGGCAGAAGATCGAGGCACAAGCCAAGGAGCACCTACGCCCGGCCGAACGTACCCGCCTCAAGCAGGAGCCTGAGATGACACCGCCGCAGCATCATTACGAGCCATTCTCTTATGGTCAGCAACCGGTGCGAAACGCGCCGCCTCCTCGATCTGAACCACCTGTGGCAAGACAGCCTGCCGAGCCGCCGCGGACAACGGCCACCCCAGTTCCGCAAGGCTACGGCCAGCCTATGCCTCAGCCAGGTGGACGACTGTTGGGTGATCCTCAGCCGTCTGTCTCAACACCCCCTGGCCAGAGGCCCATTACAGCTCAACGACCTATGCCCACCCACATGGACTCGTATGGCACTCCTCCCCAGCAGCAACAGCCGCCGCCAGCAGCGGCCGCGCCCCCGCCTCGCTCGTCAGCTTCGGAGAACAGGAGATCCAACATCATGTCGTTGCTCAACGACGACCCACCAGCAGCTGCCGCTGCTGCCGCTCCTACACCCCCGCCTCAGCCCAAGCGTGTTAATGACATGGCTCAAATCAAGCCATCCCCGACGCCGCCACCACAAAGCATGTCTAGAGGACCTGTTGCCGCGCCGGCACCGACTCCCCTGCGGCCAGAGCGGGAGCCTCCTCAGGCAGCTTATCCCTATGGCCGCAATGCTCCCTCAGCTTCTGCGATGCCTCCTCTGAAGCCGACTTACACTGCCTCGCCCCAATCGCAGCACATGAGCGCCCCGAGATCAGCCATTGCATCTCCTCATGATGCGGCGCAAGCCGTCGAGCGGGACTACTACCGCCATCAGTACCACCAGCCTCCAGCGACGAACTCTCCTCAGGTAGCGCAGCCTTATCCGCCGCAGCCCCAGTCTCGTGATCCTCGCGATCCGCGTGACCCCAGGGACCCCAGAGATCCTTATCAACCTCAGACTACGTACCCTACGTATGGTGCACCTGCTCCCCATGCTGGCTCGTCACCGCCTCAGTATGCCGTACATCAGTCGGCTTCTAGACGCGAAACGCTCCCCCCGCAAGGCAGGGAATCGGCATGGGCTCCTGGACCTCAGGGACATGCCATGGGCCAGCCGCAACCGCCACAGCAACAGTCCTCTTGGCCACCGGCGTCACATGCGCAGCCGGCTAAGCAGCCTCAGCAGGCACCTCCTCCTCAAAACTGGGCATCTCCGCATATGTCGGCACAAAAGGCACCTCCGGCGGGCTCGGCCATGCCGCAACAATCCTGGGCTTCCGGACCGCCTCAACAGCAACAACAACAACAACCGCCGCCGGGGCACCACATGTCGATGCGAGACGAGAGAGGTTCGGCCATGTACGGTCCGATCCCGCCTCAGCACCAACACCCAATGCAAGGTCGCTACCCGCCCGTCTCCCGTGCACCAGAGCCAATGCCGCCTCAAGGTCAGCAGGCGTACCCGCCGCGGTACGCATCGACGCCCGCGCCTAGAGATCCCCGGGACCAGATGCCGCCCCGGAGCTACACGCCCGTGGGATACGATTCACGCGGCCCGCCTCCGGGACCTTACCCTCCGGATCCTAGAGAGATGCAGATGCGCGAAATGAGCCGCGACCCCCGAGATCCCAGAGATCCCCGGGAGATACAACACCAGGAGATGCTCCAGCGCGGTCAACTGCGTCCACAGGATGGCTACGGGAGACAGCCTGATCGATATGGCCGATAGAGGGCGTGTACCTGACTCCACTTCTTATCAAGCATGTATCAAAGAACCAACAAAAAAAAGGGAAGACCTTTAACTACGGGGGGTGATTGGTGTATGGTGTGTTTTATGGTCCGGATCAGAGACCGGAAGCCATAAGGAAACGCAGATGCAGGAACGGTTGGGTGGGGCGGACGTGTATTCATAGTGTTTCAACGCATAAAGCAGGAGACTTTTTTTTTTCACTTCAATGGGAATTTCATTCATTCAAAATGCCCCTTACCTTGATCATATCTAGAATCTGGTGTAATTATGTCTGACTCGACATCGCTGCGCCTGGCCCCTTACGATGGGGAGCGGAAATGGAGTCTACGTTCACTTAAAAAGTGCATGTTGAAAGTGGGAGTACTCCTCGATCCATCATCCAACCTCCAGAGTTGCTTGTCTCTTTACGTCTGTTATTCGTGAGTAATATGTACAGCTTCAAACAAAACAATCCCTCTCTCCATGGCAACTCAACTCAACTTAACACACATCGCCTCCTCGTCCAAGTTTCGTCATCTCATGATATTTACATCCATCCAAACGTGCTTCGCCAAAATGCACAAGGGGCCTGAATGTACCGGCTCTTTCGAGTGTTTCCTCAGCCGGAAGACCCCCGCCAACGCCTTTGCCTTGCCGTGCCCGTGATGATGATGCCATGTCCTGCCGAATAACCGCAGGGCCGTGTAAACGCCGACAGCAGGCCCCTTGGTTGTGACACGAGAAAACCCAACCATTGAGGGGTATTCGTTTCCTCCAAAAGCTCGTGTCCCCTCGTCCAGATACGTATGCATGGCGCAGAATCGGTCGCCACCACATCAATCCCGTCTCCCTTTTTGGCCTCCTCCCATCCATAAAGCAGGTTTCTTCAACTCCAACAATTGCGCCGACTCAGTCGACCTTGTCGCGGGGCCACAGCTTTGCCAAATCTGTGACCGAAAAATGGAAGCAAGTATGCAACCAACCAGCCCTATCAGATATAAGCTTGCTGTTACGGGGTAGATCGCCAGCCCTCTCGACTGGCTGGTCTCGTACCCCGCAGCCCGGCGCCAAGATTTCCGCCACGCAATTCATACAATTACTCCGTACGGTGTCGGCCAATCGTTCATTCAATCAGCGGTTTCTTCTGCCCTCCTACCAGACATAGTCCCAATGTCTTAAGAGACTCTCGATCGTTCGCTAAAACAATCGCCCGTGCAGGGAGCATGGGGTTATTCGGGTCGACATGCGAGGCGTCTTTTGCGGCCTGTTCGATGGCGTCCATTTCCTCTTTACACGCTTGCTGGTCCATTGGGCAAATAACTAGCGGCTGCCTGACGGTCAAATCTCTGGTCGATCCTAGCTGCGCCTAATAAAGTCTGTGAGCATGGGTAAGTTATCGCAAAGTCTGATACACGTACTTTGACAGTCAAATAAAACTCAATCTTGTATAAGGTTGAGCTCGTCGTGAATGAAGTAACTTCATAGAGCGGAAACGCCGGTTTTCCTCTGCGAATGATGCCGTCCGGATCGCGCAAGTCCTTGGAGGGAAACACTAAGCCCAGATTTGTTGCGTATCCAGCCTCGGGCATTTTTGTATTGACCAACTGCGTGTTCTTGGCAACTTTATTGACCTTTTTCGTAGGCTCGTCGCCTTCCGGGTTGTACGTAATCTCCTCCTCGATGGTGACGGTGATCTTCTGGATCGTAACCTTCAACGCTTTCTTCATCCAGTCGGGATTGGGTACTAGTTTTATATAGACTGTTATCGGGTCTAGCGGGCCGTAGCTCCATTTAGGAACCGAGATGCCCAGTGTGACAACGCTTGCGTCGCTGACTTGCCTCGACTCTGGCTTGTTGTACATGCCGAAGGTCGACAAAGTGTCGTATCGCTGGAGTGGTATAGGAAAGGAGTATTTGTTCTGTAGGGTGTGTCCTTGTTGCACGGTAACAACAAGCTCGTAGTACGTCTCGGCCGTTCGGCTGGGGAGTTGCAATGATGCCGGGGGTATTCGTCGGTTCGTTTCTTCGCCACCTCTTCCAAACGGGATGAACAGGACGAACGGCAGGTCCATCGCAATAACGCTCTCAGCATCCTTTCCTGATTGACATCTGAACAGCAGAAGCTCTTTGCCGACTACGTCCGTCGTTTCCCTTCTCGGGGTTCCCAGGTGCCTCTTCGCAACATTCTCCGCGGCGGGGTGTATTGTTTCTCTCCGCTGTAGACAAATGCGTACCAGCGAGACGGAAACGGGCATGGAATAGCCCTGCGATGGACGGATCTCGACTTTGCCTTCGATTCGGGGCTACATTGCGCGCAAAGAAACGTGTCAGCAAACGGCGCGCAAAGGGTGATTTGACCACATCAGCCTCCCCGACGTCATCACAGAGGGTCCAACGTACTAGCGTCGCAGAAATGCCCGGGTAGCCGACCAGAAAGCTGCTGTTGGGCGGACCAGAAACCCTCACGAAGGCGGCCATACTGGCTGGATCGCCAGAGTATCCAGGATGCGTCTCTCGTCGGCGTGGAAGTGGTAATGGCGTTGGGCGGATGACAGAGGTGAGGTTCTCATGTGTGTCGGTGGGCGGCAGTCGTGCTTCCTAGGCGCTGCGCGCGTTGCCGCCTGGTGGGTGTGGGGTCCAGACAGTCGAGTCCAAGCTATCGGGGACGTGCAACAGCAAGAGCAGAGCGCAAGGCCAAGCGGCGGCATTACATGAACGGATCGCGGTTGGCCGGTAGCCTGGGGTTTGGCTTCGTCGAGTCGGGCGCTGTGGGGGGTACTGCTAGTAGTGCGCGTTCCAGCGTCGAGATGGGCGTTGATGGGAGTTGGCGCAAAGTCAGGTCGGAGGGGTTGGAGAAAGCGGCGCTCTGTTCCGGAGTCTGGAGATGTGACCGGCGGGCGGTTGTTGGAGAGAGTGCGGAATGGGGGGTGGAAGAGAAGAAGAATCGAGAGCAGTGACCAGCAGAAACAAGACCTCTCAGCCCAAGCCACAAGGTCGCGCGACTTGCGTACCTCAGCAAGGTGAAGCAGCTAAACAGGGTACCTAGGTTCTGAGTGGATGCAGCTGGGCTGATGCAGCTTATTCTCGCTTCTGCATCGATTTTCCCAAGGCAAGCATAAGCAGCAGTAGCAGCGGTCGCAACGGAAGCAGCAACACACGAGGCTCGCTCGGTCAAATCGGGCCAGGGAAGCTTTGGGATGAGTGGTGGGTTGCGAATGGAGTCGTGCAAGTGGCACACTGAGCTTGGCGAGTTGAGGGTGGAGGGGGTAGACACCACAGCTTTCTCGAGGTAAGGTATCCGTACGCAGTACTCAGACGTATTGGATCTGTACAGACGTAGTAGATTTGGAGGCTGGTTGTTGGTGGAGGGGCTCGATGTGGCGGGGGGCTATGCGGGTAGAGATGGGCACTGCACACGGCCCTTGGACTGTTTATGCCAACTTTGTTTTGCTGATCCGCCGTTGTTTCCGCTGTCTCGTTGTCTTGTGCCCTTTCTTCCTTTCTTCCCTTCGTTGTTCGTCTCTTCGTCGGAGAATGAGGGGTGTTTGGGGAGTACACTCAGCTTCCCATGTGCACCAACGCACGTCGATATGGGTGTAAGATGGCAAGGCCCCTGTTGGTATTCGTGCAGTACTGACTGGCTGGTATGCTGAGCTTTGCACTGCAATGGATCAGGCTCCGAAGGCGGCAGTTTGCGCTCTGTGTGGGATTCGCTTCATTCTCCCCTGGTGTCGATGTTTGTAGTGATTGGGCAGTCTGCTGCTCAGCCGCTGAGCTGTGGGTTATCTACCAGGGGGGGTGAGCAGCAGAGAGATGAGAGGATCGGTACAAGGAGTGTACTTGGGGGCTTCGTGGTGGTACTGCCTCTTCCTTTGAGCCACACTTGAGATGAGTGCGTCTGTGGGAGTATGGGACTTGGAAAGCAGAGCCCGGTGTCCAAAGTTGGAGGGCCAGTCGTCGTGATGGCTTGCGTGTCGGATAACGGTGTCTGAGCGGGAATCTGGGGGGATGTTTTGGTTTGGATCGGTTCCTTGACCAACAGGTGTCCAACGGCGGAGGGAACGGGAGCCAACATTGCGTCTTCCAGCGAAGCTTTCTGGATCATCTGTTTTGATTCAACTCAGATTAGCGGTCGGGACCAGGAAGAGGTACTCGCAAGTAAGTAGACTTAGGGGGAGATACTTACCTGCCTGGAAGCCTAGAAGGGGTAGGGGGTTAAGGACTAGGAAATGAAGTGCTGGGACGATTGGCGCACTGGAAAGATGCGGGGAATGCCTCCAACACGATTGCAGTGTCTGGTGTAATTACAGTTCTAGCTCTACCTTACCCTGACAACCTGAGAGAAGAGCCTTGGCACTTATCTAGGTAGGAGCCAGGACAGAATGTGGAAAGTGGGAAGCAGATGACTAGTTCCTGTATTCGTGTACCAGGTGTTTGGGATTGAGGCCGTGGTTATTGCAAGTGTACTAGGCATCGATTTTTGTATTTTCCCATGTTTGGTAACAGAGGATTTCTAGGCGAACACCTTCAACATCGAGCAACCTAACTCAAAGCCGTACCTATACCACCCTCCCTGGTACCTCATTCGTCGGGTTGTAGTTTGGTACCTGAACACACGCATTTAATGTACTAAATTATTCACCAAGACCAGGACATTTCTCTTGTCAACTTCTAAAGTGCTTCCTGGCTGGTAACGTCATGAACCGAGTAAGCACTTGTAACAACGTAGAGATTAACAGCCGCGGTGGTGTTTCAATTATTTCATGACGCGACTCGCATGTCACGAACAGCGACAAAATCTAGTCGACATGTCTTGCTCATCGTGCTCTATTTTCGGATTGCCAGTATTCGTCTTCCTAAACTTCATCTCGCTACCGATCTCTTCCGGCCTAGGCAAGAAAATTTCGCTCTGTACATAAGCACGTATAAGCTGTTCACCTGCTTCGTCTATCCGTATCATCCGTATAGCTCCTCAGCTCATCCACCCTGGAAGGCTACCTTAGGAATGGCTCCATGGCCCCTGGAAATTCGGGGGCACTGAAGCTTCGCCATGCCCTGCACAGCCCTGGGCACCCCGGACTTACGAACAGCCTCAAAAGGTGTAGGGTCCATAAGAGCGGGGAGCAGGGGTGAGCTTCCCAAAAGCTGCCCACCCGCCCCCGGGTTCCAATCACAGACGACACCGGCCCTCGGCACCGATCCGTTTCGAACTTAAGGACCTGACTTGCTGACTCTGTCCCGGACCTCAGGCTCGGGTTGTCAGGACACCTTGATAATCATCAGACTGAATCTGCGGCACGGGCTCTCGGTGCGTCATCTTGGGTTTAGACATTGGACGGACGAGGTTATTTTGCTCGTGATGAGGTGCTTGATGCTTCTTAGGCAGGTGTGGGTCGAGATGCACGTGCCGTCCGCCCCGAGACCTTAATCCCGCCATCACGTGCTTCCATTGCTGGATGTCTCCTTGAGACTCCCTCTCATGTGCCTTACGTAAGGCAGGTTGTCACCGCCATCTTATCGCCTATTTCCGGCCTGATTACGTATTCGTACCTTACCTTAGTCAACTTCAATCCCGCGTCGGTGTTAATTCTGTCCGCATCCTGCAATGATGCCCACATTTGCGGACTCGCGGGGTGTTATGTAATGCGGACCTATGTCCGCACGACTGTCCGTCGGAAACTCGCAGCCAAGTTGACAGAGCCCAGCTGTTGAAATGTCTGGCCGTTAACGACGGAACGTTGAGTATGATACCAGGCTCAGAAAACAAGGCGCTAGGAAGTATCGATTACATAGAACCGTATGGGAAGTGCTCAACAATTCTACTATTCCCAAGTTGTGAGCAAAGAGCCAAGATGAATTTCTCGTTCTCCAGGAGACAAAATCTACAACTACTTCTGGTGCATCAATAGCAATCCCACCGGGAACTTGGAAGAAGGTGGGATGGAATCGATGCCACTAAACTTTAATTCTAAAATCCAGAAATTCCCCTAGCAAATGCGGCTTTAAGGTCATTAGCTCCAGACATTCCACATCCCATGCGGTCAGTGCGGCCGCGTCGGCCGCATCCCCATGAGACATCGTCATGTAACTAACTTCAAGACATGGGGAAGATGAAGTAATAAATACTGGACGAAACCTCCCATAATCTCGAATTTAAATCATCATCACTACCATCAATCAGATTAACAACAACACACAAAAGAATCATAACCTCCAAGACAACCACGAAGAAGACGTATAAGTCCGCAGCTACAGATCACACAAACACCCCCTTCTCTCTCTCAAAAAAGCAACCATGTCCATCCTCGCACCCTACGCCGAACAACACAAGAACACCTCCGGTCCCAACGACAGCCGCCCCACGGGAGTCCAAATTGTTGAAGACCAAGGCCTCGTCGGAAAATGGACCGATAAAGTCGTCATCGTCACCGGCTGCTCCCCCGGCGGCCTCGGCCCCGAAACCGCTAGGGCCTTCCACGTCGCCGGCGCCGACGTCTACATCACCGTCCGCGACGTTGCCAAGGGCGAGGAGGTCGCCAAGGATATTCTCTCGGATGGCAAGCCCGGCAAGGTCGAGGTCATCAAGCTGGACCTCGGATCTCTCCAGAGCGTGAGAGAGGGCGCCAAGGCGTTCTTGGCAAAGTCTGACAAGTTGAATGTCATTGTGAACAATGCCGGTATGTGATATGTTGAAGGGAGTGGTTTAAAAGGGTCTAAAACGTAACCTCATGTGATAAATAGGAGTCATGGCTTGTCCCAAGGGAAAGACGGTAGACGGATTCGAGACCCAATTCGGCACCAACCACCTCGGTAAGCACTTCGATTAACAAGCCAAGACTTCAAGGCCACTAACACGAATACCTCTAGGCCACTTCCTCCTCTTCCAACTCCTAAAGCCAACCCTCCTCGCCTCCTCAACACCAACCTTCAACTCCCGCGTCATCTCCGTCTCCTCGTCAGGCCACCGCGGCGGCCGCATCCAATTCGAAGACTTCAACTTTGACCACACGGTAGAGTACCACCCCTGGGCGGGCTACGGCCAGGCCAAGCTCGCCAACATCCTCTTCGCCAACGAGCTCGACCGCCGCTACGGCGCCCGCGGCCTCCACGCCCTCAGCCTCATGCCCGGCGGCATCGAGACGCCCCTCCAGCGCCACCAGCCCGAGATCACCGAGATGATCAAGGACCCGGCCGTCCACAAGGTCATGAAGAGCCCCGCGCAGGGGGCCGCTACCTCCGTCTGGGCTGCCGTCGCCAAGGAGTGGGAGGGCAAGGGCGGCAAGTACCTCGAGGATTGTGCCGAGGCGGAGGCGATGAAGCCTGATGCCGGGATGCTTGCTCCGGGGTACGCGCCGGCGGCGTTTGATCCCGAGGCGGAGAAGAGGTTGTGGGTTGAGAGCCTGAAGATGGTTGGGCTTGAGGACGATCAGTGATTCTTGGCCTGGGGATGGAAAGCGGAAGGAGGTTCTTTGTGATGATGATGACGATGGTTTGAAAAAGAAACAGCATGCATATGTCGCTTATAGAATTTGAAAATTCCACTCTGTACTTCGCGCTGCCATCGAGGAATTTGGACGTTCCAGGTCAAAAGCGCGTGAACGGTATGCTTGAGAGAGTTGGGTTCACTCCGACGATCGAAGCTAGAGTTTCAGTCTTACGACATGGGCTAAACAACATGGGCTTGACTTTTGGTGAAAGATGAGAGGGTAGATTGACGTCCTGGGGAGCTTCAACAGTGCTTCATGGAGTCGTAGAAGGGCTTCCGCGAAAGTGTCGTGATCATCATAGCAACAGTGCTCGAACAGATTGACGGCCTGTTTCGAACGCCGACTGCCCAGCTTGTCGTCGCCGCGTCCGGCCCCGAAGGCCTGCGCCCTTCACAATAACAGCCTCATATGACAAAATGCCTTTCAGTCCAGGCATTTCCCTTGGATCTTCGTCATGGTATTTGATATCTCTTTCATCCCCCTTAGCCATCTACTTCCATGGCATCACCATTTTCCTTCTCCATCAAGTCTATCCTCCTAAGGATACTCTCCTTCCATATCCTATAGTCCCTGCGCTTCTTCTCGCTCAAAAAGTCATACCGCTCCAGAAACATCGTGTCGGCCCCGCGTACAGGCGCCTTGTACGCACCCGCATCCTCCCCTCCCCGACCATGGCTATCAGCAATCACATGGCCCGCCTCAATCACATCCCCCAAACTACGATACCAATCCGCGTCCAACCATCCCCGCTCCGAGACTTCCTTCACTGCAGCATCAAACTCCTTGCTCTTCACCGGCGCCCACCCCTCCCACGCCTCGTCCTCGTCCAACCCGCGCATATCAACCTCCTCCCTAGCCTTAGCCAAAAGCTCTAGCACCTGCTTCCGCGCAGGGACGTAGTTCTCCCGATCCACATCCTCCCCCGTCGCCAGCTTCCGGACCTGCTGCGCCACAAAGAAATACACGGCGCCGCACAGCGCAGCCAGGTTCTCCCGCACCCAGGCGTCGCGCGTCCGCAGCCCTCCCGGGACGACGACGTACTCCATGCCGGCCAGCATCGTCGGTGCCAGGTGCTTCTGGTTAGTTTCCCTGCACATAAGGCGGATCGTCGGCTGGATCCAGAAGTGAAGGCCCGACTTGTCGGACGGATATGCGACTTTGCCCGTGGATTTCGTCGGGGTGTTGGGGACGCTGCCGTTTGCCGCCGGGTTACCGCCGCTTCGAAACTGCGCGAGGGATCTGTCCTTTGTCGGGGTCGGGCGGTGCGGTGTCCTGACGGGAGAGTCGACGCCGTGGCGTTGCCTGTTGCGCGGGGTGCCGTTCTTGCCTGGGGTGCGGTTGAGTGCTGTGTTGGGGAGGATGTTGTCGAGGTGGCTGTAGAGGCGCTTGTAGATTCGAGGGGGGATTGGCGGTCGGGGTTCGATTGGGGGGAGATCTAGGGTAATTTTGAGTCTGACAGAGTATGTGTGTTAGGATCTCTATCAAGGAGAAGGGCGTTGTGCTTGGGTGTGAGCTTACCTGTCGCAAGCGATGTGAGCGCACGCGTACAATCGCCCGATTTCCTCATCTGCTTTTAATGTGCTTGCTCGGTGTCTTGATTGTGCTAGTAAAGACCCCGCGAGTTCTACCAGGGAAGGCGGCAGAGCCGAGCCGTGGGTCGGCATCAGCGAGAGGAGCGTTTGTTCTATGGATCGATTCATTGTGAGGAGTGAGATTGTGTAGGTTGAAGAACTTTCGGCGCAAGACGCGTCGAGGCGCGTAGGAGCTGAATATCAGCCCCGAGACTCTTGGCAGGTTGCTTTATGCGCGGCTGTCTCAATTGGTGTCCGCTGCGTTTCTCTTTGCTTCTTATGCTGGTGGGCAAGGTCGGAGTTGGTTTTCGGCGTCGAGTGACAAGCTGGGGGGAAAAAAAGGGTTCGGGAGCTGAGGTGGTGTTGAGAATGGGTTTGTTGCGTCACCGAGGCACCCAAGCTTAATTGGCACGCCGCGACCCCGGGTCTAGAATGTTTAAGCCCCGTGGGCCCCCCGCCGGCCCCTGTCAATCGCCGATCTGTGCGTCTGCCGCTCCCTAAAGGCTAAGGGACGGAAGTGTGGGAGTGTGTGAGGCTCCGAAGGCAATCCCCTGAATTGGCCATGGCGGAACGCCACCTGTTCCTGTGAATATTCCCATTCCCCCGTTCTTGGTTCTCCATTCCCCATTCCAGTCCACCGTGTTCTCCTTAGCAATCCGACACCGCAAAGTTCCCGCCTTGGCCTAGCTTTTTTTCAGCCTTTTTCTTTTATTGAACCTTGGTTTAAGTCAGGTACTTAGATACCGTACCCATCGATCTGCCCCCCCCCCCCCCCCAAAACTTTCCATTGGTGGCTCTTTGTTCAACTTCATCGGCGCCTAGCTCCCATTGTGTACCTCATTCAAGAGTGTCTGACCTTTTGTCTGCAATTGTTACACGTGTCGTCAACGATCAGCAAACCTACGACTCCATCTCGTTAACACGGAAAGCAAACTCCCAATCCGACAAGTACCTCCAGCGATAATACCCGCGATGCACACCGTATACCTCGCCGCTCTGGCACTCGCCAGCCGCGCTCTCGCCCACGGCGGCGGCGACCATAGTCAGAAACCCATAGTCGATGAAAATGCCGATTGGATGACGAAGCACATGGCCGGTATGCAAAAATGACAGAATCCCAGAGATATCCGAAAAAGTATATGCGCGACTGCGTTCGCTGACTGATATTTCTTCCATCTATCTACAGAGGAGCACCACATGGAAGGCTGGGACTCGGCCTCCTTCTTCACCCTGCACGACTACAACAGCGACGGCGTCTGGCAAGGCGACGAGATCCTCCGCACATACGGCCTCTTTGACGAGACGAATCACCACGTTTCCGAGGAGAAGCGCTTCGACATCCTCCACGACCTCATGGAGCTGCTCGATACGAACCACGACGGCAACGTCAACCGCTCCGAGTGGGACGCCTTCATCGCCAGCGGCAAGACGCTGCCCGACGTCGGCATGGGTCCGGGACACCACGGCGACGACGAGTATGAGTACGAGATTCACCACTGGGAGAAGTAAGTCATTTGCTGCGGTCCCAATCAACAGAGAGGAAGCACAAGGAGCTGACGGGAACTCGCCTCATCTAGGTACCATGACGAAAACACCAAGCTCGAAGACCTGACGCACCCCGAAGATATCGAACATTTCAAAAAGCATGAGGCGATGGAGGACGCGCAGGACAGGCAAGAGCAGCTCGACCACATGGCCGTCGTGGAGGAGAACATTCCGCAGAAGTTCCGTCGGTCATAGCCGCTTCGGATCCTTCTGGGCCGGGGTCGGGGTTGATGAATACCTAAGGCAGGACAGGATATGACGACGTCGACGAGAAAGAGAGATTCATGAAATGATCATGTAACACTACTAGATCTTGTAATATGTACATCAAAGACGCAGTGCCATACATCGGGCGCGTACGTCTTGACTAATTCGACATGCTCGACCGTCGCGGCTCGCCCGCCGCCGTTTGCCGTTTCCGCCCAACCGTCGTAAAGGCGTTGGATCTGTGCGCGCCGCGGTTCAATCTCGTAGACGCCGACGTTCTCGTGAAGATGGAGCCAGCAGTCGTTCTCGCACGGCGCGGTGATGTCCCAGGCCGGTCGCCACGTAGGCTCGCTGGTGGGGAGAAGGCCGCCGTTGACATGTAGGATGTCGACTTCCGTGCCCAAGCCTCGCATGTCTGCTATCCTGGGCCCGGCTTGCTGGTTATCCTGGAGGAAGATTGTGATTTGCTCATCGCCTGTGAAGAGTTGTGCGGCTGGTAAATTCAGGTCTTCTCCTTGTATGACTTTGACTCGCCAGCCGTTAGCAACGGCACCGCGGCGGAGCGCTTCGACGCTCCACGGGTTGAGTTCCCAGCAGAGAACCCTCAGTCCAAGCTTTGCGTAGGAGAAGGTGAAGTAGCCGATGCCTGCGTACATGTCCACCGCCCAATAGCTCTTGAGAGCAGATGCCGGCACTTGACGGCGAGGAAACGTGGTATCTGGACCGGCTTGGCTGTGAAAGTCGAGGAGGCGCGTCTTCTCTTTGATGTTACCCCGGCTGAACATGGTCCATCGAGGAGCCCATGTTTGATGTATGCCGTTTTGCTTAGTCGACACCCAGAAAGCTCCCTCAAAATCTTGAGGCGTGGGGTTGGCGGGGTTGTTGGAGGGGCCAAAGTCGCCATGGAGAATCTTGAGCCCGCTTGGTGTTCGCAGGATGTTCTCGCTCTTTTCCACAGCTAGGCTCTCAGAATCTGTGTCTGTTTGTAGGGGGATCCCTTCATTGACGGCGAGATGCGTCAGGGTTGTTGAGCCGGTCTTGGAGACGTCTTTCAGGATTGCCTCCCACAGGCGATGGATCTCATCCTCGCTAATGTCTTGGTGGTTGAGGATGGTTGGCCATGAGCCCTTGTTGAAACTTCCGCTGGGGAGTAACAGCATGGGCTCATAGACTGTGAATCTTTTGGGCGTGTGCTGGATAAGGAGCGTCTCGAGCTCATCTTGGCTTTGCCATGGTTGAGTTTGTGGGGATAGTGAGATGAGCCAGGCTCTGGTGGCTGCGGATATTGGGTTTTCAGGCTTGGGTTTTTTACCTCGCGATTTCCCCTTCCGATCGGCCATCATGGCTATAATTTGTGGTTAGAAGTTGCCTAAAGCGAAGTAAGAATACCCTTGGACATTGAAGATCGTGTATTCCTTCACTGAGTGCAGAATGCGACCAAAATCTTTGGTGTTGCGACTCTGTTGGTGCATTAGACTACTTTACAGGGGTCACCACGGCTGCCACCTCGAGGACTGCTAAGAGTACCCAAGTGCTTTGAGAGTGGGGTGCCGCCAACCAAACAACCCAAAATCGGCGTACCATACATTAGGACTCACTTGCTCTGTTTTCTCATCGTCACCTTCATTTTTCCTTCCAAACCAAGTTCTTGAGGATCTCAGTAAGAGGATGGACGCCTCAACTTTGCCGGCACATTTGAGCTTTCTCAATGATGCTGCTCATCTCCTCAGGGCGTCCGCCCCCGAGACCTCAGCGTACCTGATGAGCCACCATAACGAGCTCATGTTCATCAACGACGTAGAGCAGAACGACGTTCAACGACAACACGTCTGCGGCGCCTGCGGTCATATCATGGTTCCTGGCCAGGGCACTACGCTCAAGCTCGAGACCGAAAAGGCACTGAAGAGGAAGAGACGTAACGTCAAGACTCAAGCATCGAAGACGAAGCTCAAACCCCAGCAGCGGTCTGGCACGCGAAAGCTTTTCAGCTGTGGAAAGTGCAGCCGCGTCACCAAGATTTCGTTCCCTGCGCCGCCACCGGCCGTGAGACGCCGGGCCAAAATTGAGCAGCGGCCCGCGGAGAAGACGCAACAAGCCACTGTGGCCGAGGCAGCTAAACCGGCCACGTCCAACTCTAGCAGCAAGAAGCGTGCGAAGAACCGCAAGGCCGGGCTGCAGGCTCTTCTTAGCCAAGCCAAGACCTCTTCTTTGGGGGCCAGAAATCTGAGTCTTGCTGATTTTGGTCGACTGGGTTAAAAAAGGCTTTTTCTATACAGCATTCGCTTCATGAAGCTCACGACATCTGGCCTCTTAGCTAAGATATAGCATCCAGCTCCGTGGTCCTCTATCGGTGGCGGCCATGACAAACCAGCCAGCGGGTGGGCTATCCTCGGGAATATTCTCGAAGGATTCCTGCCTTGGGAGAAACCCAGGGACCCGCTCAATGACACACATCGGTGCCCGGCCTGCAGGGCCTGCAGCTGCGATTGCCCCTCCAAAAATTTCAAGACCCCGCCATCGCCATCCCACCGAGTCAATCTTGGATCCCCCGCGACCCCGATAACAAAAACCCGACAACGAGACCCCGTCGTTGCGCAATGAAGAGAAAGTACGATAGTTCACAAGAAACACCTACCAACAACAAATCATTCGCCATGGCCGCCCCCGATTCCAAGACGACCCCCAACGAGTTCTTCGAGGCCATCGGCTCCAAGGTTGATGGCGGCGATGACCAGAAGGTCGTCGAGGAGATTGAGTCTCTCTGCATGAACTGCGGAAAGAATGTGAGCATGCGCTGCCACCCAACTGCTTGATTGTCTTACTAACTTAGCGTTCAGGGAAACACCAGACTGCTCCTGACCTCGATTCCCTACTTCCGCGAAATCATCATCATGTCATTTGCCTGCGAAGAGTGCGGCTTCGCCAACAGCGAAGTCCAGCCTGCAGGCTCCATCCAGCCCAAGGGCACACACTACGAGCTCCGCCTGACCGCGATGGAGGACTTTGCTCGCCAGGTTGTCAAGTCCGACACGGCGACCGTCAAGTTCATCGAGCTCGACCTCGAGGTGCCCGCCGGCAAGGGCCAGCTTACAAATGTGGAGGGTCTCCTCAGCACAATCATCAACGATCTCGACTTTGGACAGGAGGCGCGCAAGGAGCAGATGCCCGAGGTCTACCCCAAGATTGCCGAGATTATCGAAAAGGGCCGCGCCATGCTCGACGGCAGCTCTTTCCCCTTCCGCGTCACCGTCGACGACCCCGCCGGCAACTCCTTCATCACACCCGACTTGAAGGACGGTGTTGGCAAGTGGGAGAAGCACGAGTACCTCCGCAGCGCCGAGCAGAACGAGGCTCTGGGCATCTCCGCCGCACAGGCCGACGAGCTGGCTGCCGCCGCCAACCCGGGCTTGACCGCCGAGGGCGACATCATCCCCAACGAAGTTTACAGTTTCCCCGCCAGCTGTCCGGGTTGCATGCACTCATGCACAACACACATGAAGATGGTTGACATCCCCCACTTCAAGCAGGTCGTCCTCATGTCGACCGTTTGCGACGAGTGCGGCTACCGCTCCAACGACGTCAAGACCGGTGGTGAGATCCCCGAAAAGGGAGAAAAGATCATCATCAAGGTCAATGGTCAAATCGATCTCGCCCGCGATATCCTCAAGTCTGAGACCTGCGCTCTGGAGTGCCCCGAGCTCAACCTGTCAGTCAACCCAGGCACTCTCGGCGGTCGCTTCACAACAATCGAGGGTCTCCTGACCCAGGTCCGCGACGACCTGAAGAGCCAGATCTTCCAAGCTGACGGTGGATCCGGCGGTGACTCTCTCGATCCTGCTGAGAAGTCAAAGTGGACCGTCTTCTTCGACGGTCTCGACGAGGCCATCAGCGGCAACCGCGAGTTCACCGTTATCCTCACCGATCCCCTCGCCAGCAGTTTCGTTCAGCCGCTTGTCGACCCTCCCGCGCCTGACCCATCCATCCAGCGCGAGTACTATGACCGCACACACGAGGAGGAAGAGGAGCTTGGACTGAACGACATGAAGGTGGAGGGCTACGAGGAGGAGGCTGCCAAGGAGGCTGAAGAGAGGGAAGCGGCCAAGAAGATGGCTGATCTCGATAAACTTTTGGACGCCAACATGGGCAAGAGCTCATAGGACGTGGTGCACGAGGGGAGAGGGATGGGATGAATGGTATGACGTATTTGGATTCTAGTCAAGGGAATGTTGGCGGGGAGGGATTGATAAAAAGAAGTACATGATGATGATACCTATGCATAGACGGGTTATTGAAAAGTTTTTGAAGCCTTGAAATCATCTGACGCGTTTTGTGATTCTTTTTCCCTGTGTCAATTGTCTTCTGGTGGGTGTCCACACGAGACGCGCTGGCGACGTACGGCCGGCAATGTCCGATGTCGTCCGGTGATGCATGCTATCTCTTTAAGGTATGTATAATCGCCTGGGAAACACAGAGGGGCTCCATCGATTCGGTGACGAGCACTGTACTCTCGGTAGGAAGTTGGTTGACATTAGTCGCGATGATGAATGGTTCCTGCTGAGAACTGCTTGCTCCTACTTGCCCTTGCTGCTGTCAACTTCATACAACACCTCACCCATCGTCCTGCGCAGGGCCTTGTTTGAAATAAGTTGGTATACTCGGCGACTGGAGGACGAAGTAAAGATGAAGTTTGGGGGATAGATCGAACCTGAGAATCGGTTGACGCGAGTTCCCCATATTGGCGTCTGGATCGCACAAAACATAACACCAACTACAGAAGGCACCACAGGAGTGCTTGTCATTGCCGCCAGCAAAACGCATCCACTGGCGCGTCATTACGTATGTCTACCTGAATTCTTCTGACACTATCAATTGTGCCATCCTGTAGATGCAAGTCCGATCGCAAAAACATTCAATTGCAGAATGAATCAGGCGCATTTACAGAGTCGTGGGAAGGGGGACGAAAAAAAGATGACGAAATCCGACTCGAACCCGTGACTATTGGAAGAGAGAAAAAACAAGCTATCCATGGCATTATGTAGGACCGTGAGCCAACATACGATAGAATCGTACCGCTCGGCCATCGACTACAACGGACGGTGCTTGTTGAGAGCTGTTGCGTCTTTGGTGCCTATAGAGGATTGGATGAGGACCGCCTTGAGGCGTGTCGGCCTGAGGAACCTACGATGTAGGGGTGATGCGTATATTCCAGTGTCAGTAGTTGAATACTCGGTGATGTGAAAACTCCATGAACAGTCAAAATGCATCCGCCCTTTGGACTGAGGTGTGCTATACTGCCTGAGACCAACCTTCAGCACAAGTATGTCTTGGGTGGTTCACTCCCACAAGTCCCAAGGTTGAGCTTGGCCTATGCTGGTAAAGGTCGTCGGCGTGGGTCTCCCATGAATTCTGACGGACAAGGAATTTGGATTAGAATAGAGGTAATGGTGTCGGTATGCCCTCTTGGCCTCACTGGCCATCGTGATTGACCTACATAGGGTCCAGCTTTGCAAAATGTGGTGGTTGCAATGGGCATACCTCATACCATGAGCTCGGAGGAATCGCCTCTGATCGTGAAGTTGGCCGGAGAAGTGTGACCTGTCGCCGGAGAGAATGGTTATTGTCAGAGTGCTCTCTCGGCCGCGAAGGTTCTGTGATTGAAGGTGCCAGGTAATAAGGTCCACTGCTTTGCAGATCCTCGAAGGGTAGGTTCTTCTCGCTATATACCTCACTGTAATTATGCCACGACGGCATCCTTGTCACATGTTCGCAGCATCGAGCTTGTGAGGCTGAGGTTTGCTGTTCAAAGTCCATGGCTATAACTTACAGACATACACTAGCTTGTTTAATATTTGAGTTCGCGTTCAGTCTATCTCCAAGCATAATAGTTGTTTCCTTCGGAGTATGCAATAGGATTACCCATATGTCAACACATCTCAAGCCTCTATTTCAGTGACTACTACTACTACAGCTTCCTCTAGCACCGCCTTTGCCACTATCCCTACTACTATCACTGTTATCATAGGTAGTGTTTCTGCCCGGTTCTCCAAGTGTATTCTGCATGTACTACACTTGAAGAGGTCCAGTATGAAGAGGCCCAGTAACATGGAGCCTCTTGTAGAGGCGCCCTTGTCTGTGGCGGGATGTTGCGGCGAGATCGGGCACACACCACATACGGGCGTCCCCGGATCCACCTAGGAACTCGAAGAAGAGCAAGAGAATTGCCTGGAAGCACTGTTGTCTGAGGAAGCTGCGAGCTAAGGTAAGCCATCGAGCCGAAAAAGGCTATTACGGATCACCAAGGCACGCTGAGCAAGACTTTCTGTTCTGAGACTGGATTGGCTCTATGGGCAACTTCATTCTTGCAATTACGTGCAACTTCACTGTCGGTAGCACTTCCTCGTTGGGGACAGACATGTCGTACCAGCATGCGTACCACGATAGAGACGAAGGCGTTGCCTCCTCAACTGACACCAATGCGACCAAAGTCGCGAAGTAGCGACAGGACACGTTTATGAGAAGTCAAGTCTTTCGTCTCCTTGGGCAACTGCAGGTTGCGAACACCAGAATTAGAGTTGCTGGCACTTCCTGCAGAGACCTTGATGCATCATCATAGTAGCCAAGCATGATATGCACCCATCTGCAGGAATTTGCGCGGACAACAATATGACAGTGACCACTGAGACGAAAGATAGTTTCCCGTCTCATCCTACACGATTCGCAGCTGTTGAAATGGCCACATGGCTTTGCTGTCGGGAATAATGGGTGGGCAGCTTAGCCACATCTCAGGCCTAAGTTCGACGATGCATAAAGTAACCCAGCGGCCCCGAAGAACAGGCCAGGTCAAACACAAATTTGCTACTACAGATGAGCGGGACAAAGTAAAATCAAAGACGAGAGGCGCGGTCGCAAAAAAGTCCGCAATATCTCACCGCATGTTGAGATATCATGAAGCAAAAGGAATCTTGATAGAGACGAGATTCGAACTCGCGCGGTTTCCCACTGGTGAAGGAGAATGATTACATAAGCCTAAAACCAGCGCCTTAACCACTCGGCCACTCTACCTGATCTTATTTGATGATCCTTGCCGTCAGAAACGCATCTATGTTGGCTAGGGGGCAGTTTGTGATGCGGATGGCTGAGTTCGGACGGTAAGGCGGGGAGTGGTGGGGTTTGCTGACCTTGGTAGCATGGAACGGATGCGCTAGACCCAATGCGGATCCGTGCTTATGGGGCCAGTAAGAGGTGCCAGTTGTTTTGCTTTTGAAATGCATCGTTTATGCATTTGGTTGTTCAACTGGTGTGACAACGAGTGCGCGTTACCGCCCACCAAGCAAGTCACCGCTTTCGAATAAACGACTGGCTTATGCCTAGCATGGAAGAGGACGTGTCGACAGTGAGAAGAGTCATTCTAGTTTCCTAGAAACTGAAGAGATATGATCTTGTTGTGGCGGATGTGTTATGCATGCATGGATTATGCCAGCCACGTTCAGCCACACCCTAACAAGAGTAGTTTCCTCCTGGCAACATCTTTAGCTGCACCAACAGCTTTCAGCACAACTTATTCATACCTTAGTTGGCCAGCTGCTCTGGCCATATTTGCGATTCCATGACATCTGGAAGCTTTCTAGTACCTTGAGAAGTTTGAGTTTTCCAGACATTCATTAGGTTTCACACAAGGTTATCGGAATCTTCTTCGGCTTGCTACTTCTCTGCAACAATGAGATGTTGTCACTCGACGTGGTCGTCTAGCTGAAGAAACCCCCAGATCCAAGTGTTGGCGACCGAGCCTGAGATTCGGCGCTTCCCCGGGCAGCCCGGCCTAGCATCACACGCACAACTTACCTGAGCAAGACTTGTGTTCATGTCGTTAACATTCTTCAAGTCAAAAATATCCATAGCATCTCATGACAGCATCGCATTGTGATTGCACTTCTGCACTCCTTGCTAGCATGGCAAACTCCGGACCGGTCTTTCCCAACGTGGCGCGGAGCCGTGGTACTCGGCTCCGAGTGGGGCCACTCCAGATTGGCCAATCATACCGGAGTACGTCGGTAGAAGCGGGACAGCGGCCGATAGCCGACCAGTCTCGTCCGCTTTACGGATGCGCAAGTCAACTGTTCTCAAGGCAATGTGTCTGGAGTCATCGAGGACATTCAGATTCCCTTTGGCCGAATGTCTCAACCACAAAAGTCTTCGATCGCTTGTGTACATCTCAAGCTGATGTGCCTTAACAGGCGGCGCTTTTTTACACGGGATTTCCATCTAATTGACATTCATTGCGACTGGTTTGACATTGTCTGCCTTACCTCAAGGGCGTCGTAATCGCTTCAGCTAAAAGCGCATTATCTCTCTCTGCAAAAGGTAGCCAAGCCATAAGACTGCGCCATGTCATCGGGCTCGTCGGCCCAATATACCTTATTGGAATCAGCATCTTAATTATTCCCACGCATCATCGACACCATCGTCCACAGGAAACGGCTTACAACCAATTTCAGTGATCGTCTTATCGCTCGATCTCACTTCCTTGTCCGCGGCCCGTCGCGGGCACTGTTCCTTCAATGCCTGGTCACAGATGACCGGGTCATTTCTTCATTTTGTCTCTTCGGGTTTGGCTGAATTGCTGCTGTCCGAACTTGTCCTTAGATCGTCTTACCTCATCGTGATCATCCTTTCTTGCTTTGCCTCTGACGATCCTTCTTTCCTTTAGCAGTTAACGACTCTGGCCCAACCAGGCTAACAAAGAGGGGCTATAAGAGGGTGGCATCGATATCTATAATGACTTCTGTTATAAGAGTTAGACTAGGGATTCTCTTTGCATTAGATAATAATAGTTCTAAGCGGAGAGGTTAGTTTGCCCTGGGTATATTTTAAAAAAGAGACCGGTAAGTATAACTACTTATATAATACTTTACTTATTCTTACTATGCTTACTATCTCTCTTGTTCTTATCCTCCTTATTATCCCGCTTAGTTTTATTATCCCTCTTATCCCTCTTATTCTTGCTGTCCCTGCTGTCCCTGCTGTTCTTGCTGCTGTTTTTATTATCCTAGGCTTCTATTTATATATACGGGGAGGTATAATAAGTTAATAATAAGAAGCTTTAGTAATAAGCCTAAGTATACTAAGGATGAGTTTAGTAAAGGTTATAATTAAAGAT